ATCTACCTCACACTCCCGCCGTCGCAGGACGTCGACGGATCGCCGATTTTCCGGAGACAGACAGACAGGCAGGCAGGCAAAAGCCCTGCATCCCCGGATTTCAGGTGATAGACAAAGAAAGAACCATGGGTGTGGGGGAAAAGAAAAAAAGAAAAAAAAGAACCGAGACAGTGGGTCGGAAGAGCCTCATGGATATCTTGGCTTCGGATGTCGGAAGACCGCTTCTGCATTGCGTGTTTGGCAGCTGGGCTGGGTGGTTTCAATTTGGCTGGCTTTTTTGGTCGCGGGGTTGGTGGGTGGGTGGGTAGGTAGGTATGTATGTATGCATGAATGGGGGAAAGGGTGATGTCGTTGTGATGGTGCGGTAGTGGTGAGCTTGGTTTTGACTTGGGAGGTATATGCCTACGCTTCTTCGTTGCGAGGTGGTACCTTGGTAGGTAGGTAGGCAGGTGAGTGTGGATTTATGAGCTATGATCTAGTTATAGGTATGCATCAACGGTCATGTAGGTGTGTCTGTTTATGATGGAGACCGTAGGAGATACTGGATGCTCCTTGATAATATCTATCTTCTAAGTGAGAGTAAATATTGGGCGAGAAGGGCGAGCCATAGCCTAGGTACGTATGTGTAGTTGTAATGAACTTGACTCTATGGTCTGCCCTAGGTGCCTGGGACGTCCGTGATCTATTTTGCGTGTCTGAAGTGAGCAATGATATCATGATACAACCTATCTTGTCTTGTTCGTCTCTAGGTAGGGAAAAATTAGTATTGCCCATCGCACAAAGCAAGTGGCATCGCTTAGTAGACTACGAAGTGTGTAGGAGGTCACGTACCTACCTGTGTAATAGCCCCCAGCGGTATGTAGGAATAATTACGTCCTTGGAGGAATGAATCCATTCACGAGATCGATAAAAACTGAGAGAAATCATTACAAGACTAAGAATAACTCTTCATGTTGGAATAAATTCTCTTGATTTCTATCGATCCTATGTATGGATGTATTGGATGAAGTGTATAATGATTCTCGCGAATAGGGGGCTCCCCCTAGGTACGGTACAGATATATACCTACATATTCAGTCTCGTGGCGACAGTACGATGACTACCTACTTACCTGCCTCTTTTCGTAGTATATATCTATCACGTAGCTCCCAGCCTGTTAGTGATATCGGTGTTGCATGTACGGATACCTACCTACCTCCCAGCCATACCAGGTAACCACGTCTCGCCCCTTTAACACCATACTATCTATGCACGTATCAGTGTTTCGCCAATATGCACCCCCTACGTCCTGATCTAACAAGATGTTTAAGGGAAGACTAAGGGAAGACCTTTCAGTTCGTAGAGCGAAGTCTACTCCTTGCTTGGAAAGGTGTGTGTGTATGTGTGTGTATGGGCGAGAGAGGAAGCACTAGAATCTGATGTCCAACATCCATATCCAAATAGACCAGCGCGCCCGAGTAATCGATACTGGGTAAGTACGTAGGTTATCGTCTAAGTAGAAGCGGAGAAAGGGGTCAGAAGTACATACGTAGACTCAGGCCCTGAAGCCATCGTATAATATTTCCTAGCCGAACGTCGGCTTGGTGAACTCCCTACCTCTCTACCTACGTGGTGAGCCTTGATCGCGCTGACTTTTGTTTGGCACCTACATACCTGCGCCATGATGCTGCGTGTATTGTACACACATACACTGGTACATAGGTATACGGGTAGGCAGGGTAGCGCTAGCGATTTCGCGGCTCTTGCCTACCTAGGTACCTGAGTCCTATTCACCAAGCCGGCAGAAAAGCTGCATCGTGTAGGGAATGAGTGGGAAGGAAAGGGTGGTGGGCATACGTATGCTCCTATTCACGAAAGTCTCGCTCGTCTTTCTAGGCAGGGGGCTTGTCATATTCTTATCGGCGGCAAGAGGCGTAAGGCTGAGTCGAAGTGAGGACTGTGATGCTCGTGGTAGGCTTGCTCGTAGTTGAGATGTGGTGAGGAGTTGGATTATAGGTACCTATAGAAGCTCGTAGGTATGTAAGTAATCGCCACAAGAAGAAGAGGAGGAGGGAATGAGTAAAGCGCAGTGTTCGGTTGGGTGTTTTCTTGTTCTAGGTATCAAACAATGCGATATAGGAATACCTATGGTAGAGGAGAGGAAAGGGGGTTCGGATCATCAAGATGACTCGTGCTTTGGGGTTCTTCACATGTACGACATGCACGAACTTCGCATACGCACCAACGCACGTCTCGGTGTTAACACTGCTCACCGGGCAGTTACCGTTGAAGGCTAGGTCGATGAGACTATGATGTCTAGGGCCATCTCCTATTTCTCGAAGCCCCACGGCTCTAGTTTGTATATCGAGCAAAGGGGATTTCATTAGCTAGCTAATTTTGAGTAACATGTCTGCCGATAATTCCAGCCTACTCACACAGAACCGATCCCTAGCACTTACACCTATACACACACCTAGCTAACTACCGACCTATGCTTTTAGGCATGAGCGATTACGTACCTCCCCATATCGATGCTGCCCGTGGGCCTGTGTCTAACAAAACCATTGGTAGACACGCCTGCGCGGATTACCACAGCAATTCTAGTCTGAGGCGCGGACGTTCGGGTAAGCTGTCATCGTAATTCTGAGTCTCACGCATCCAGTCTTGCACCGACACCATACGAAAAACCCAACAGACCCTCATACCTCCCGTAAAGGTTGGCTGAGAGGATATCATCAATAATATTTCATAGCCAGACTATGAGGCGGACTTTCTTGGTCTGCGACTCGCCCACCACGATGATATGCGTACAGTGTGCAGGCCTGCGCAGTTCCAAAGCCACCGGGCTGACTGTACACATCTGGTTCACGCCGGGTGCTTCGGCAGAGACAAGCATGGATGATCACGTTGGTGAAGCTCCAGTCCATCCCCCATCTGATGTCCGATGAGTGTTGTGGTTAATTGTAAGATTCCTGAATATGTTGGCGAGGTTGGCTCTCACGGAGCTGTAAATGTGCTTGTAGACTCTGGGTCACTGTTCTTGTTGCCAGGTCTCGTTGGAGTTTCATAGTGGATGGCATATCATGAGGGTAGGAATGGTCTCATGGCCACTAAGCCCCCCTATATGATAACTGAGGCCATCTACACGGTATGTTTGGAAACTGAAAGAGAAGTGGCTAACAGTTTTAGTAACAAGATGATTCGTAACCATCTCTTGCACGGCTTACAGAACTGCTTCCTCGACTAAATTACCTAGGGAGGTATATATAAGCCCGAGAACTGCGAATTTCTCAAGTACTTGTATCCGAGGGTGGAAGATAATAACAACTTTATACTTTAATCTAGGTGGCATCAGCGAGGGAAGCAACTTTATATAGATCCAGATATAATTTTGAGGCATATAGTACTATTGATACTGCGGAAGCTCGACGTCTGCTTCTCGATAGATATGTGCCGAACGGCGTATCGGGCAATGCGTCGTAGGTAGATTTAGCTGCAGAGAGCCCTACGATCGAGGGTAAGCATAGGTCGATCCTAGCTCTAGCTGTAAGTGTAGGCTAAGGAAGGTACTAGGTAGTGATAGGTGGCATATTGATGTCCCATGTTATATAAGTTGATGAGGCTCAACTTGAAGCATTCAAGTTGTGAAGAATGAAAAATACATGTTGTATGTATCAACATACATCAATGATACATACATACTAGGTAGTACCTACATATGTAGTATTATGTAGTAGACTAGTGTTATGACGTCGTTGGTCACGTATAATGGTACAGTACATGTAATATGGCTGGCATTTTAGCGCCAAATGATATCGATGCTTCCTGCCTCCAAATGAACAACATTGAAACCTAGAGAGTCGAGACACATTACGTGCAGGCACTAGGAGAATAAATCATACTATTTACATGGATATATGAATAGTATATCTTTCTAAACCCAATTCTGTATTTCTTAAATTTGATTTCTTTCTTTTCCCTCATGTGTTCATAAACCAACTCAGATTGCCAATTTTACATATCTTTCTTAGGTGAGTGAAGCTGGAAAAGCTTCCGACCTTCAAGGTATTATGATACTATTATCCAATCTAGCACTTCGAATATTTCACAATACCACGTTGGAAGTTGGAACACCTTCAAACGCAATAACCATACAATACATATAAGCGCTAGAGCGTCTAAGACAGCCAACCTTGGATCGTCATTCGATCCGACCATGTCAACCATGTCTGTTGATGCAGGGGAACGTACCACTCACTGGCACTCTCAGTATCATTTGGCGCGTTGTAACAATAGAGAAACCAGCAAGTCGGCTTGAGTGGGCCATAGTTACTACTTACATCCTAGGAATATTCAATATTCTTACCGACAAAGTTGCTGCATAATTCAATTCGACATGTACAAATATGTACGATGGACAATATCTGATTTACAATTGGTCCCCGCCAGTTCCAGTTGCAGCTCCAGTTGCAGTTCCAGTTTCCCCAGAATTGAAAGATTGGGGAATTCTATCGTACCTTATCAACGACCACCTACACCATTACACCATCAAGGCAGACATCACTCCTACATATTCTTTAATACCTCGCCGGCTTGACGTAGCACAAAATCACAATACCTAGTACCTATCTAATCGAGAAGAAGGATAAACACGGCGACTGATAACGGATGACGCTTTGCCTCGGCGGGAACCCAAGAAAAAAATAAAATAAAAAGAATCCATATTAAAAAGAAATAACTACCTACCTATCTAAGGCAGGTACTATATCTTGGTACTGCAGCTGACCGCCAAATATCCTATCCTTAGTATTAAGGTAGGTCTTCTCCAGAAGGATTCACATTGCGCCGAGCAGCGAGCGCGAAAAACATCTCTCAGACAAGGCCCTCGTATGTATGGGTGTGCTACTACTCCCGCTTGGGTTGTTTGCCGTTGTAACACCAATTTCGAAATAGAACCTGGATACAACTTATAGCCAAGTTAGGGTGTAGCTCAAATTCAACCGTCCATCTCCCCTCCATCACCTGTCCGAAACCCTGCTCGGTTCCTTAACCAACTTGAATTAATCTTCCTATCCGTCCGGCCGACTTTCCACGAAACTTCCACGAAACTTCTTCCCTTCTTTCCAACTTGCTATGATCCCATTGCTTTGAGCGTCCACACACGTTCTCTCGCCATCTCGAGACAATGAAGCCGCGCGCTGCGGCCGACTCGACGCTTGATCAAAGGGTGTTGCAACCTCTTCCAAATCCAAAATACACGACGTTGCATCCGAATCCGCCCCGCTTACCACCGCCGTCCTCACACCCCCTGCCATCCCGACGCTACACAACTTTCGATTGCTAGCCCTAAGCTGCAGACGCAGACGCAGACGCAGCTCCTAGAGACGCACGAGAACAAACTGCGCCTCCTACGGCAGAGCCATGCCGTCGACAGAGGCTAATACCGTCGAGGACACGCAATTGGGCTTGACTGATGAGGAAATAAATCTCCTTCGGTACCACCAAGCTCAAGCCGGCTCATCTTCGTCGCGTGCCGCTAGTCGCGCCTCCTCCCAAGGTCGTCTTCTCCTCGACAGTTCCAGCCTTGCTGCCCTTGCACGACATCTTGACCGCCTGATGCAACAAATTCAACAGCGTATCGAGAACCTCAGCAACCAGTGCTCCGTTGTGACTATGCAGCAGTATGACCACGCAGGCAATCTGGTGGACAATGCCGATGCTGAAATTGCGCGCTTTCAGGGTATTATGGCTCAGATCGACGAGCTAGAGCTCGACTTTGACCGCATTGCCCACATTAGAGATATTGTGAGGGACTACCGCCAGCGAGTCGAAGCCCTAGAACGCGAGCTCGAGAATTCAAGTTCATCGCGGCGCGAACACCACCATTCTCATCGTCACGGCCACGGCCATTCACATCGACGCGAGGCCGGTTCTTCAAGCCATCGACACAGACACTAAAGGGCGATTTAAAGATGACTCGGTTATATTGGCAGTTCTGTAGACCAGGGCGCTCATAATTACAAGCTGGCGAGAAAAAGAATTATATACCCAGCTCTCTAATGTATATGGAGAGCTATTACTGGGTTGAGAGCGGGCTTTCACAGGCTGTGGCACGAACAAATAGAAGCACAAGGTCACACGACCACAGGAAGATGGCTGGTAGCATCTAAGTGATGATTACGTCGTCGGCGGGACGGGCACAGCACCGCCTATTTGGAGGGGAGACTGTTCTTCTATGGCTATTGGTGCCATCGGGAGAAGATGGGAATCTATAATATTTATTCTGTCTCATCAAAGATGAATCGGAGCCTCGCGGCTAAGTAAGAAGAAGGGGATATAGCCTCACGGCTTTTTACGTTTGTGGGGAAACATTTACGGCGTTGGAGGGTTTCTTCTTCCTTCTTCCATCTTCCCTTCTTTTTTTTTAGTTTGATAATACCCCCTTATTTACGAGATTGATTACGCCTTTTTTGGAACGAAAGAACGAGAGCGAGTAAGCTAATAAGCAAGCAAAAAAAGAAAGCAAGAAAGAAAAGTCTACGAAAATTTGTCTGAGTATTATTTACTACATCTATTTATTATTTACTGTACTACAAATTCGTTTCTGTTTCCCTTCTTAGTCGAAACGCAAAAGATACCTCTTGAAGTTGGGTAGGGCACTTGATATTTTGGACTATACCTACCATCCTACCTACCTGCCTGCCTACCTAGGGTGCCCAGTACCTTTATTCATGCAGTTACTATTATTATTGTTATTGTTGTTATTGATACCTTTTGAAAAAGAAACGAGCCATGATTCTTGGGCTGAGGATGCTGGCTATTTTGTTTATTCTAAGAATGCCTACCTACATAGGTAGGTACATGTTTACTTAATAGTATACCTATAGATATATGGACCTTTCTTCATGAAAAAAAAAGACAAGTTTTTATAGGTGCCTACCTACCTACCTACCTACCTACCTATTTGTGTGCTCGTGTTTCTCCTCGAATCGGTCCCTGCTCGTTCATCTGGTTGACGGAGAGTTGTTCGAGCTGAGGCTGAGGACGACGATGAAGAAAGGTCTACGCTACGAACGAGCAAACAAACAAACCCCTTGCACCACCTTGGGTACGATGTCATGTAACTATCTTAATCACAAGCTCTATTTTGTAACTATTTCCCACGAGAAAAAAAAAATACTAGGTTAACCTAGGTAGGTATCTATTTAGGAATGTTTCACCGCAAGCTTTCAAGGTTTCTACTACATAGGTAGTTACCTAGGTAGTTATGCAGTATTAATTTTACTTCAACGTTATTTTGCTAATCATCGCTGCACCTACATAACTACCCAACTAACTACCTAACTACCTAGCTAGTAGCTACATACCTAACCTAGATACTTGCCCAACTAGGTACCTAGGTACCTACCTACTCATAAACGACATACTTAAGCCTCCCCCTAACATCCTCAGGCAACTCGTCGATTTTCAAGACACCCATCTTGACGCAGTCGCCGAGGAAGAACAGGGCGCGTTCTCTGGCGTATCCTAGATAGTCGAACTCGCTTGCCTCGGCGTCTTCTTCGTCTTGGACACCACCACCACCACCACTGCTACTTCCTTCTGCTGCAGCATTTTTGCTGCCGTCCTTCGCCTTCTCACCACCGACGTCGTCGTCGAACCCCGGTATCGTGGCCTGCATGACGCCCCACGCGATCCACTGCGCGCTGTTCGCGACGCGCCAGATCCTCGTCTCCTCGATGAGGGCCTCGACCTGGGCGTCGATCACCTCGGCCGCGCGGCGCTCCTCCTCCTTCCAGCCGCCGGGCGGCGCGCGCGAGTCCAGCATGAACTCCTTGATGGAGCTCGTGGGGCCGAGGCTGGAGTTGGAGATGGTGGCGGTGAGGGCGGGGGTGCTGGGCTGGAGGACCGGCGTGGCGAGGGGGGTGATGTTCGGGGTGGAGGCGCCGGGGTGTGGGAACTCGGGGCGGTGGTGGACGTACGCGCGTATGAAGCGGCGCTGTTCCTCGAGCGTGGGGTACAAGGAGGTGTTGCAGGCGAAAGAGGCGTTTTCGTCGTGGTAGTTGTAGCACCACTCGGTAAAGTGGTTGGCAAATTCTAGACCCCGCGTATTTGCCGCCGAGTATTCGAAGTCGATAACCACGAGCTGTTTGTGCTCGTAGTTGGGCTGGAGGAGGGGCGATTTCTTGTCGTCGGGCCGGACGCGGAGGATGTTGCCGTACTGGGCCTGGTGCGTGGTCAGCTCGGTATCTTTTTTAGACGAAGAAGGGAAAATGGAAAAAAAAAAGATTGCAGAACTTACATCGCTGTGTGCGAACACGAGCCGGTCCCGGATTGTGTTGGGGCTTCTATAGTAATCATCTAAGAATTTTCGATACCTGTCCACCACTTCCTTGAAAAAGGGCCACTCGACTCCGCAGATGAGGCCCCCCTGCTTCCACGCATCGGCAGGGCCCCTGATGGGTCCAACATCACCAGAAAGGATCTTTTTATCGAGAAACATGACCGCACGTGACACCCGATCGAGCCAACTATCCCAGTTCACCAAGACCTTAGGTCCTCCGTCCTTTTCATAGTCTAGAAGCTCGATACCGTCGTGTAACTCTCTCATCCGCTTCGCGATCTTCTTCGACGTATCCGGGTCTCGTAGATCCGCTGCCGTAAGAGCCTCGGCGTTGAGATACTGTTCGAAGCGGCCATTGGTAAAAGTCCCTAGTAAGCGAGGCCCAATCTTCTTTCTTGCGAGTCTTCTCAGCACGCTTAACTCGTTCTCCCTGTCGATGATGTGCTCCACCTGGGGACCGTATATTCGCAAAAGTAGTTTTGGCGGTGTTAGATTACCGCTTTCTCCTCTTGTCACTATGTCTTCCGGTGGGGAAACGACGTAAACAGCGTTCGTCAGAGCACCACTTAGTCGAGTGACATCAATGCTATCGCCTCTATCCAGTGGAACACGCCTCCAGCCCTTGAGTCGCAGAGTATGCGATAGCTTTATAATTTCATTCTTGAACGTAATCCATCCTTTGCGCTCCTTCTCCTCCTTTTTACTCGACATCGAAGCGCCATCGTCTGTGGAGCCAGGCTTCCCACCAGAGTATCCCAAGGTCTTGGAGTTGTCCAAAACCGCATCACAAGCTGGAACCCGGACGTCACCGTCGTGGTACTCCGTATCGGACGAAGCTGTCCGGTGCAGGGTAACAGATCGTCTTCGTGGGGATTTCTTCCTGAGCCTCATACTGTAATGAGGTATCCCGTGAAGGCCTAACGCGCTCATGCTGTCATCAATGATCTTTTGCAACCTGTCCAGAGACACGTCGCTCGATTGAGAGTCAATTGAGTGTGATCTTTTTCTCTCAGGCTGGGTGGGAGATAGCTGTGGTGGTGAATCGGCTTTATCGGCATCATCCTTCACGGTTTTCCGTCTACTCGAATGCACTCTCCTCGATCTCCTGTTTTGTTTCTTGACTCGCTCATGTTCAACCCACTCGGCGACCTGGGCCACGAACTTGTCCAGGTGATTGGAGTGATGGTGATGATGGGTATGTGGGCGGCTACTATCCTGCTGATTATTCGGAGTGCTAGTATGACTACTTAGCGCCTCCAGGCTGTTCTGACTTAGCATAGAGGATCTGGAAGAACCGAAGTCCGGTATGGCTGGACGGCCACTTAGGCGCTTTGCAAGACCAGCTGAAAACTGTCTCTTTGGAAGCGTATCTTCCGTACTGACTTGATCCGTCTCGGGTTCGGCTATCTGTACCGCTGGAATGGGGTAAGCATTATACGATAGAAGAGAAGAGAGATATTTATATGCCCAGGAGATCATGACGAGGATGCTTCAGGGCCCACTCATGAGCTTCCATGAATATGTCTGGTTGACGTTTATTTATCTGGCTTGTGTATATTGGTGGGATGAGCAGCCTTTGTTGGCTTAGACCTGCTATATAGAGATCTATATACACCTTGATTTGGGTGCCTACTAGGTACCCGGTCACCATAACGCCACAGAATCCTGATTAGATATGTTACACGCATTTGTATGGCCGAGCTGAGCTGAGGAATAGCCATAAGTGCTCAGCTCCGAGGGAAGTGATAGATAGATCCTAGACCAAAGCTCACGCGAGCAGATGTAACCTCACATAGAATGCGGTTGGGGCAGTTATGTTGAATAGTAGAAAATAGGAACGAAAGCAAAGAAACCAACCAACCAACCTTTTGCACTAGAAGTAGTATTCTGAGAAGACGGTCTTTCAATATCATCATCCTGCTTCAGAGCAGATCGAAGTGGATGCCCATCGCTGGTGAGGTTTGGTGTAGAGGCAGACATGTCGATATTCAGATATCTTCTCCAAATTAATGAGGGGCAGGGATGATAGTTAAGAGCTAGGTATGACCTAGGCCTTGTCTGTAGATTGATGCTCCTTCTTTCTCGAATGACAAGCTTCTTCGTCTGCTGTGTCGTACGTGTGATAGGCAAAGATAGATAAGGGGGTAAGCAGCTAGTCGTAGTATAGAAACAATTGCATTTCCGAGATATGGACATTGGACATAACAATGTCGAACAAGACTGTACTTTACCCCTCCCAGGTGTGAGGGCGGGCGAATGGGTTTTTTTTTTCTCTTTTCTTTTTTAATAAAAGAAATGAGATCAACTTCTTCTGGAATGGGTTGATGTCAACTGATAAGAGGTAACTAAGTAGCCCACACTGCGAGACCAAAAAAAAAAAAAAAAGATAATGCACCTAGTAACCAAAATTATTGTCAAATAGGGCAAGTGCAAATGGACCCATCATACGGTCGCCAAACCGCAAACCGTAATGTCGGGACCCCCTTGCAGGATATGCTACAGGGGATGTACCCTCGCGATAACCTTAAAAGTTACCCGTCAATTCGTTATTCGTCTTACAAGTTACATATGATAATGGAACTTGGAAGATGACACAGCGTCATATATTCATTCATGTCTTGTACTTGCCTTCATTCACTAAAATGTAGCTGACAAAGTGAAGCGAGAAAATATATCTTGTTGTACAATACTGTACTTGAAACATATCAAACAGGTTAAAATAAATATTTGTATTTTAATGCGTAAGTGACATGTAACTATACATATATGTATGTCTTTGTTCAACCTCTCATATGCAATTCCAAGGGCACGTGTGGGCGTAAAATGACGTCGTTATTTACGCAACGATTTCAAAAGCTGGGGGAGCCAAGGAAGTTGACAAGCGCCTGCATAACTATTAGCGTACTATGTAGTTAGTTATGTCAACGGCAGAACAAGACTTTCGAATGACATGTCTGATCACACGTGCAAATAGACTAGGACTTGAACTTGGAAACTCTAATTCTATAGAATTGGAAAATAGTATGTATATTAATCCAGCATCAGCGAGGTTTTCCCATCACACAGGATGTGTAAAGGGGGAAAAAAAAGGGGGAGAGCACCATCATCTCAACTCGAGTAAAGCAAACATTAGTTAGGTAGGTTAGATATATAATACCTAATGTCTAGAAATGCCTACCTCTGTAAATGCAAGAACCCTAGCCTCCCTACCTGGGCACTTGAATCGGGACAGCGACAGACGGCCAAGCACCTACCCAAATTCAATGTCGTATGATTATCGACAGTATGTAGAATTAGAAGTCACTCCACTTAATACCGCCCCTTTTCCCTCTCCCGCGCGAGCGCCCAATTCACTGCTTCCTCCACATTATCAACAATTACCTTGGGCTCGAACGCCGGCGGGCCACCTCGCTCCGGACTCCAGACGCCCGTGCGGACGAGCACCGAGGTCCAGGGCGTCCCAACGTCACTTTTGTACTCGTTCGCGCCGCGGATGTCGCTTGCCGGGTTATCGCCTATCATGTAGACGTTCTGCAGGGGCTCGAGGTTCTTAGGTGGGGTACCGAGTAGCTGTGCGCGGTGCGCGTTGAGCACCCGCTCGGCGTAGCGGTACGTCCAGGCGTGCGGCTTCCCGATCGTTGTGCTCTTGAGCGGCGCCGCCCGGTCCGTGATCTCCTCCCAGACACCCCTGAGCGCCGCTTGGAAGGCGCCCTGGCCAAACCGCGGCTGCGCGTACCCTGAGCTCCAGAACAGGTCCGGGTTGCTGAAGAACAAAGGCGGCTGGCCGTCACTCTGCCACCCTTTGTCCGGCAGATCTGGCTTGCCGTTCTTTTTCGAGTATGTGCCAAGTACGCCCCCGGACGACAGGAGTAGATCCATAATGATCTGAATATCAAGGGCCCAGTCGCGTGGGTCGTTGAACACGAAGATAGCGTCGATCTTGGGGTTTGGGGACGGTAGGGGCCGCGCTGTCGCCGCGTATACCTCCTTCATGAGTGGCTCGAACGGCCAAATGGCTGGTTCCGCGGCGAGGATGTCGGCGGGCGTGATCACATGCTTGAAGCCATAGCCCTCGGCAATCTCGCGGCACCTCCCACCGTCGGAGCCAGTCACGAGTATATTCTTATCGCGCAGACCCTCGCCCTTGCCATCGGGCCCATGGCGGACTAGCTCCTGAAAGGGCGTGTGCGATTGGATGAAGTTGTCCGTGGTTAGCTTGACACTAAGCTTGGCGCTTAAGTCGGCCACGCGGTGCAGCTCATGCTTGCCGCCGCCATTGGTGAGTAGGATGAAGGGTATGTTCTCTTTCTGGAGCATTTCCAGGGTCTTGGTGGCACCGGGGATGGGCTTGGCGACATGTAGTAGTACACCATCAATGCTATGAAATTTTTATAAGTAAAGTAGTCCGTTATGATGCTTCTCCTACACTACTGAGAAGGTAGGTGGAGCAGAAAGTACTCACTCGAAGGCAAAGGCAAACGACGGTGGTTTTGGAGGTGCTGCCGTCGACGCTCCCTTGAATCCACGATATTGACCGAAAGTATGCCGTTTTGGTGGTAATGCCTGGTTACTCGGGGCCCGAATCGGCCTCAACGGGGTTGGAGGGTGGGGCCGCAGTATATGACCGGACACTGCACTGCCAAGCTGTGCAGAACGAGAATGAAAAGCCTTCATGATGACCGTACTGTAAATTACCTCATATCATGCTTCCTTTAGCCGGCACAACTACTCATTTATGTTCCAAGGTTGTGTAGTAGGAGATTTAATAAAGGGAAGGCCAGTTCAGGCATGACTTCCTGCACATAATAAAACTGAATTGATTTTAACTAACCCCTGCCCCCATAAATTGGCGGATACATTTGGAACTTTATTAGCTTTTATCGGTCTTATCGGGCCTTCATCAACTTCTGTAATAATACCTAGTATAATAGGTAGTTACCGGTACAGCTTGAGTTATATTACATATAATATCTCCTAAGATTTGATATCTTAGGTATCATAATTTTGAAGTACATCGTACATCATGCAAGAGTTGATTTTTACTATGTACAGGGTCGGCATATTTACATCAATATCCATACCTACAAAGTACCAACAGTACCTGGTAAGTCCTTGACCTAGCAGGTGATATGGCAACCTACGTACAGGTAGGCCAAAAGATCAACGAACGGGTCCAATCACATTCTATTGCCTCAAAGGACCCTTCCAATCCTTCATATGATCCAGAATGACCTTCGCCGCCTGCTCCGGACTATGCTGCCTGCCCAGCGCCTCCACAAAGTCTCCCTCGGGATCCATGAGGTAGAAGTAGATACTATGATCAACAAGGTAGTCCTGGCCGGGCTTGACGTCGCGCGGCGTGCTGAAGTAGACGCGGTACGCCTTGCACACGTCCTTGATCTGCTCGTACGTGCCCGTTAACCCAAGAAAGCGCGGGTGGAACTCGGCGAGGTACGACTTGAGCGTCTTGGGGTCGTCGCGCGCCGGGTCGCACGTGATGAACACCGGCTCCAGCTTGTTCGGCGCTTTTTCCTCAACCAGGTCGAACATGCGCGCCATCTTGTCCAGCTCCTCTGGGCAGATGTCCGGGCAGTGCGTGAAGCCGAAGTAGACCTGTTGGTTGCGCCACCAAGCACCAGTTAGCAACACTCCTTTACCCACAGTAGTAGCTAGTAGCCTCATATTCCCCTCCAAAAAAAGCCCCCTGTATCGGAAACAGAGGTAGAGGAGCCAGGGGTAAGGGAAAGAGGAAACCAACCAAGCTATACCGGCCCTTCAAGTCCTCGCTCGTAAACGGCCTCCCCTCATGATCCACCAGCTCAAACGCGCCGCCTACCTTGGGCCTGCCCACACCTTTCGTCGCATCCGCTATGCGCTTGCGCTGCATGCGCGCCTTCTCGTACTCGAAGTACCACACCAGCCCCGCGCTCGTGATTATGAACAGCAGGCCCGCCTTCCACGAGAACGGCCCCATGCGGTACCTGCTCTTCGCTTCCTCCACCGTCTTCATCTTGTACCGGCGCTGCTCGAAGACCATCGGGCTGCTTTTCGGGTTCGTGGTGCTTTGCCGCTGCTGTGGGTGGTGAGACGAGCATGTCGTAGGCCGTCGCGGAGGGGTAGTGCTGGAAGAGATGAGGCGGCGGCATTGCTGCTGCTGCGCTCGCGGTTGGCCTTTAAGAAGGGATCGCAAGAGCGGCTGCGGAGCCGTTAATGAGCGTGACATATTCCTGACGTCTGGCGACTTTCGGTGTTGCGAATTGAGCACTCGTCAAAGCTGAACTTAGAGGTGGGAGTGAATTTTGAATTTATTTGTATGGAGCTTTGGTATGGCATGCATAACCTACCTGCTGCAGCGTAGATGGTCAGTTCAGATAATCGATAACATTAAATTTTATGCCGGTCAACGGTCAATTCCGATACTAGCCTTAACTATTACTAGGTAGTACCCCCGCCCGGCGGCCTATTTATCTAGGTTACGCCACTCATGGCTGTCACTTAACTACTTCAGCCACATGAGATACACCAGTCACTGATGACCTTAGGGTACTTGAGATTCACATGATCAATCCTTCCATCTATCAACAAAGAATGCTTTATACCTATAGAAGGAACATAGTTATCACGAGTCTCGGTGGTATGATTTAGATGTAGCCTAACCAACCTTGAAGCTATTGAGTTTTCCCATCATCGAAAGCGTTATTTAAGCACATTTTGCCATGTCTTGTCTTAATATGAGCAAAAACCCAACATTGCGGAATCACATTCCATTATCTTATTAAGTATGTTATAACTACAAGTGTTACTGCATTCTGTCATGTCTGCAGAAACGATAGAGGTCAAGATACCCTTCGTAATATCATCTTCAGGCCTCCACCACCCACATAACCTCGCGCAAATCGTTCGTTGGCGTCCAAAAATTCATTTCATTATGCACAGTCGACGAGGTGGGCAAGCCTCAAATAAAAACAATGTCCATCGAATACCCTTGAAGGGGGCCATGGCGAAGAATGGGAGGAAACAACATGTAAGAAAACAATGCCCAATGCCAGTCCTGTTGTTTTGCAAATGCCAAAATGCCAGCCTACCCGCCGAAACCCCATTCCGTACAACAATCATCGTACTTATTAAGACTCCTTGCTGAATCAGCATAAGGCCTTTTTATGCTTCTTTCTCTATTTTCCTTTTTCGTTCCAGCCTTAAAACACGTACAAAACACACACCCCATTCAGGCCTCACCCTTTTCAGGGAGCATGTGGAGGACAGACAGTAAAACACCAACAAGCGAAGTGCCGGGAATCAATTTCTGGATTTTCTCCTTCCCCACTTGCTAGACCTCACAGAATCCAATGCCGCAACTTGCTCTTTTAGTCGTGCCTAGGCTTGATCATGTGAGCTCGCTCGTTGGGAAGGCCGAGAAAGTTGGTTCGCCATTATTTTTAATGTCGGCTGATCTGACTTGCACTCGTTCGGCTTCGTTCTTCCTCCTCCTCGAGCACATCACTAAGGCGTGTTGGGTGGTGGTGGCGAGGGCCCATCTCATCCCAGGGCGCCGAGTATCCCGCACCGCTGTAGTCCGGAGCTGATGAGTACTGTGGCTGTTGAACGCCGGCGCCGGTTGGCTGATAGACGGTTGGTTGTGTAGTGGGCGGGGGCGCGTCGTAATCCTCTGCTGCAACATTAGAACCTTTTGTATAAGGAGTGCGGTTGGGGTTGGTGGTTGGCATTCTCTGACCTTCGCTGTACGTGGCTTCGGAGCCATAGCTCTGTTGGTGGTGCACCGGGTTTGTGCTGGTAGAAGCTGGCGTTGGCTTGACTGCAGGTGCTTGAGAGTATTGAGGACGAGCCGCAGAAGGGGAAGTAGGTGATTGAGCATAATCTGTGGAATCAGACTGGCCGTACGATCGGGGGTCTCGCTGACTACCACCCCGACCCACCCCCTGAGTCATGGGGACAACTTGAACGCCACCGACTATGGTAGGTTGGCCTAGCTGCAAAGACATCGTGCGATCCCTCTCTTCCTGCTCGCGTCGACCAAGCTCTTCCCACGCACGTCGAGCTTCCTCTTTGGAGATTGTCAACTCCTTCCGCAATTCAGTGATCTGCTTCTGCATCTTGGATGTGCCCTTTTCACGCTCAACTGCTTCACGGATGGCATCTACTCGGGTTCGACGCTCCTCTTCCAGAGCAGCCTCCAGCAAGGCAGTAGTTTCATGCGCACGCTCAAGGTCGGCGCGGGTTTCGAAGAACCAGCGTTGGAACTTTCGCTCTGACGAAGCTCGTAAGCGTTGCAGCTCAACTACGGCATGGAATAAGTTGGCGCCCGCAGATGAGAGATCGGTAACTTGGCGAGATAATTGTGCGGAAACGGGATCCTGGCTAATTTCTTTAGCGCTCTGCTCCAATCTACGGATCCAGAACCCAGTGAGGCCTTCCCAATGGGCTGATAAGGTTTCCCATCGCTCGAACGCGTGAGGGAAAGAGTTCCTGCCTCGTCCAATAGCGGTTGGCGAGTATTCGTCCGCCTGAGGTGGTAACTGAGGGGGAAGCTGATGTTGAGCCCCTGAAGGGTCGCCTGCTCCAGTTCCAGCCCCTGCTCCTGCTCCAGGTCCAGAAGTCGAGGGGGGCGGTATCCCTTGTGCAGCAGAATTGGCTCGTGCATGTCGCGCCGACTGTGCAGCTTGGGGTTGTGTAGCGCTGGGCACTCGGGATTGACCGGTTTGGCGTGCGCTGTTGTCTGTCGCGCGACCAGAAGTAGTTGCTTGGACCGGCCGTCTTGGGGTAGAATCAGCACCGGTTCCATATGGACCAGCGCCAGCAGCAGCGGCAATAGCAGCTCGACGTTCTGCCTCCTTTCGCTCTGCCTCTCTCAGTTCTGTCTCTTCCTGCAAGCGCGCCTCAGTCGCGGCATGTTCTCTCTCCATTCGTTCCCGCTCTTGTTCCTCGCGCTGTCGCTCTCGTGCAGCTTCACGTGCAGCTCTCTCTTGCATAATCACGCGGGGCCCTCTAATACCAGAAGGGGAACTAATAGGAGCTCGTGACGTTGTAGGTCTCGCTGGCGAAGCGCCATTGCCGTTCGAGGCTGCTGGGCCTCTGCCACCTGAAATATCAGCCATTGAGGCGTATAGCTCGATAGGGTCGTCAGAGATCTGTTTAGGGCCACGTAATGTCTGCTCAAGGGCATATAAGATGGCGCTGTGAGTTTGCTTCGAGACTCGAAGAGCCGGATGGGTTTCTGGTCTATTCGGGTCCGAAGTGGACTGAGTTGTGTGATATGGAGAGGAAGAGTGGGTAGATGTTGCTTCAGAGTCGTTGCTTAGATTCCCTTGTGAGAGCTGCCTTCTCGGTAGCTTCGGTCGTTGCTTTCGATCTTGTCGCTCAGTGCCTGCAAGAATGTATTGGCCTTGGGGGCCAAGAGTGACTGTGACTCGGCCAATTGGTGGTTGACGCGTTTGTTGCGCGTCAAGCCGAGGTGCCTGGTCTGGTTGAGGGCGAGGTGAAACTGAGAAGCGCGGGGTTCTGCGCAGACGATGTAGAGATGAAGGGGTATCAGTCAGTCGGCGATCTGGAGTAGATGGAGGAGAGGCTGGGCGAGCAAGGCCTTGCTGCTGGCGCTGGGGTAGTATTGACGTAGAAAATTCGTGACGGTCGTGACGGTCGTAAGAAGGTGTGGTGGGTTTTGGTTCTGTCAACGCTGCTACCTTTTCACCAAAAACGCGGACTGAAGCCGGAGTCGACAACGTGAGTGATTACCACTGAAGAATACCACTAGTAGTGGTAACACATAAAACCCACCAAACAAATACAGATTATGTAGCGGTGGTCCCCCGAATTGCCCTCTGATAATTCCAAACGTAAAAACTTTGCGTGTCAGAAATAAAACGATTAGAAAGGTAAGTCGGTAGCGGTGTGGGTATAAACGGTGAAGGGATCGCGGCGCGGCGCAACTTGATGATAAAAAATTACACTTTCAGTCACTTTCAGTTCTTGTGCCTTTAGCTAAGTGGCTAAGTGCAGGAATGAAATGGCGAATAAAATTGTATGTAATATGTACCCTCAAGTAAGCATATGCTGTGAAGGATACTTCTTACATTCAAAGTGGGAAATAGGCTGAGGTTGAGGTTGTAGGATTCGGCCTCTCGTGGTGGTTGGAAAGTTAGGAGGTTGGTTTATGTTGGTGTGTGTGGAAAATACAGATGGCTGGTTGCGCATGAGAAGAGACGGACTGAAGTCGCGAAACCCAGAGCTGGCTACCTGTTACTACCTAGTAAGCAGGTAAGGTTACCACTCTTCAGAAGATACTGTAAAGATGTATTCTAATGATTTTTTGATGCCTTATTCTTTAAGTTCTTCGTTTGCGACTTATCGACGTCTCCAGGGAAGTGATTTTGCGTGGTTTTCCAGGTTTGATGCTCGGCACACACAGACACATGAACACTCACAGACCGATTTATCAACATGCGATCCCAGTAGCGACAGCAGCGCCCGCGCTGCCTTGTCGCCAGACACGAGTTGATTTGTTAGGTAGGGGAATGATGGAATGTTGATGGCCTGTTAAAAAATAAATTGAAGAGAGCATGTTCCTATTTCAATGGCTCATTGAACAATGCACCTTTGGGGAGAGTTTTTTTTTCCAAAAGAATTTTAGAAAAAAAGAGCTAAGCTGAGCTCTGAGATGGAAGGAAAGTGCCAACACAACAAGCACACATGTACGTATTGTACTATAGCGCAGCTGCAGCAGAAAGACACATTTGATGGATTATCATCTGGAAGGTACCACCTACCTATCTGCCAGTCTGCCAGTCTTGCTTGCCTACCTTTTGCTCTCACACTCTCACTCGCACGGTCCACTTTGTCGGACTTAGACTTGCATCATAATCATCATAATCTTTACCCTATTCCAGATTAAAAAGGCGTGAGTGAATAGGCAGAGGTAGGTAACACGGAGATTACTGCTGATTTCTGGTCGTTTCTTTGGCTGAAGAACTCCATTGCTGCTTCATGAATCGTCCATCGTCCATCCGACCCTCTGACGTGTGACATTCACAATAATAGTTTACCTTGAAATGCATTTGATATATCCCCGCCCAACTCAACCGTGGCTTTGGATTACATGCATTTGCTTGATCTGGCGGATGCGATCCATCTTTATAGTATTGGGCCAACTTTCTACCAAACTAAGACTCGACGAATGGCAAGTCAAAAGTCGATTCCATTTGATACATAAATGTAATCAACTCTTACATACGTAGCTATGTTCGTCCAATAGAGCTTACCTTTAAGCTACGAACACGTAATTCAGCCTGAGGAACTAGTATGATAGGAGCCAAGCTGAGGGATAAGTATGCCTAATGCCCTACATACCTAAAGGTATATATATGTAGGGACCTACCCAACGTTGACAGCGCAGTATGTTATGTAGTTACATAGGTAGATGGCAAAGATGGCACAAGAGATAATGATTTTATGTAATACTTGATTTGCTTGATTAATAACTTTGTGCAGACAGGATAAAAAGAGAAAGATGGGGTGTTGGATTGTCATAATAATAGAATAATAGAAAAAGAAGTTAGTTATGCGTTGGCAATTTAGTGACGAAACGTTTCTCATTAGCGTCATGCAGGCACTCCAGGGAGCCTGAGGGAGGGCCCACTCGACGCTAGAAGCTAACAAGGCTCATGGTCGTCCCAAAAAGCTGGAAGCGCACCAACCTAGCGACAATTGATTCGCAGGGATTATCAAAGTTTTCAATATTTATTTCCAGATCTTGTCTGTTTTAGGTACTACCCTACTAAGCATTTATCCCCTATTTGTCTTGGATGGGGTGGTTCCTGAAGATCTAACGAGAGATCATTTGAGACATTCAGATGAGACCCAAGTTGATAACTAACCCAAGTTTAACACAATTGTCTTGGTAATGAGTTCCAGACAAATCTATGGATATTGTCTATGAATATTATGAAATAATACATTCATCACCAAAGAGTTTTGTGTAGTATTAGTTAGTTATGGGGGAGAAAATTAAATAGAAAAGACAAAATTTAAAAAGGAATATGGTCCCTCTGCTAACCCGAAGGAAGGACCGACAATAATACGAAATTAGAAGGAGGTACACGTATCCAGTAAGCCCAAACTCAGTTTGCATGATACATAATACCAGGTACCTGGGTAACTTCAAGTAATAGACGCATGTACATACAACAAAATCCTGATAATGACAATATAAAAAAAAATGAAATCTTGGAATAATTACCTTAGGTAGTTGGTCAAAAAAGACTTCAATGTCGATGAGCTCATATCAAACCCGTTAGTAAACCGTTTCCAATTCAAAGACCCGACAAAACTTAAAGCTTCGAGGAACGACCCGTCCCTCCACCTATATAACTCCAGATGCATTGGCCAATCAAAAGCTCAAGTGCCTATGTAAGACTTTAGTCACCGTTGAAGCTCTCACATCCTACATATTTTAGCTGCGACCTTCAAAGGTTTACAAGTTACAACGACGTAGGCGGGGTAGTATCAGAAGTCCCGGCCTTCCAACCCCTTAAATCTTGCCGTGTCATATGACTTCTTAGACTTCTTCCAGTCTAGTGTTTTGCGGCTTGCCCAAAGACCTCGTATAGTTTGCCTGCCTACCTGCCCAGTACGTAGTTAGTAATTTTACATATACATAGTAGTTATACCTACTATATGCTGGGCAATGGGCATCTCTAAGTTTAGCAGGCCTGAGAACTTCTAGAACTTTAACTACTAGGTGCCCTTGGTAGCTTCTACCAGAGTCAAGCGACTTCAGGTAATACTAAGGAAGCGAGGCACCTAGACCAGTAGGTTAAATTGACAAACAAGGCCAGCATATTTCGCGATAGCCTCTAAGAAACGGTGTGGCGTTGTCGGGATGTCCGCGTTTGCTCGCTAAACTGCGGTGAGGTAGGTACACTGTCAGTAATAGGTGCTATTACTCTGCATGCAAGAGAGGGGGGAAATCGTTGAAAACTGCATGCACGATATACACGGCATATGTAAGTAATGTGTTTCTTTCGTATCCTGCGCGTGGCTATGCAGGGGTTCAACATACCTCCCTACATATGATAAAAAAGGTCCACATGAATCCTTTGAGTACTAGTTAGTCTGTAACGAGAGGATGAGGTATTCATTGGTGACCGCAAGATACCCAGATAAATAAGAATAGGCATGTAAACAGCGACAGCGACAGCGTAAAAAAGACTGGGTGGCGTGGGTGCTGGGAATCCTTCGAACCTGTATGCGGAAGAGATAGGAAAGAAATAGGAAAATCTCACCCTTAACGGCCCTCGTACAGGCACATGGTCTTCCCCATCCTTCATTCCTTCGTAGACTTGCACGTGTATGTCGTAAAAGGACGGAATCAAAGATATTAGCTCGCATATTGTAGCCGCGAGATAAATTGCCTGTTATCTGGTAGCCAGTCAATGTATAGACGTAGATAGGTATAAGACAAGTAACGTTGTGAGGCGAGTATCGACGTCCAACCCATTACAACAGGCAGAGCACAATTCCGGCGGGATAAACTTACCGTACCTAGTATCTACATCGTCCACGTGCTATAATACTATTCTCGTCGTCGGGAGTTTATAAATTAATTGGGTGCAATGTTCCTCACCTTCCACGCATCCAAAAGGCGGCTACTCACATAATCACGGTTATTTATATCTTTTTCCGGCCTTTGGAACATGGAACATTAAGAAAAACAACAATCACATTGGAGTCACCAGTATGGAATGAACGAACGGTAGAGTATTCAGTCAGGGCGTCGCCATTTACGACTAGCTGAGGTTTTCGGTAGGTAATTACAAAGAGGGTAGCGCATTTGATATGGATAGTTAGTAGGAGTAGTAGTAGTCTATAAAGAGCAAAGGGACAACGTTTTCAAGAATTTTTTCTTCACCGGCAGCCCCCCTTCCTCAACAAGGGGGGCCCTTCCTTCTCTCCTCCACAGCCGTCTACGGGAAAAAAACCACTTATGGATGAAGTGGCTTAGTAGTTGTACCTGTAGCAGAAGTGTCCGTTGGTGGTGTCGATGATGTCGCGCACGGGCAGGTCGGGGCACTTGTCGCCGCAGATGTTGCCGAGGTAGACGACGCTGTCGAGCGTCAGGGGCTGGCAGGTGTCGGCATCCTCGCATCCGCTGATGGTGGTCATGCGGGACGCGTCGTCGAGCTGCCACTTGCGGAAGGCGTAGTCGACGAACAGATGGTGCATGAAGAAGGACGGGTCACCGGGAGAAGCGATGGCGTCAGCCATGATGCCACCAACACCGTTGTGTCCCTGTCCGTGGAAACTGTTTTATGATGTTAGCATGATTATAATGCTGCAAACTAGAGAGAAAAAGTAGACTTACGTGAACTCGACGCAAGAGTGGAAGTCGGGGTACGTGGTACGGGCCATGCAGGCGTTCCAGGAGTCCATGCCGGTCTGGGAAGTAACCTGCTCGTCAACGGCTCGCTGAAGACAGTGCTGGTAGTCAACGGTCATGCCGGGTCCAATGAAAAGCTGGAGGCCAGCGAATCGCTATAGATAAATTGTTAGATATAATTCATTTCTGGTGGATTTTTGAAAAAAAGGGGTTAGAAATGGTTGGTGTAACTTACGCCATCGTTAATGCAAATAGCATTGCCGTTAACAGCAGTGGGCAGGCTGCCGAAGTACTCAGGGGTGAAGATAGTAGACTGAGCGAACTTTCCAGCCCACTTCTTCTCATCCCACCAGGGGAAGGCCCTGTCGAAGCCACACTCGTCACGTAGGACCTGCTCGAAAGCCCAGACGTAGTAGCGGTGCCATAGGATGAACTTGTGAGTCTGCTGGGTGGTGCTCTTGCTGTGAATCTTGGGGGAGTAAGACTGGTGGAGACGGACGAAATCCTCGAAACGGTTGCGGGCCGGGGAGAAGCGTCCGGACGCGGGGCTCTCGATGAGGCACTGGATGGCATCAACGAATGCCTTCTTGTCGGAGGCGGCGAAGTCGTCCCACTCGAAGCGGACGTTGGGGCTGGAGCAGGTGCCGGCAACAGCGCTCTGCTGGGTACCCTCGGTGCCCTCGGTGTCAGAGAAGCTGGAGGGGGAAGCAGCGCTCTCGCTGGATGAGTTTGCGGCGCTCTGGTTGCTCTCGAGGTTCTCAGGGCTCTGAGTAGTGTCCTGGGTGCTCCCGGTGCTGTCAGTGCTAGCGGTGTCGAAAGTCTGGTCCTCTTCGCCATCCTCGCTAGCGGTAGCCTTCTCGGCATCGTCCTTGTTGCCACCCTTGCTGCCACCTGCACCCTTGAATGAAGTGATCTTGAAAAGAGGCGAATCGGCCAAGCTCGAAATGGGAAGGCTGCTGAAGTTGGTTCCAATCAAATCCACCCTGTTGATGGCATCCTCTATCGAAATGGAATGGACCTGACCGAAGTGGCCCAGGGGCAACCCTTCAAGAAACTCCTTAACATCCTCTAAAGTCTCCTTCAAAGTATCCTGTAGGTAATTCGGAACGGCGGCGGCAGATGCCGCCGAGATGAACAAAGCATTAGAGACCTTCATGTTTGGGTAGTTAGTTACCGTATATATAATTATATATACAGTCTAAAATGGATTTAAACGAGCGGCAGACGATCGAGATCGCTAAGGAAAGAAAGAACCCTATTTAGAAATCGCATGGCGGCGCCTCACCACCTCTTATAACCACTTGGTCGCTAGAACTGTTGCGGGTCCTCATCTCTTCTCACGCCTCAGACCCATGTGGATCCTACTTCCGACTACTACGTAGCAGTAGAAGTCTGTCCCCGGTTCTCCCAAATGCGGGTGTCAACCGTGCACGTCTATACCTCTCTACCCAAGGGCCGATGGTTTCGGCAGGGTATAGCCAAGTCGTACGTTTAGACGCTGAATTGGCGTGTAATTATTGGTTGTGAGTTGGGTAATACGGCATCAGGCCGGTGTCCACGCGGTACATAGGTGAAGGAAGAGCTCGAGAAGCAGAGTATTACTATGGCGCTGAGTGTATGTACATACACTACATAGTAGCATACGAGATTACTTCTTGCATAGCAACTTTCTGATTGGGGCCGTCTAGCGGTCCTTTCCTACAAGGAGAACCAGGGGAAGCCTGTTCTAAACTTGGATCGGGGGCATAACTCATAAGCTCACCAGTACGCATTGGGGAGTTGTCAGCTGTGACAGCCCTACTTCTACCCAATCATTGAACTGAATCGTTCGACAAGTTGCAGGGCCTGACTTCCTTAGCGGCTCCGCTGGCACGATGCAACCTAGTTGGCCTATGTGCAGACCGATACGAACAAACTAGGTAGCCTGGCGCGAACTGGGATGCCGAAGATGCGGAGTCCAAAACCGTCCTATTTTGGTGGCCTCTCACTCCTTGTCATATTCCGGTTATTGCGTCGAATGACGCTATGTATATATGTATGTATTTAGTTAGATATTAAGATATTTAGATAACTATTTCGAGATGGGTACGGAAAGTTGACTACACGGAACGACGACATTGCGGTTTTTTCTTCATATGCTATAACAATAATACAGTAAATGGTATATAATTACCGATAAAATGTTGCAATGTTGCAATGTTACTGTTACACAATAGTCACGATACCGTCATAGAGTCCCCGGGGCTGAAAATGGCTCAGGGGCTATCATGCTGAGGCTTGATACATGAATACATTGATTACCTTCCGTAAATTGCCAGTTCGATAGTCAGTCCATGCCTTCATGGGATTAAGACGGCCAGGTTTGCTGGCTTGGACGGGGTAATAGGATTTTGCTAGGGTCAACTTGGGATGAAAAGATCTATGGAGATCTCAATTGGACCAACCCTTCCATTCAGTAAATTTGCATATTTTAGAGCCTTCGATGTTGCAACGACCAAAAAAAGAAAGGGAAAAAAGGACAAAAGGACAAAAGGACAAAAAAGAAAGGAAAGAAGATCCTCAATATAGAGGTAGTGGTCTGATTGATCGCACCTAATCGACTGCTTCACTGCTGACTGCAGATTGTAAACTGCTTCAGATCGAATGGTTGTAATATCCTATTAAGCTAAAAAGCAGTGAGCCCTGGACTCGTCGGTGCTGGTAATTTGACAGTCTTTATTTACGCTTCTAGGTGGCTCGATGGATGATGGGGGATATGGGGATATCATGGGTATGACTTACATACAATATGATACAAGTCAGTCTTCTAGTACTAAGACTACTCTAAGACAGTAAGACTACTGTTAATTTCGAGGGTGTTGGTTTGGGTCTATGGTTTGTGCATAGGCTATCCAGATTGCTGCCAGAGAAATGGAAAGAATTGATCAGGTTCCATTTCTTTATGCGGAGTATGAAAAAGGAGAAAGGGGTTTTCTGATTATTTTTAATAAGAGAAAAAGAAAAGAAATCAGAGTATCGTGGCTGTGCCATTGATATGTCAGGTAGGTTTAGCCAATCGGATGATTGAAATCAAAATCAATATAAGGATATTCGCATGTGGTACGCGTTCAGGTACTAGTTTTTATCGATTCTACCTTTTCAGGGATTATTACATTAATTACTACATAGTACATAACTATTAACTACATGTAGTAGTCTAGTAGTATCTATACCCTAGGTATACTACTTAATTATACTACATAAATCCAATGGTGAATAACTTGTGTATGATAATGATACCCTAGATAACTAGGCACTAGGTAGTGTAGTATAATACGCCGTACCCTAGGTACTGTCATAAACAACATTAGAAGGATGAAGGTTAAAGGATAAATACACGTGATACGAAGCACACATCGGCAATTTATTCCCGTCGTACATTCAAGTTGATTCTTACATACATGTACTAACTACATATGTATGCATATTATTCAATGTTCATAGCTGGAGGTGTACACATACATACCCCATTTTTGACTTTAATAGGCTATCTCAGGCACACTTCTATCACCTGGGCATGAATGTAGTTGTAGAAGAAGCCCCTGCAGCGTACATGGTACCAGTAAGAGACAGGGGTAATTCACTGTAAAAACAAAAATACAGATAACTAACTATTAACCTTAACTAACCTGAAGAAAAAAAAACATTTTGTTTTCTTTCATACCTATGTAACTACATACACTTCATAGTCGTGACTTTTTTCTTCTTCTTCCGCTGACTTTTTTTTTTCTTATCTTCTTATTCCCCCAACGGAGGCAGCTTGCACAAAACCTGGAAGAAGAGCGAGAGCCTCAACTAATATTATTTATCCGACTATTGTCTTGGAATAATAAATAATTCATATCAAGCAAATTCGTTTTTTTATTATTATATGAGGATATAATACTTTATTGACTGCCGGCAAGCACCAACTTCAGCAACCTCCCGAAGATGAAGATCAATTAGGAATTAACCTCACCTCTTGGAGTCTTGGACTTCACATACATTGAGGCATTATTGACGCTGGCGCTCGGTGCGTTTCGGCGTGAGCCCGAGACTTTGGGTCTATCGAAATGCAGATGTTTAGGGGTTGCATTTGCATTAGCTTCGAAGAATGGCTATGCGGAAGACTTTTTCAATCAGGCCCGAATCCGTGAGGCTGGTAGCATTACCCCTGGTGGACCTGCAGCATGCAATGCCGATCGCAGAAATGGAGTTCCTGTCGTGCCATACAGTGGGTTCGATATGGATCTCTTAACTTCAATGTTGCGAATCGTTTATCTCCTATTTATCTTTCCATGGTACAGTAAGGTCATAGCTCTAGATCCATAGAGGACCCTGAAGGTGTCGCCGCCACCTTGGCTGCTTGGTATGAGGTAGGTATGCATGGTAAGTGTGTATATGCCGGCTTCTATCACTATCACCGCATTCTACGGGAAGTCGCACTTATCATGGACGTTCGATTTCAACAATGTTCATTGTCTTTTTAGGCCCGGTAGTCCAATGCAGTCGAACCAGACTAAAGCAGGATCACGTATTCCATACAGGAACAATAGCTATTAACCACCGAAGCTCCGAACTCCAGTTCGGTTTCAGCCACGGTAGATGGGCTTGCCGTAGCGGCGCTGGGGCGTAGAACCAAAAGAACCACCGGAACGAGGGCATCGAGGGGCCCCGGGGGTCGATCTCTCCCTCCACCCTATTTTTTCTTCATCCACTCCCTTCACCACCGTGCCTCTCCCTATTTTTTCTTTGTGACGCTCTTCAATACATCCATTGTATGTATGCAGGTAGGTATATTTAGATGACTCGGCTGGCTATCTCCAGATGTCCTTGTCACGTATGCGATCTGGTATTTCTCACATGAGATGTATCTCTTTAACATCTGCTGGTATCGGACAGCCGTGTGAGAAATGATTACAGATGCTTATAAGGCGTACATATACCTGTTCGGAGACACGCCTGTTCCTATGGGCGTTTCAAGGTCAAACTACCTCTAGGGCTTCCTTAGTACGTACCTATCTTCTCGCTGCATGGTGCTCAATACAGAACAAGGCGTTCGCATTTAACTGCCTCTTCCCTGTTCCCAAGCCCAAAGCAGCATTGCAAGCAAAACTCGTAAACTGATTACTGAGTCTTGCAGAAGGCCAGCATGCTTCTGTATGTGATAGGACCGATCTATTGGACGATCTGCAAGGCCAAATGCCGCGAGATGTCGATCTCCCGGAGCCTCAAAAAGGTTCAGAGCTACGTCTTAATCACTTGATGTCTCGGCGCATGGCCATCCATGAACAATGCCTACATAACAGAAGTCTCCAGCAGTCCAGCCAGAAAATAACGGTACGAGTCCACTCCAATGCAACCGTAAGCTACACCTGGAACTCCCAGCCCCAACCTCTCAGCTCCATAGATACCTAATTGACAAGCAATACTTAGGTACTAGATAGCTGGCACATCTAGCTTTATGTAGAGCTCCTCTTCTTCTCCACGATGCAGTGTTAGCGGTGTATAAGCAAAATTGGTCTTGGCCATGCAGGAACAAACTGAAGCGCAAGCGCGTTTTCCGAGGAGTTGACGACGTTCCCCTACGCGTCTTTCTTCTCATACTGATCCATCACATTGTAGGGGGGGCTGAGCAGCATAAGAGTTTTGCTACAGGGCTTAATGGAAGGCCCGAGTTCCCTCGTGGTGGTTGGAATGGCGTTACCCGATACATTCTTTCCGCTGTACGGAAGAGATCCCTTTCGTGTTTGTCCTCCCCATCGGCAACTTGATCGGGCGGGCTTCCTTTGGTAGATATCGGGTTCCAATCGTTACGTCTAGCAAGCAGAATTCAAGATGCATTAACTACCCAGGTAGGTAAAAGGTAATTTACTTCTTCTCCATCCCGCCACCAACATACGGATGTGGGACCGTCATATCTGACAACTCCCGACACCACCGTTTGTTATCCTGTCCCCGGTCCTTTTTTTTTTTTTTTCTTTCCTTTCTTTCTTGGCTGTGCCTAGTTGCATTCCGTCTCTAGTCGGTGACGTAGTGTGCCGTCCGATTGGTACTGATGAAAAAAGATCCCAATCCAAGACGCATCTTACACATATGGTATTTGAAATCTCCCTTGCTGTTATGCATTCTGCACAATACTTCCTCCCACTACTATCTACGTGTGGGTTTAGGATTCAGACGCGAACTAGGGAGTTCCCTACGTAAATCGTTGATAAATAAGGTATCCCTATCTGCCACATCTACCATTAGGTGATTCATGTTTTGATCCTAGCTTCCCCAGTTTGTCTTTTTCTTCGTTGTATTACTTACGGATCCCACCCTTCGATAGTCCAGATCTACAAACTAGTGTTTTGTTTTTCCTACCCTATGTTGTCTTGGTGGGCCTCCATCTTCCTCTCTGGATATCCTATAAACTGTGCGTATCCGTCATAGAGACTCAGAGCTGGCTTTCGATCTCGATCGATATTTCACACAACCATTACGATCATGGAGCTTGCCAATCAGTTGTATCAGGGACAGTCGGCCATCGATGAGGGGAGGCATCCAGAAGACGTCACTGTCACGGAACCACCAAGGAAGTTGAGCCTAGCAAACAACTTCTCTTATCCCAGGCCAGAAACACAAATGAGTCGCCATGAGTCAAGTGATAGTCGGTCGTCGTTGACTTCAAATGGCTCTGTGCCGGGGATGACAGACTCGTCTGATTCGGAAACATCGTTCGATGAAGACAGCAGTTACAATACGTCAGCTAGTGAACTATGGGATAGCTTTTGGCCCGATCGTATGGCTGTTCCTGAAGAGCAGTATCCGGCACTCTTAAGAGAGTCGCAGACGCCAAATTACTTCACGAAGAATTTCCCCAAGCAAGAAGCTCAAGAGGCAGATGATACGATCACGGTATCAAAGTTGGAGAATGCCTCCCAAGAGGATACAGTTCTTTCATCCGACGTGCCAGCTTCTCGACGGGCAGTCAGAGGTAGCGCACCATCGTACTCCGTTTACCCCAAGTTGCAACCTACCAGCGCGTTACGAGTCAACCTTCCTCCGCGGACTTCCTCATTAAGTACAGTGCCATCATCACCACCACCATCCCGACGGCACATATTGAAACCTAGCAACTCGAACACAAACCTCAAATCCAGCAGCAAGTTCCCATATGCATTTCAGCAAAACTACGCCTTTCCGCCAGCAACCAAGGTTCCAATACGGCCGACGTCGCCCAGGTCGGTCCCCGTGTCACCTGCTTACCCGCCCCCACCGCCTCCCCGGACTCTTCGCGCAGCCAGCTCAGCTCTCAATTTACGTGATAAGAGAAGCCCACTGAATCAAATCCAGAACAACACACCGTTTCCCTTATCACCGCCTTTTTCCATGATGCCACCGCCTATGCCGGAGACCCCGCCTGCATCGCGGCCTGAGCTTGAGCGATACGTCTCTGTGTTCGAATTTGACTCAGACCGCGAATCTTATGTGGAGAGCAGTAGCTTCAAAAAACGTATCGTCAGAGGATTTCACAAGAAAAGTGCCAGCGAGAAGAGGGACAACAATGAACGCCGCTCGAGTGCAGACTCGAATACGCAAAGCAAAGAGGGTTCTAACCGCAAGCGTGGCGGTAGCTTGGGCCGAATTTTGGGACTCAGAAGTCGGTGAGCACTAGCGGACACTCTAGACGATCAAAGACGAATATCACTGTTACATTACGATTTCCTTCCATTTATGTCACGTTCTCACATGGACAACCCTGGTGGCAGTCTGTCAGCATTCTAGACGCTCCCATTGGAGCTAACCAAACCCCATTTTCTTTATGTTTCTCATTGCATTACACGGCTAGTGGGCTTGTACAAGGATGATTCAAGATGACTCAAGAGAGGCGAGAGATGAGACGAGAATAACGGTGCATTACGACCGATACACACATGGACAACACGGACAACACGGACAACAACACGCAAACCAAGGTACGATACGAATGGCAAATCAAAAGTTCTCTTTCTATGCACGCAACACTTGTAGTTTTAGAACACACATACCTCGCTCGGGCGAGAAGGGCGCAAAATCGGAAAAGCAAGATGATCAACAAGAAGCACGAAGAAATAAACGAGTTTGGGGCTTTATGACAAAACCAACCCCTCGGAGGATGTTACAACTACTACCAACGTCGCCACGATGATGAGATGGTCCTTCACGATTGCAATACATGAGGATGAGGCAATGGCGTCATCCATACCAGCTTAGGCACGACAGCGTTTCTACAGCAATCGCTTGACCAGAATTTCCTTTTTTGTTTCTATCTACTATTACTATCGTTCCCTTTTCTCACAACATCAACAACAACAGCAACAATGGATTCGGATATGGGAGGCTCGAGGTCGGTCTCTTTGTTTATTTACTTAGGTCATCAACATCAACAACATCACATCATGATTCAAAATGTACAATATACTGCTTTTACTTGGGGAATAAATAAAAAATTGTCTGAGACACGGGAAAGGCTACTGTAATCAACATACATACACTATCTATCTATCAATGAATCTATCTATTCAGACCATCATCTATGATTTATCATACAATTCGTCATACAATTCGTCATAGAGTGAGAGATAATGTATAAATGACATTAAATGTAAATAGTGCAGCTCATATAATCTTGAAGCTATGCTATTGATCAACGACTTACTTAGTATTCAACACAAAGTCTCACCTCTATCTACACTAGCATAACTAACCCACACGCTTATTGCATATTTATCACAGATATAAACAATAGGTTCCTACACACCTGCAGGAACCAAAAAAAAACCCCCCAAATTGGAATCCAAACCCATATCCCCCACAATCCACTATCTCCATTTACTTTCTACCTCGGCACACATGTAATTAGATCAACGATCAACTGGGGTTATTGGAATTTCAGGTGTATTATTTACTTGCCTACCTATGAACCTACCTACTTAGACAACCAGACAGACAGACAAACAAACAAATAAAGACCCTGCCTTTGGAGCGCTGGGGTTTAAGACTTGACAGTTTTCTCCCTTAATAAACCACCCCCTCCATCCTCCCCTCATGTGTGTAAGTGTGCAGGTAACTAGTGACGGTTTTCTCTTCTGTCTCTCTACCTTGTAACGTAACCTACCTAACCTAGGTATTGTACATATGTACCTATAAACAAAAACGCCACTGGCTTGAATCTCAGACCATTCAGGTACGGAAACTTCGTTCCCTTGGGTCGGTAGCTTATGTAGGTAGCTTGGGCTATTTATATCACCATCCTAGTACAGTAAACCTTGGCCATAACGATATGGAAAAAACACCACTCTTAATTCGTTATAGAGAGGTATCGTTATGTAGAGATGGACCCACTGTCATGGTCCGTGTACTTTCGTTGTACCTTTACTGCCATTTTATTAGAAAAGGTACTTATCTAATATTGTTTTCTTAGATTCCTTTCATATTTGAGATATTATGCAGTAAGCCAATTTTTCGGCGATTAGATATCGTGGCGGTGATTAGATTTACCTGAAAAAAGGACAGTCCAATTGGCTACCAAACGCAAAATTCCACTTATTCCACCAAAAATTTATCAAAATAAACGGTTTTTTACACATGGTCCATAACGATCTTGGTGGTGGCGGTCAAAAAATTAACGATATATCGCTAAGGTTAAAATATCGTTATTTCCCATACAAAATTGCAATGTTCCCAAAATTATATCGTTATACAAAAATATCGTTGTCTACCGAATCGTTATGGCCAAGGTTTACTGTAGTTAGTTGTATGCTAATAGCCTTGGAGGCTTTTTCATATTATTCATACACAATTACATAGTACCGGCCGATAGCTACCTAGTACATATAACCTAACCTAGGTTAGTCTATATAGCTTCCCACAGCCGTTTTTCTTTTTCATCGGCGACGTGGTTTTTCTCGTTTTCAATTACTTACTTAACGAAGGACCTACCCTACATAACTGGCTACCTATCTATCTGCCTTACCACATAGTCGAGATTTAGCTCATTATAGATTAGCACAAGACCATGATCCGTCTAACCTACCAACACACATATGTACATACCTACCTTAGATAGCACTTGACCGATCAGCACACGAACGTGGAATATCATATGTAGTTATGTGCATGCGTTCTATTCCCTCCTACTTACTGTAACTACCTACCCATACCCATTTATCTGCAGTCCCTACCCATTCTATCTCCTCAAATACCATCTACCTATCTACCCCTTAACCTGACGTCCCCTCAAAACACCAACCCTTTTCTAAGGGATACATACCATACATAAGGGCTCCCACCTACATACCTACCTACACATACCTACCCCCCCTCCCCCCATTTTGCCAAGAACCCCTCACCGTCGCCCTCAAGGAACGTTGATGGATAGAGAAGATTTCCCAAGCCCCGAGGCACGAAGGAGTCAGTATATGCCTACCTAGGCAGATACTTAGGTATCATCCATCGCCATATTTCTTCCCTTCAGTCCAATGGTAGGGTACCTAGGTAGGTACACGCCACTCTAGCAAAAACCCCTCCATGCCATCATAAAACCGCCAACCTACATCCACCCATCCTACCGAAGCGCATACTAGGATACGTAAGTAGGGAGGTGGATATAGACCCTACATGCATCACGACATCACAAAACCACCGTCTTAACATTGGGGACAAAACGCAACAGGCTTTACGGTGGCAACCATAAACCACAAACCCCGTTTTCTTTCTTCAGTTCTACCTACCTATCTACACAGGCACGTGATCTACCTACTCCTCAACGTTTCGCTCATCGCTTCAACCAAGAATATAATCAATCTAGAAATCTTTCTCATAGGACTCGTGATATGTATCATACGCGCTCTCTAATCAGGCCTCGTTAACGTCCACATCCGTCATCCATCGCAGCCTTATGGGCCTCCTTCTCATATCCATATGTAAATACCAAAGGTGTGAAAAGCTTATCATTCCATTATCATCCATCATACACCATACACCATTTAAACCCGGGAAGCCATGAGCCATGAGACCATAATTCTGTAAATGCATCACACATGCATCATCCCATAAATAGCCCGTAGACGCCTGTTCATCATATAAATCCATGATCCCGTTAATGACAGTCTGTCGATGCTGCTGTAGATACGCTTACCAACCAAAGAAAATCAAAACTTTTTTTACGTAAAAAATAAACCACCAAAAAGGGGGTGAGGGGGGATAAGACATTATGTAGATAGTAATATAGAGTTGCAAATATGCAAAGTAAAGGCCCAACCTCGTTAACGGTTGAACAAAAAGCTGTTGTCGTAAGGCAGAGGAGCCGAGATCAGATGGCCTTTCGCCCTTTTATCCCAGGTGCGTAGTTTCTTGGGGCTGACGGTGTACTTGGTACAGCGTCTGATGCTTAGTCGCTCGTCGCTCGTTCGGCCGGCGCTGAACATCCACCTGCTCTGTCTAGGCCTGTATTTGCTGACATCGAGTCGATTGGCCAGGTCTCGGGGTGTCAACAGCATCTTCCAGTCAAACGCGTCGTCTTCACGCAACTGGTCGTCACAGCAGAAGCTGATGATCTCGGCCAAACACGTGACGGCATGGGGTAGACGGAACTGGCTTCTGTTGGGTATCAAACAAAAGAGCCCAAAGACGTATAGGATGAGCAGTGCCAGTGCGATGGCAAAGGCGGGAACGTTCGGGAACATGCGTACGTCAGTACCAGGCGGGGTCAGAGCTAGGAACATGCCGCCACCCAAAACTGGCAAGAGGGCAAACAAGAACGATAATAGAGACACCAAGGCAACCCGCCAATGGTGGTTCCGCATGGCCTTGAATGTCGATTCGAGAGGCAGGCACACCGAATAATCCACAAGAAGCGAGGTCTCTGCCCGTGAACCTTCTGGATGCGTCAACTCGCCCCATGGGGTTAGGATACGCAAGGTAAGGTCCAGAGGCTGAAACATAAGGAACAGCGCAAGACCGATCAGTGAAGGGAGAAAGGAGTAGAGGAAGTTGGCAGCCGAAAATGCGCCCGCATCCGGAGCGGCGCTGAGTAGAGGGAGGAAACCATTACGTATATCGGTGAGGGGGAGGAAGGAGACCACGATTAACGCAATCAAGAGTAGGGAGCATGCCAAGGCAAAGGAAACGATCTGGCCGCTTCGAAAGCACCACGGGAGGTAAGGATAATCAGAACCTTGGTTCCCGGGTCGATCAACGGATCCCACAGATGGCTGTCGCCCCCGGCTTGCCCAGGCTTGGACACCCAGTTTCTCGGATTCGAAAGCCTTTTCGCCCAAGGGGACCCCGATGCCGTACCATGTTCCAATTTCCGGTGCCTCAGGGGCAAACCACAAGCCGAGCCTCTCAGCACTCCCACCAATTTTCTGCATCATGGATCTTCGTGAAGTTGCTGACTCGAGCCCACGGTACTGCGATAGGGAATTACTCTGAGATATTAGGAAGATGATATCCGCTAGAGTTCTTATTCCCCATTGTTGCATCATACCGGTTCTCCGCTTTCGCCAGAAAACAAACAACACAGCTAGCGATAGAATGAAAGACACGTATAGTGCCACCAACGTCCATGCTACACCTTGGACGGTTGCCCACGTCCACGTCCCGTCTACCAGAATGACGGTAAAAAGACTGCTTTGTAAGGGAATCGTAAAATTAAGGAGCCAAACATTGAAAATGGGTATCCAGATATTCCAACTTCCACCAAGTTGTGGCCAAAGAAACGACTTGGGGTATAAAGGTAAAAACACGGCGCCTTTTCGTTCGTGACGATTATCCGAAGCCATAGCGGAAAATGGCAAAACCCAAAACGCCGCAGTAATGACACATTGGGCATATATCAGAAGGATCATTGCTAGCAACTGCGGAAGCATGCGGAAAAGGAAATACTGGCCGCCATATATCGTGCCAGAGTAGGGCGTGAAGCCTAGATTGTTGGTGGAATACACGGCACAAAAGATAATAGCGGCAATCATCAACATACACAAGGTCGCTAGAAGCAACAAGGACTGCGATCGGAGAATCCAAGGTTTCAATGTCAATGGCGAAGCAGCGCGGAGAGCGCCACGGGCGTTGTGCAGACCCATCTCAGGGTCTGTGACCACCAGGTCTGGCTGCGCTTGCCAATAACCTTGGGTCCTCGGCAAGCCATGGACTTGAGACTTCGGAACCCACCCTTCGAAAGAGATAGCTTCCTTCAACGGGCTACGCATACCCTGTGGATCCATGGGATACGGTGGGTTGTGATGATGGTGATTGCCTACAGCGGCAGCGGCCGCCAGAACCTCATTCCAGCGATTTCCCGATCGTTCGTTCCCATCTTCTTGACGCTTCCGCCGCCTCTCTTGAAGCTCCTCCTCGGCGGTAGGTGAAGCGATGGGGGCAGGTGATGGCATCAAAGACCAGAATCGCGGAGTGCGAGCACCCGTGTTCGTGCCTGGCGGTAAATGTACCGACGAAGGTACTAAGGGGCTCGGAACTGTGGTGGGAGTGAAATGATACGTTTGACGGTGCGATTCGTCGCTTTCGGATGGCAGATATCCTGATGGAGCTCCTCTTCCATTGTCACGAACTTGAGTTAGGGCATCCAAAGCATAGCGAATGTAGGGGCCGTCGTCCACTCCAGGAGTAACCATGCTTGCAGCCCTCGTTAACTCGTCCTTGAAATCGCCAGGAGATGCGCCATCTCGCCACACAGACATGGGCATATAATGTGGTTGATCAAAGCGGGTACCCGTATTTGTTAATGACGAGCGATCAGCATCTCCAGACACGAGTGGGGGACCAAAAAGTCGGTCCGGGCCGTATATTTCTGATTCAGAGGAGACTGATAGTGGGGTTGGAGCTGAGGGAGGAGTGGGCGCATAGGGAACTGGAGCTTGTTGAAAGGAGGGGGCTGTGTGTTCTTGATGAACATGAGCATGTGTGTTGGGCTCGGGTACAGGCCCGGGTCCAAGATGTGACGGGTTATGGACGATGGTGGCTTGAGAAGGTGCTGTTGTCGTCGGCGATGTCATAGAATTAGACGAGTTGTTTCCGTTTGACGGGTTTGGCCCTAAGTGAATTGGAGTAAGTAAAAAAGCATGGAATTGAGGAAGTAGATGGGTTATGTAAAGATGTAACTAAGATGTACGAAGCAAAGGGTTTAACACATACCATTAGGTTCGACATAGTCTGGGTCTAAGTTATGAGAGGTCATCTCTCTTTCCTCTTGAGATTTTCAAGGTTTATCGTGACACAAGAAATAAGATAGAAACAAAAATAAGTTTTGAAATGAATAAAAAGAAGCAGCCACAATCCACTTGGATAAGTTGACCAATTAATTACTTCAATGTTCTTGGTAACACGAAGTACTATGTAATGTAGGGAATATTCATGCAAACTCAAAGCACAAAAGTCACTCAAGCATAGGGCATAGGCATGGAGAAAATGAAGAATGCATGCTTTGAGGGAGTGTAGGAGTGAAATATGGTTGAAGGGTTTTTCTTTAGTTTTTCTTTGGTAATAAGAGGGCTGGGTATAATCGATGGGTGACTCGTGATTCGTGATGAGAGCGAGGGTTGTGAGAGGTTGGGCAGGAATACCAACCACCGGCTAACTGTTTTTAATTGCTTCTACTGTTTTAAAAAAGGAACAGTTTGCCGCTCTGAAACTATCCAATACTTTTCCCAGTTCCTTACCTACTATCTATAGTTTTGCTTATGCATATCATACTATTTATATTTACCATTGGACAATTCCTTGTACGGCGGTTTAAATGTTGTATTGCTGTATTGTTGTTTGTTTGGTTGCACATGTGAAAATATCATATCCATCCATGGATCGGAATCAATTAACCTTATGAACAGTGACAGACGCTAACCACCCTGGCACTAACCTTAATTCTCTATATAGAAGTGGGTCCGAGACAACAAACGGGAGCTTGGGCCATTTCTCCACGAAGCTTGTGTGGCAGGTGGGGGTCAGAGCTTGGTGCGGGGCTGGCTGGCTGGCTGGCTTAGCTTTAATGTTGTTCGATTATATAAGAATAGGTGGACCCGCTGTTAAGCGGTCACACAAGAGGTACGTTTCATCAATCACCGCCGACACACTAAAACTTGGTTCTTTTCTTTTACTCTTCGGAATCATTCCACATTGCTTCTACATACATCCACGATAGTAGCGGTATGACTTTGACAAGTAACCCGCAAACATTGCCAAGATCGTCTTCTTGCAGCTCTTTCGTCGTTACCTAGGTAATCAACCAATCAACTAACAACCATGGTAAGTCGTATGTCCTTTGAGTAAGACGTCGGTCGGTGTGACAGCTCTGATGTTAGATCGGACCAGAGGCAGCTGCAGAGGCAAATGTAAGTTGATCTCAAGAGCGAAAGGCGGTCGAATGTGTAAGCCTATAGCCTAAGATTAAAGACTTACCTACGTCACAGTGTTAATTCTACGAAGCAATATCCATCATTCATATGCGCAGAGTTTAAACCACGTTCTCTTCGCGAAGACCTTGGTATAATTCATAATTCATCGCATGCTGTCTTGCTCCATATGCACTACATACATATATGCCTAGTGATAAAAAGCAAGAGGCGGTAACTATACCATCGTCGATGTTCTAAGACGCTTGGCAGGGCCGAAAAGTTCTTCAAGCCACTTGATCACTTCGACGACTAACGGAAACTTGTGCACCTAGTATGGCCAAGGACTGACTGATCTATGCCTAGAACATTCTGCTATCCTGTTGACCTAGTTTATCTACTGATCAGGTAGTTAGCTTATAATTGAGATGTGAACAATAGCGGCATTTCTGTTCAACACCGATGGCCCTGACCCCTTGTTGGGAGCCTACGCATTTAGGGGGTTCAAGCATTGGCCTAGAATATAGGGGAGTTGTTCAGATCCCTTAAGGAACCTCAGCAAGCACACAAGGGAGTTCTGGTTCCTCATGAATTGTAAAGCTAGTAACGAAATTGTAGACATCGTCGATAGATACCTACCATTCTCGAGTTATATTGAGAGCATATGTTAGTTGTCATTCAGGTAGGCATGGAAACCGATCAGTAGAGAATTCTCATCTCAAATTTATTTGACCTCATGTCAGCCTCGACTCAAACCTGAAGATTCTTTACAGCTGCTATTCACTGGCATTAAGCCTGAACCAAACTGCCCAGGCGTGCTACAAGTGTCCAGAAGCTGTTGATAATTGATGCGCAATCTCCGCTCTAATAGCGATGGAATGGATTTTCTCGAGTAGTTGTATGGATGTCCGCTGCCATAGTCTCAAATGCCGCAGCTCCATCTGAGACAGGATGATTTCCCAGGGATGAAGAACTGCAAGCCACATGCTGAATAGGCTGCGGTGTCTTAGAAAACACCATTTCCCCAGCGCGAAATCATTTCAAGGTGGAATTCTGACTGTCTTTAATGCTTGTTTGGATCGGCAATCCCCTGGTGTTGCCCTGTCCCAGGGGAAGGGCTGAAGCGCGTCCAATATCCTTTCGAATTCTCTCGGGCTGGTGTAGCAGACCAGCCATGTATATAAATCGAACGGCCAATCCCTTTTCTTGACATGAACACTAAATCGCCAAGTAGAGCTTATTAACTGACAGCTCAGCCATTCGTTTAAAGTACAGAATACTTACTTCAGTCGAGTCCAGCGGAACCACGAATCCGTCTTCAAAATGTTGAACCAGGTCGTCCTCGCGGCCCTAATCCCGGCCATTGCGGCCAAGCCCATCGCGTAAGATACCTACCACCTTCCAGACTGTAGCTAGGCAAATTACTAACAAATAGTAGGGCAAGGGGTAAGTTTGAGATGCTTCAAGATACCATGATAAAAGGGACCGTCAAGACTAACCATGAAACAGCAGTAGCCAAGGGTAATGTTGTGGAATTTAACACCACCGCCATGAAGGCTGCCGCACTTCAAAACGTTGCGGTAACTGATGCCTCGGACATGGAGGGTGTGCCCAGAGTCCATGCCCGAAACCAGGACGGGTCTAGCACTGTGAACCACGGCCAGGCTCCGGAGCCGACTGTTTTTATCACCACGCCGCAGGTAGCTGGCCGACAGCTTCCCATTAGCTCGCTGTCGAATCAGGTAGCCTCGACCATCTTCGGCGAGGTTTCGTCAACTGTCTTGTCCTTTGCCAGCAGCATGACTCGCCTGATACCTAGCAGCATTCCAACCATTCCCGTGGAGAAGAGACAAACAGCCCCGACTGGGTTGGCTAGCCTGCCAGCTGCATTATCTGCCCGGGCTAATGCCAATTGTGACTGCATCGGCTTTTGCACCGACCCGGACACAGGTGATAATGTTACTGCGAAGCAGATGAAGTGCATCACTGAGTGTGCTGATACCTGTGATGGCGACCACGATGATAGCAGCGTTGGATCCAAGCTTGGAAGCTCCCTCGGCGGCTCCCTCGGTCTACGAAGCGCCCCTCCTGCTGCAGAGAAGGCCCGCGTCGAGGCAGAGAAGTCTAAGCCCAAGGCTGCCATGTCGGATGAGGAAGAATACGAATCCTGCATGCACAAATGCAGCAGCCACAACTGTCAAAACGCTAACATGGCTCTCGACATTTCTCAATGTGGTGACACTGACTGCGAGTCTTCCTGCGCCAAGTACAAGAAGGACGCCAAGGCCTTCAAGTCTGGCAAGCCAGAGGAGCACAGAGTCCATACCAAGAAGCCTGCCCAATTCTCTCACGACGTCCCCCGTGATCTTCCTCCTGTTCCAGCCCCTAGACCCGAGGTAGCAGGATTTAGCAGCGAAGACTTCGAGAAGTGTGTCAGGGAATGCAAGACCCACAACTGCCAACACGCTAACATTGGATTCGACGTCTCCCAGTGTGGTGACACTTCGTGTGAAGACTCCTGCACCGCGCTCCACGGCGCCCAAGGTGGCAGGATCCAGTTCAGGGACGAACACAACCTTGCTGCCCGAGGGCTCCTCGCTCCTCTTTTCCCAGATGTTCCCGTAGCTCCCGCCGCCCCCAAGGCCCCCCAAGCTCCAGCCAGACCAGCTACGCCTCAAGCCCCTCAAGCCCCGGCTCGACCTGCACCACCCCAAGCCCCTCAAGCCCCGGCTAGACCCGCTACCCCACAAGCACCAAAGGCCCCGGCCAGGCCGGCCGCACCAGCAGCACCCAAAGCCCCTGCGAGACCAGCTACTCCCCAAGAACCCGCAGCCCCGGCCAGACCAGCTAAAGCACACCCGCCCGCAGCCCCAGTCGTCCCTAGAAATGCTTATCCCGAAGCCCCTGTTCCCGTCAAGGCCCCAGCTTATCCTGCCGCACCTGCTCCTCCGAAGGAACCAGCCTACCCCGAAAAGCCGGCCGCTCCTAAAGCCCCAGCCTACCCGGAAGCACCTGCCCCTCCCAAGGCGCCGGCTTACCCCGAAGCCCCGGCCTACCCCAGAACCCCAGAGAAGCCCAAAACTCCCGAAAAGCCCGTTGTCGCCTACCCCATGGCTGACCCCGCACCCCCGAAGAAAGCCCCGGCCCCTGAGAAGCCCGCACCGAAGAAGCCCGAGCCGAAGGAGCCCGTACCCAAGAAGCCCGAGCCCAAGAAGCCGGAACCTGAAAAGCCCGTCGTAGCCTACCCCGTCGCCGACCCTGCCCCTCCCAAGAAGGAAGAGCACCACGACGAGAAAGACCACGACAAGAAGGATCATGACGAGAAGGACCACGATAAGAAGGATCATGACAAAAAAGACCACGACAAGAAGGACCACGACAAACACCACGACAAAGCCGCCCGGCACGCCGCCCCACCCCCCTCCTTCTCCGCGGGGCACTCCTCGACCACCTCGTACGACGCCTGCGTCTCCCAATGCAGCACGCACAACTGCCAGCACGCCAACATCGCCATGGACGTCTCGCAATGCGGCGACACCTCGTGCCTCGACGCGTGCGCGCACCTGCGGGACACCTCCTCCGCCTCCCTCTCGACCCACGCGCAGCCCGTGCCCGTGACTTCGCCCCACGACCTGCACCGAGCCCCCGGCGCCGACGCCGCGGGCTTCGACCTGCTGGTGCCCGACGCCGAGCTGGCGACCGAGGGCGGCGAGCGCCAGAGCGCCGAGTACGACGACTGCGTGCGCTCGTGCAAGACGCACAACTGCCAGAGCGCCGACATCGGCGTGGACGTCTCGCAGTGCGGCGACACGAGCTGCGAGTCCCAGTGCAGCCACTTCCGCGCCGACGGCAGCGCCCACGTCGCTGCCACCGTGCCCCTCGGTCCCAGGATGTCGCGGGACTCCGCTGCCGTGCCCGCTTATTAGGCACCTTTCTTACACATCGACGGCCCCCTATTTTCTTTCTTTGCTTACGTTTCCGCTTTACAGCTGCATTAATTCTTGGAAAATAGTAGCAGTAGGAATTATTCTGTTGCCTAGGGGTCAACTCTTCATCAGGGCGGGAGGGGGGAGGGTTAATCAGCACTCGAATATGTGTTCAGGTCTATTTCCAGTCGCGTTTTTCATGACTGATGAGATTCATAACGATAGGATAAAGCTTTTTCTTTCATAATATAGTAACAATCAGCGGAGATTCAAATTGGTCACGGAATGGGAATACAAGGCAAGGCACAGGGAAATTTGGCATTCATTCTGTGTAGTTTAGCTCTAGCTCTTCTAATTACCTTCAACATTTTTTTTCAATCACATTTGCTCTATAACCCCTTTTCATCCCCGAACACGGCATTACAACACAACACATGCCTACCAGCCTCAATCTTCATGGAAAGTCGCAGTGTATCAAAATACTCTATATCTATATTTCAATTCCGTATTGACCTGCCTACGTATGTTTAATACCATACCTCCTTGCCTACCCTCTATGTAGGCTATACCTTACCTTGCCCACCTAGCTCTAACCGATTGCGACACCAATACTCCTAAGAAACAACTCAGTGACAAAAACGAAACACACCAACTGCCTAGCGTCAGAACTCAGCACCACTTGTGCCAAGATTAAAACAAATTCGAAAACAGACAAATGCCCAAGTTGAATTGAAGCAATAAATCGAATCCCAAAAACCGTACAAGACAAGAAACAAAATAGCAAACACCAACCACCAAACCGCCAGAAGGAAAAATCGAAGAAACCGAAAAGCCAAACCCAATGCAAGAGAGCATACCATGTGCCAGAGAAACCAAGAAGACCATGAGTTACCAACCTTGAAACCTTTCCCATGCAAGACCCGTGCCGCGTCATGTCGTATCGTATCACCGTAATATCCAGACCACCATATGTACTCCCACGGTTTTGCAGTACCCCTCTAACGAGAGACATCCAGAGCCAACCCCAAGACCATCATATATACCTACTAAGTATGTACATGGGAAAAGGAGAGTTCACGAGTGGGTAAAGCGAACAAGGGGGCCGCCTAGAAACCGCCCCTGAGCCCAGACCTAACATGGGGCACTGCAAAACCGCCTCACAAGAACCAAACGAATGTAAACGCTTCGTCAACGATCGAGAAATGAAGAGGAACCCGAGGAACCGGCGACCATTCCCAAAAGAGCGTGGCGTCTAGCCCGAGAGCCAAGCATAAGCAAGGCCAGCGCCGACGGTTGCAGCTGCGACAGCCACACAAGCGAGCGACTTCCAGCCGAATCCAGACCCCTTGACAGGTTCCTCAGCAAGGGCTGCTGGAACTTGGCGTTGAGTGTGAAAGTGCTGGGGAGGAGGTGATGCTGGGAAGCCGGCTGCTGGAATCGGTCGTGCCGGCGCGGTGAAGTTTGCCTCATGCTGCAGGAACTGGAAATGTTCCTGGACAGTGGGAAGCGCGCTAAGCACCGAAGGAGTGGACGCATCCGATGAAGATGCTGAGTGAGTGGACACATCAGAGGCAGATGTAGAATTAACGGATGCGCCGGCGCCGCAGGGGGGTCCCTGGGTCTTCATTGCTCTCGCTCTTGCCCACTCTTCTCTGTCGTTGAACATCGCAAAGAGGTTATCGGACCACTTAGGCTCGTCGACAACGACCCAAGAGGGGTCGTCCGAGCCGTCCGATTTCGAATGAGTGGACGCGTCCGAGCTGGACGCAGAAAGAGTGGAAGGGCCCTCAGAAGAGCCGTTGCGAGTGTTCATTTCCGCCTCGAATCGTTGGCGACCGTTGTCGCCCTCGATGTTGAGTTGGGACAGAGAACCGAAGCTAGAGGAGCCTGAATGAGTGGACGCATCCGAACTGGATGCAGAGGAGCTGGACAAAGGAGAGTGCTGGCCAATGCCTCTCTCCCGACATAACTTTCGGTCGTTCTCGCTGTCGATCCACATGGCAAGTAGATGTGGAGGCCATGGGACGTCTTGTAGCTCGACCCATGAGGAGAACTCTGAAGAGTTTGAACGAGCGCATTCTTCAGAAGAAAGTGTTGATCCGAAAGACGATGCAATGTCGACTGCTTCATAGCGAACGGTATCAGCAGTGACACTCTCTGTCAAGAATTCGGAGGATGTCGGAGCAGGCTTCAAGGCGAGAATTCCTTTGACCAGATCTCTAAGGCGCGGAGGCAAATGAGCGATTGGATCGTTGGACGGCCAGTCATCCGTCTGGTACGACACATCTTCAATAGCCTGCGATGGAGAGCTCCAATCGGACCAAGTCCAATTATGGCGATCCATCTCAGGGCTAGGCTTGAACATGCGTGGTGACCAGTGGAGTGGTTGGTCGTTCAGATCCGGGTTCTTGAAAGGAATGTGAGCAGTTGGTGTGCTAGGAATAATCGGCGATGGTCTGGTTTCGACGGTAGGTGAAACAGCAACGCGTTCAGGCTGTTTCGATTCGATAGGTGAAATGGTGACATGTCTCTTGGCCAACTTATCGGCAGCAATGGGCTTGGCTATAGATTGGCTAGTTTGCTTGCTGGCACGGTTTCTTCGTCGTGCCCTCTCAGCTTGAGCTTCCTTTGAGGGTATGGATTTGCCATTTTTGTCGATGGCAATCCGAACGACACGCCAGCCGTTCTTCATACGAGATGCTAATGAAAAATGAGAACATGTAAAGATTAGGGTGTCAAGAAAGGGACGGAAAAGGTTCTACGAGGGAAAGCTATACAGAGGGCAGCTGCATAGGGGGCTGTATATGGGACACTTGTGTGGGAGCTAGTTGAAGAGGTAGGGGCAATTGTGTAGGAGAATTTTGAATACTCAGGGGAGGAGATGGCTGATTAGGTAGGGGCGACGGTGTAGGAGATGGCTGTGTAGGGGACGGTGATGTAGGGGATTGTTGTGTGGGAGATGGCAAGGGACGATAGTGAGTGGGAGATGGGGGTGTGGAGGTTAATAGCGACAGCCAGTAGTTGATCACCAACAAAGAGGAAAGCAGCATAGGTAGAGACATGGATGATAAATGACGTATAAGGGTCATTGAGAAATGCCAACCAGGCCGTCACTAGACGAGCACAGAGGCCGACCAAGAGCCGGGAAGGGATGAAATGAAAACCTTGGGAACAAAATACAAATGAAAGCAACATTTACTACTGAGAACTTACGCGAGACTTGATGATGACACCATTTGGCAGGAAGTAGCATTCCCACCCGCTGGCAGGGACCTGGGTTATTTGACTTGGAGTTAGCCTTCTTACAATCAGGACACCCACGTTGTGGAGAACGGTTAGCTCTGGGGGCGGGAGAAGGAGAGGTGATAGAAGTGGCATCGTGAAGGCGTGACTCCCGTCTTCTTTCACGGGCACCAACAGAAGCTATGATAGGAGACACGATAGGGGAAGGGTCAGAGGGAGTAAGAGGGAAAGGACCAAGAGGAGAGAAGGGGGAGCGAATAGGTGTTTGGATAGGGGGGTGGATAGGAGAAGGTTCTTGGTAGGGGTTAGTAGAGCTGTAGAGACTAGGGACTTTGGAGAGGTGGTTATGGAAGGATGGCGGGGGACGAGTTGGAGGACGAGTTGGGAGACGGGTAGGGGTACGCGGGGCGACAGGAGCTAGAGTAGAAGAAATAGGGGGGACGTTGGTGTGGGACCTAGTTAGCCCACGACTGCTAAGAGCCGACGTTCTAAGGGGAGTAGTGTAGCGCATTGGAAATTTTAGTGAGTTCAATTGGGAAAGCTTGGTAAATGTGAGCAGGTTGTTGTTCATGTAAAGAAGAATGTTGATTCCACGCACCTCAGGCAGCGTTTATATAGTCCCCAGGATAAGGTTTATTGCTATAGGCGGTCTTTCCTAGCCAATCCTCGGTTATAGTCAAATTTAGTAGCTGCCTATAGGGCTTAGTTGCAATATTAGTAAATGCTTAGACGCTTAGTTGCAGTATGAATAAATGCATAAGCGGATATATACATACAGAGTACTGCATATAGGGATATCGGTAAATGCGAGCTAGAGGAGGAGAATTGCCCTCAAGATGCATTGGGAGGCCTATTGAGAGGATTCTATAATTAAAACTATCTCATGATGTACCTGAAGATGGTAGAAACATATCTTGTTTTTTTTATGCGCGTATAGGCGTTGGTTGTGGAGAAATCGATGAAAAGGTGGTTGAGGTGTCGTAGGAGGACGAAGAGGACATCTGTCCAGGTCTCGAGCTGAGGTCGACCACCTATTGCACACCAGCGCGTGGCTCAAATGGCCTCAAACTCCCGAAATCATATATACTTGATGCGTAGACTCGATATATGTCGTAATTTTTAGGTGTGTCGATGTACTCGTCGCGGGCTGGATAGGGGTCGGATTGCGAGGATTCGATGGTTGTGGATGAACTTTTTCGGGATTACAGTCCGAGACACGGTTTGAAACGGCCACAAATGTATGGTATAAGTTTCGGTAAACACTAATAGATGAAATGATGAAGTATGGAAGCTGCCTCTTGATGGCGCGGCCTCCTGAGCAGAGTGAGTAGTTTCTACCCACATGGGCGACAACTTCCCAGAATTCCCAGGGACTTTGTATCAGCCCACAACACCGAAAGCCCCTTCTTCTCCGGCTATCAATGATAAGAACAATCTATAGCTGCTATTTATCATGAAAATAGCTAAGTAGAGCCATATCTCTCTACTCTACTCTATATCTACGCGTCTTCACATACGCTGCCCTTCGCATTCATCGCCATAGCGACGACGGCGAGGTATCTCGAACGAAACCCAAGTTACGCTATTGAATATATAGATTCAATACTACTCCATTAGGAACTTACGTACACATCGATCAACGTTCTAGCCGTGCCCACGCAAAATTACACATTCGGACGTGGTCACGTTTGACATACGGTATCTACACCATCTGTAGAGAGAGAAGGAAGGATATAACTGTACGTCACACAGGTGCTTGACTCGCAAGAGATTACGAACGGGACCTTAGGTATTTGGAAACGGTCAAAGACAACATGGGTAGTTGTAAAACAATGAGCATCATTTTTTGTATACCTTCAGTAGGTACCTACATAAACGCCAACTGTCATTACTGGCCGAAACCTTCGCCAGGCTCTGACAGAACACGTTTCTTCCCATCGGCTGAGCTACTTCACAGCCTAGTAATATAACTTCCAACGCCGATATTATCGACGTAATAACCAGATCCCAAAGGTTGATCTGCTAACTTGCCCTCACTTGTCTAGGACCTCCACCGTGTTCTTCTCCAGTTGGCGTCTCTCGAACCGCGCCTCCGCCGCCTGCCGCATAACATCCTCTGCGTTCAACTTGTCCGCCGCAGAAGTCGCCGCCTCCTTGATCAAAGTTCGAACCGCACTCATCAACAGCTTGTACCATCCATTGTGCGGTTTGCAGCGCTTCTTGTCGCACATGCCACGGGTCGCGGGGTCTCCTTGCATCTCCGGGTCGAGAGGAGTGTCCAGTTTGCCAGCCTTGAAGGTCGCTTGGCCCTCGGGGGTCTCGAGCCATTCTCCGAACTGGTAACGGACGGAGACGGTATCGAGTCGCCAATCGTAGCCGCAGCTTTCCTTGGTAAACTTGCCCGCTTCAATGGCATGCTGTCGGCGATGATTGGCCCAATCTATGAGCTGCATCATTTTCTTGTATTGCACGATCTCATTGCCAAGTGCGAGACGTTCGGCAGCGGAGTTCTTCAAGAAGGCTTGCTCTTCGTCGCTAAGAACGCCTGGGAGGGTCGGAAGACCATTGGACCAGAGGCCACTCATGTTGCCTGGTGGAATTGATCAGCATCGGACTTCCAGGAGGAAAGAATAACGAGTACGAGGATAAACATACCGAAGGGTTTATCGCCAAGTTTCCAACCACCTTGCTCGGTGGTGCTGATGAGCAGGGCAACAAAATCTTCTTGAGTGAGCACCTCAATAGCTTTCTCTGTCGCAGCCTTGGTAGGTAGGGTGTTGATGATAGAAGCCCACCAGGCATCGCAATGATCGTTGCAGCAGAAGACACTTCGTTCTTTGAGGGTTCTGGTGTACAGGCGAGCAGCATTCTTGCAGCCTGGTAGAGAACAAAGTTTTTTGTACTTGGTATAATTTTGCTTGCCATCGGTGCATTTGGGGCAAACGAAGCGCTCGACAAGCTTCTCACCAACGTCTTTGTCGAGATCAACACATTCTCCGTGGAACCAATCCTCACAGACGTCACAACTAATCATCCATCGATGATCATCTGGGCCACGGCAGATACAGTAAGGGCCGTTATCTGTTTCATCGTCGGAACTGTCAGCTGCAAGACCGTTGGCAGCATTATCCTTTTTGGAATTAAGTTTGGACTTGGAGATCTTGCCGCCCTTTCTAGGACCTTTCTTGGCGGCGGTGCCCTTTTTTTTAGACGCGGGCCTCATCTTCACAGTTTGAGTTTGTGGTGATGAATTTGATTGAAGCTCATCTGGATCTGGATCAGATTTAACGGGAGTGGGGGTTGTATGGTTTGCATTATTAGGTAGGTTAGGTATGTTAGGTTGGTCAGGTAGTTGTGCTGAGGCAGCAACTTGCTCGTTATGCGCGTATCCGTTGCTTTCGGCGTGCTCGTTACCCAGTCCATTACCGCCGAGATGTAGGTCTGTGCCCACCATCTCGACATCATCACTTGGAGTTGCATCCGCCGGCATGCGACGGTCAGCCATTGCAAAAAGAAAAAAACCCGATATAAAATAATAAAATAGAAAGAATATGACTTGTCAATTCCCGATGCGCTAGTCGGAAACGAGATGGACTACAGCGACCACTGATAGGTCGTGTCTTTTTAAAGATGTGTATCTTGATATATGATAGGGCTCATTCAGCTCATCAAAGACCAATCCCCTTGAGATTTTGGTGATGCCAGCATTTTTTCCCATGCAGAATTTTAATCTTAATTTTAATTTCAAATTGTTGGCGCTTTAGGGATCTAACGTGACTGACTGGGAGTTTTTTCTGAAATTATAATATAAACTGTGACTCGTTTTACTCAGAGGTTTCTGATAAAATGCATGCCAGTTTAAGGATGAGGCGAAAAAAAGGGATGTCGCGATGCGTTTACACTACAAACTATGAATGCACGTACTATGTAAGTGCAAGTTCTTTAGGTAGGTGCTAAATTACCTAGTAGACAGGCACTAGTGAGCTTACATATTGGAGGCTGGCTGGTGAAGGTGGGGCCCTTGTATCACTGTAATCTCAGCAAGATAACTGTGAGCATTCGCACCGTACGTGCTACAAAGATAGAAGATATGTAACTGAGTACTTTACCCCTTAAAATCAGGGGTAATCAATATGCAGGTATCGAAGCTTTCGGCTTAACCACCTTTCTCTCAGTAACATCACAAATTCATAGACCATGATCAGGAATATGTGTCTATCCGCACGAGTGCTTCTTTCGAGACTCAACAGCATATCTCGAGCACTGGATCTCTTTACTTAGTTGATAAGTAGAGTGCCAAGTAAGTATGCTACATTGAAAAAAGAAAACTGTTAGGTTAGAGAGCCCTATGCCTAAAGCGAGCCCACCTAGTAAGCATGTAAGATAAATTATGCCCTCGTGGATGCATCAAACATATCTAGAGGTTTATGAGGATCTTTCCTCCTTGTATAGCAGCCAGGTATGGATAGACCATTACTTGCTCAAAGGTAAAGTTCACGTGCGGCCCTTTCTAGCTGTGGCATCACAAGTGAAAACTCAGAAGAGCCAAATCGTACAGTTGTGTAAACCCCAAACCATATATTGAAGCCTTGATGTTTCCATAGCCATAAATTCATTCAAGCGTCCAACGCTTGCACCATACAGTGATCTGAAATGCGACTCTTACTGCGAGAGGTACCTAGTTAGATACTTGCGTTTAGCAAACAAAAAAACATCGCCTACTAAAAGCCTCATCTTCTATATAGGTCCTATAGCTCAGTTGGTTAGAGCGTCGTACTAATAATGCGAAGGTCGGGAGTTCGACCCTCCTTGGGACCATCTTTTTTTCTCTACGCCCCTCTTCCTTCCGTAGTAGTACTCGAGATAGTAATACTTGATGAAGGTTTTTTTTTCGACTTTTTTAAGGCTCGGATGGAAGTCTGGAATAGTATTGGTGGATAGGTAGGAGTTAATTAAGATCGAGTGGGTGCCCCATTAAGTAGGCAGTCTAGTACAGGATAGTCTTAATCTAGACTATTTAGCCTCATAAAATGTCTAAAAATATTAACGCTACATCTCTGGTCTTAGCAACACCCAGACTCCTCAGCCAGGGCCGTGGTGAGTAAGTCATAAAAGGAGAAATTCATCAAGTGATGCGTTCACTAAACACTTAAGCCGGTTGTATGTCAATATTTCAAAGAGCGTAGACGCTCTCAAGTTACGAGATACGTACCTCTCCAGCTAGGAGCAATGCGATCATCGAAGCTCAGATAGATGACGCTTTGGGGGGCCTTTCTCTGTGATGAAAAAGGCTGAGGGTTTCGTCAGAAAATGGCTGGTAAATAACATCTTGACAATGATAAGGGGTGGCTCACAGCACCCGAAGTCAAATATCTGTGGTATGATGGGCCCTTCAAAATCCTGTGCTAAATGCCGTTCACTCTCCCACTCTTCACGAGACACTAGGTAGGGCGGGCGCTGCTCGCTTACGGGCAGAACAATGTGACATGCGGGCGGTACTATGCTGTCCAGAACCTCATCTGTGAACTCGATGCATTCGTACCCAATATTTGATGTGTGGATATCTGAGATGCTAGATACTAGGTTAGGTAGGTAAGCGCAATGAGATTTCACCAAATGCCAATGAGCAGACATGGTGTATGCCGTTGGGCCCTTCATGATCGAAGGAACCCATAAGACTGGCGAAAAACCTACCATAACCTACATCGGATTTACCAACATGCTTCCAAAAAGCGCGCAACACCTCTTCCTCACGACACACGTCATACTGGTCAACAGTTGGAATCTGGAGGTCGACATGCCGGTTCTCGTGTAGATCTTGGGCCAGCCAGATGGTGGAGAAGTGGCCGTTCCCGAGCTTGTGCACCACGCAATAGCGCCCGTGGTCGAGCAGCGGCCAGATGGTGATGGGGAAGAATCCGCCTCCGTGGTAACGCTCCACATCCTCGAATTCGTACTCGTCTGGGGGCCAGTAGGGGTTCTTTCCCATACCTGGTGGCGGGTTAGCATCGTTTGCCATGATTACCTACCTATCACTACAATCTATTCGACTGCCTAAGTAACATGTGCTTCTTTCAGCCTGGCAGGACCGTCTTTCATGCGTGCTACCAGGTCAGTAGTTCGGCAGGCCTAGACACAGTCACTCGCGCTACACCCCTCTTCATTCGCGTCTTCCACTCAAGTATCTAACCGTCACTAACGTAGTCTGGTAGGTACCTACTCTGTACTAGTTAAGCATGTAAGGGGATCGAAGTTTGCATCAAAATTTGAAATGAGGATTAATAAGGGCTGCCACAAGGCGAAACCTAGAAGACGCAGAACAGCATCGTTGTTGCGCGGGGATCTCTAACATATTCCTGAAGACTATTGAAGCTACATAGGTCCATATACATGTAAGCTGTCTTTGTTCTGTCTGATAATCTAGCCCCCAACGTAGACTCGGGGTAGACCTTTGACAAGAGCTGTATGACCGACCGTCATGGGTCAGGTATATAGAGAGACGACACTCGTACGAACAAACAATGGACAAACTCTTCCAAGCCTAGGTACATGCATATGTAATGGAAACACACCACCTGCTGCGGGACCCAATGGTTCCCGTGGCCAAACGACTAAATAGCCATCACCTGAATCCATCCTGACGACACGCTCTTCTGAGGCAGAACACGAGTTACGAGAACCAGGATCCAACTGCCCAAAGCCACCCCGGACTTAGCATCATGCCGGAGCGCCTCGGTTGTCCTCTACAATTCACACACTACATTGTATACCCAGTAACACCCAAAGGAACACGCATCGTTGGGCATGCGTTCTATGCCTAAACGTTGATCTCCGGAACCTCCTATTAGGTACCTTGCCGTATAAAAACACAGAATGGTCAAAGGGAAGACGCGTTTCCAATCGATGTCCTGGATCTTCAGGCCCAGGACATCGATTGAAACGCATCTTGGCCTATGACATAGACACCGAGATCGGAGAACAGCTGACATTCTCTTCAGCTAGTATGTCGTATGCTCCGAGGATGTTCAGGCCAATGCATAGGTAGGTATCATATCAGGTCCCAGGACACGACCGCAAGAGCAGGAAAGAACCCCATAATGCCGGACATCTTTATCGTCTTTGTGTCCGTACATTTCTCTTGGCCGCCTTCCCACTAAAGCAGTGAAGTGTTTTTCTTCAACTCAATTGATCAAAACGCTCTTCGGTATCCGGATTGGTCGTGGGCGAGGGAGATAGTGTCTGGGTCCTGCAATGATGCCGGCACAGCACCAAGTGGGAGAGCGGAATGCTCGAATCGTTCTTTGGTACCTATCTCGATTAGTCGTGGACTGAAGAGGTAGTCTTTGGGGCCTGAGATGATATCAACACCACCCCAGCCAAGACCCAGGCATACTACGATCCAGGCCTACAAGGCCTAAAATGTGATAATTGCTGCGTAATTGGCATATCTCTGTTGCCCAAACGAATTCTTATCAACGTAGTGGTGCTTGCCAATGATTAGGTTGTACCAACTATTGTTTAGTGTCATTACTACCAATCTTTTGGTATGTGGAGAACAATTGCTGAAGACGCACACATCGTCTATAAATGCCTGGCAAAAGGCCTTCATGTGGTGTAGCTTGTGATCCATGAAGCGCTGCGTTGCCCTTGTCACCACTGCGACCGCCGCGATCATCCCGATAAGGGCGATAATTATCACCTCGCCGACCTCCCCCGTACCTCTGGGCCTAGTGGATGCCCGCAGAAGCTTCAGAGGCCTCTTCCATTGATGAGAGGTTGGTGAGTTGCAACTTGTCAGGAGCAGTCGGAAGACCTTTGAGCATCCGCTCGCTGAGTGACTGAGGTGGGTCAGGATTGTCGGCTGGAGAGGAGGCCAGCAACGAGGCGCGCCAGATGCGCCGCCGCTCTTCCAGGTGAGCATTCCAATCATATAGTGATACTCCAGCCCCTGGGGCTACAACAGATTGGAGCGTGACTGTTTTGTGGGTGGTATTACAATATGCAACGGCTTTGGTAGCCGCTGAGCTGTGTAAGGAGTTTAATACTCCGGGAATAGTGGCAGTCATGTCAAAGTCTCGACCCTCAGGCAGAATTGGCGTAATTGACTCATAAGACGGAATTGAGAGAGGTAAGTGAAAGCTATCATGAGTTTTGTATTCATCTTGTTGATATCAGAAGTTTTCAGTGTCTCTGCACGTGCAATATTGTCGATCCATGGTCAGTAAACGGGATCACGGTCTGTTCGCATGGTTGCAGCTGGACGCGGTTCTGCCTGCATGTCCAGACGAGACACGCTGTCTCCAGTTCAGTGATGTGATACCGGTACTTGGCCTTGATCAAGACCTTGGATAGAAATAGGATGGGCAACACTTTCGAAATAGATATTCTCAGATTTTGTGTGATCAGACCAGCCCTAGACAGGTAGGCAGTATACCGACGCATGTCTGGTCGCGCGTGATTCGTTGCACCTTAGTTGGGGGCATGTGTGAGGTATTGGAAGGCAGTTGACGACAATAATCGTCAACACGAAGCTTTCGCTTCAAACCGCGATATGAATTGGTCGTGTTTGGAGTATGAGAATCTGGTTGACGATCATCTCTATCATCCTTATTCTTTCTCTTCAGCCCGCGACGTAGTTTGATGGTACATGGGCATTCTCGGTACCTGGATGATGATTATCGTCAACCAGAATCCAACACTCCCAAACGCCACCAAAACATATGGCGTTTTAAGGCATTGGAATCTGACCGACGAGTATCATCACCATCCTGAAGCTTTCGCTTCTTGCCATGATTGACGTTGAAGCCAACGACCGACCTTGGAGGAGGTCTTTTTGTCCTTCCTCCGGAACACACGCGAACCCGTCGATTTTGATACTGCTGACGGGTCACTGTGAAGACCGCGACATGTTTACCGGCGATATTGTGATGGCTGTAGAAAAGAGAATGGATGTCGAAGTTGCATCGGCGACATCAGTTGCACGTCTTCTAGGGAGCACCCATATCGTGAAGCGAAGGTTGGGTGGGTGCCCCCCTCTATACTTGCAGAAATTGGAAGCAATCGAACATCCGGGGAAAGAAGAGGGCTATGGTGATTGTGCCCTCACCCCAACGATGATTTGTAAGCTGGTGGGTTCGATTTGAAGACACACCAACGAATCTCCGTGGTTAGTCTTTTCTGCGGTCGACGTCGATGTTGAGATCGGGCAGGTTAAGAAAAGTAAATGGTATCAGGTCAGAATCCTAGAGGTGATAGATAAGGACATCACACCCATAGATTCCATGGACATCGTTTCCGTGGCAAAGTAATGTAAAGGTAAACGGACTTGATGTCTATGATGGGGCTTCTCGTTGATAGTTGACAAAAGCGTGTGTTTGTTCTCCAGAAGCCCAAGACCGAGCAGCGCTCTATAATAGTCAGTATCTTCACAGACACCATCCGATTGTTGTTGTCGCTGGCTAAAGGTGGTGCTGGAAGGGAGCAACGAGGAAGTGATTTCCCAAGCGTCATATGGTGCTGAACACAGGGGCGGCACACGACCAAGTATCTTGGACGTCTCCTAAATAGACACCTAATACCACATTCCAAGGCAGTGAAGAGATCTGAATAGGTAATAACGTTCAGGACATGTCTGTTCCATGACCTGTCGGCTTCGTGGTTGAGGACGAAGTCTTTGATAAAGTCCCCTCCACAAAGTGGTGGGCGGATTGTAGGAACGCCGCCCTCACGAGAAGCAAATTAATTCATGGGAAAGGATGTTGTTCTCACCCACGTGATCGTTGAATGAATCCAAATTATAGTGTTGTGTTGACGACGGTTGGCACCAGTAACAGTCAATGCAAGTGGGTAAGGCTCGCATATCTGTTGCGTGTATTACTACTTCATCACTCCAAAGCCCCACCATAAGGATGGCCATCGGGAGCGGGATGAAGACGATCTATGAACGAGCAAAGTTAGCACCTTTCAAGTTGGTGGAAGTGTGACAAATTAAACGACTGGGAGCATCTTACCTGATATCATTTAGCATCCATGAGACTCTATTTGTGGTGATCCGTTAGACCTTCATTGAAGAGTGAAAAGTGGATATGGCATGTAGACCAGCATCTTGTGTTTTTGAAGTCTTCATGATAGGTCCAAATCGTAGTCAATTATAGAAGTGATCGTAGATGGAGGTTGGTAATCGAAGCGAACATGGATGGGGGTTATTGCACACGCACGATGGTATAGGAAACCACCAGAATCGCTCCCCTAACGAGAAAGGAGAGATGGGAATAGATCCAGCGCAGCAAGTATAGAAGTGCACTCAATTATGAAATGCCTTCGACTACTCATTGTTGGGTAGCTGTAAAGTATTGTGTGGAGTTGTTGAATGTGTCGTGTATTCAACGGGCTTCCTTCTCGTCCAGAAAGGCGCTCAACCAGGATCCGTTGGCGCTGCCTTTTTTGGATCGGCCACCTTTGGATCAGGTGTGGAAGTAGAATGTTGTAAAGGTTCCCGAACCCTTTGGCACATACCCCCCATACAGCTGTATTAATGGGTTAGCTTGAAAAGCGTGATCTAGGGATAATTGCTATGCTCCTAAACTCACATCCAGAGTTACGAGGAAGAACCCATCTTGGTTAGCAGGGGCAGTGCTTCGATAACTCAGCTAGAAGGCGTTGGGGCAGAGAACTCGGGTTGCGTAAATGAGTTCTAGTGAGGCTCTGCCCCGACCCTTCCAGCGAGTCTAGCATCTTGTTGATAGAGACATTTCAATCTTGTCTTGAAAGACGACAAGAAGTGGAGTTATTGTATCATTCAACATGCCTGATTATGCCGCCGGAATCATTAGCATGTAATAAGTATGTGGGATTTGTAGGAATTTGACTAACCTAATGTCTATCATTGACCCGAACAAAACCGAGAGCGCCATCACGGGAGGCTCACTCCTCGTTCATGCTCATGAGGTACTCAGAGATTGAATGGCAGAACTTTCTGAGAAGAAGGACACCTGACTCTTTGCAGCATACCCAACTCGTCGTCCTCTCCACGGGCAATTACTCCGTGTTCGAATGACAACGGAGCATGTGTCAGCCGTAGGCTACGAGGAACATGAAGTTAAGAAGAAGTGGAAATTGTAGTGATGTGTGCTTTCAAAGTGTGTAATGTGTAAGGTAATGTGTAAAGTGAGTAAAGTGAGCAAAGTGTGAAGTGTGTAATGGGCAATGGGCAATGGGCAATGGGCAATGGAGAGGAAAAGGAATGAAAAGTAAACAAAACTTCTGGTGAAATGATTTATGTATGTGGGTGTTTGTCTTGAGGGTTTGTGTGCCCTTAGTGACACTTTCGACACCTCTCAGTAGAGGTAAGTACCTGAGTATTTATGACTGATACCTAGGTACTATAGAGAGCTTGTGGGAAATAAATAAAAAAATAAAAAAGTTGAAGGAAGAAGGGAAGAGGGAAGAAAGGAAATGAGGCCAGGAGTAAATATTGGAATCTCACAATGTCGTCTTGGAGACACCCACTAGACCAAAGAGAACCAGAGCCTTTTATCAATCTTATCTTGCAGTATGACGAGGAGTCGAAAGTGAGTCTCAGGTTAAAATCAGGTAAGAAGTAAAGATGTATCCATACCTACCTAGGTAGGCAGAGAGCCACTGAATAGGTAAATGAGAGCTGTAATATTTTTGTGCATCCATTTTCTTGCTATTTTCTCGAAATAGGGGCTCATATGTTAAACCCTAGGTATCATGTAGGTACCTACCTAGTAGTAGTATGAGACAGGTACGTAGACACCCTTGAGTTCTCACATATCAGAATAACAATGAAATATTTTAGGAAAATAATTATTTAGAGCAGTGGTGTACTACTGCTGCATGCTTAGGGGTGGAAAATAAAAATATATATATTAAAACTGAATAGTTGTTTGGTAGGTCTGATAACACTCAGTAGGCACCTACTTATACACCTAGCAAATAGCGTGGCTCTGGTTGCTATAAACTATCTATCTGTATTATTAGGCGTATGTAGTTTGGGGTAATACGAACGAGTGTATCCGGCTTAATGAGGGAAGAAAAGGTTACCGTGTATTCGAAATTCTACGTCACACATGCATAGGTAAGGCGATTATCAGCTGTCAGTCAACTTAAGATTTTCGAACTCAAAAATCCCTAATGAGCCGATTCTCGGTGCGATGAGCAGGTAGGTATGAGAGCGCACAGGGGGCACCCTTGATATTTACACTTCCAAGTGATGCCACCTACGCCGGATGCGAATTCCTCATGCGAAAAGGATCATGAGATTGTTAGGTACTAGGTACCTATCATAAGTCAGGACAAAGAAAGCTGGCTGCGGTTAAATGTTACCCTCGAAACAAAGGAATTATCTCAACTACCTAACCTAGCCACATAGTTCATGGCCCACCCTAACCCACAACCATGTTAAACAGTAGTATACGCAGCAACGGCCTCAGCAAAAGCCGCTTGCACATCATGCTCATGGATCCAAGCCGGGTCCGCGCGGTTTTTTATCCTGCTCCTGAGCTGCTCGTCCGTCTCCGGCTCCTTGCTGCTCCCCTGCGCATACCGCGCGACCTTCTTCAGATTATTCTCCCGCACAACGCTCATCACGCGGTCCGTGTGCGGCTTCCTTGTCTTCTCATAGATGCGCAGCGCCCTTAGGATCTCTTTATCGTCCGGTTTCCTGGTCGCGTCCGTGGGGAACACCTGCAGGATCGACGACGCGAACGCCCATGCGTCGTCAAGAGCAAGGCTGCCGCCCGCCGCGAACGCTCCGCCGTGCGCGTGCGCGGCGTCGCCGGCGAGCGCGACGCGTCCGTTGCCCAGGACCCAGGTTTCGAGCGGGTGGGCCGCCGCGTTCGGGTAGATCCTGGTGTCGGGGACGGCGTCGACGATCTGGCGCACGAGCGGCGACCAGTCCTTGTAGAACTCGCGGAGGACGTTGACGTCGCCGGCGGAGTTCCACGTGGCGTTCTGGTACGGCGCGTCGGGAGCATTGGGGTCGGCTTGGTACGATCCCACTACGGTGAAGAGACCTCTCCCGAGCTTCGACACGAAGAATGTCCGGTCTGGCCCCCAGAAGTGGTCGGCCTCGTCCGGCAGACCCTGGATGCCTTGTACGTAGGATATGGGAAACACAGACCGGAAAGCCACCCAGCCGGTCCAGGCCGTGCTCGACGTAGGGACGAAGGAGGTTCGGACCGGCGAGTGGATCCCATCTGCGCCAAGAATGATGTCGGCCGTAGCTGTGTTGCCGTCTGTGAACTTGATCAGAAGTTTCTGGATAGTCGCATCAAAGGCAACGGACTCGAAAGGTTTAGACAAGTGAATATTGGCTGGATCGACGTGCTTGGCAAGCGCTTCCTGGAGATGTGCCCGGTAAAAACGTGAGGTCAAGTGACGGTACTCAACTTGGCCAGCGTGAGAGTCGGTTGATACAATCTCATTAGTCTTCCAGTGCCTATAATACCATCATAGTATTAGTACCCAAGTAGGTATGTTTGAGTTAGTTAGAGAATGCACCTACCGATAGATCATGGGGTGTTTCGACTTGTTACGGAAAGCGATTTCATCATCGAGGGCTTCGGTGACACCAAGCCTCTCCAAAGTTCTCATTCCATTAGGCCCAAGTGCAATAGAAGCACCTATTTCTCTAAGCTCTGCAGCTTTTTCATACACCTGTACATCAATGGCGGGGTGATCCTTCAGTGCGATGGCTGCACCGAGACCGGCGATGCCAGCACCGATGATGGCAATTTGAAGTTTGGAGGTATCTGACATGATCTGATTAGATATATTTACATATAAATATTTTTACTTGGTATAAAAATATTTTGTCCCTTCTTTTTCTTTGTTGTTTTCGCTGATGTAGTAAAGGGGGGGCCAAGCTTGGGATCATATAGACATTTTATCGCCCTCCGGAGCCGATTCGGTATGTGGGATAGACCGGACGGGGCCGAAATGGTGAAATGGTGCAAGACAGAACTGAAATGGCGAAGCAACACCTTGTCAATTAGCCCTTTCTTTCCACCCCAACAACGAGAAAGGCCCGAAGTAAACCATGCAATTCGGACTACGCTCCCTACGAGGGATGCGTGTCTCCGGCTCTGGACGACACCCAAGCTGTTGTTCGCCATTATTGTGGGGGTTGACGACTGCAGACTAGCTGATATCTTGAATATTCATGAGTTGCATCTTGTATTTATTCATTATAATCATATTACTTAAGGATGTTGGCTTAATCTTTTTTTTTGTGTCTTTTCTTGTCGGTATCTTCTTGGACTCTTTAGTTGCTTCGATATTCCTGTTATCTAAGGTATGGCGTCCAAGACCACTGGGGAGACGTCCTCGACCGACGTTCTGGTCGACACACCGAAATTGCCAGATCGTTTTGCCGATGAAAGTTACAAGTTATTCTCCCAGGTCAAGGTTGAGCCACCCACGGAGGAGGAAGCGAAACGGATTCGCAAAAAGTGCGTCCGATGGATTTTGTCATTCCTGTGCATTGGGTATCACCTAATGTATATAGACAAGCAGGCGGTAAATACTTACTATTATTATCTATCATCTAAACCCTCATGTGTCACTAAGGAATTCTGTGAGATACTATAAGTACTAACAACTAGATATCCATTCTAGCTCGCAAGTTCATCTATCCTCGGTATTCTCGAGGACGGCCATTTGAATGCAACCCAATATAACTGGTTGGCCTCTGTCTTCTACCTTGGTTATCTATTAGCAGAATGGCCTCAAAACTGGGCATTACAACGATTTCCAGTTGCCAAATGGCTAGCCGGAAACCTCATTGTTTGGTGAGTTAAGTAATATGAGTCCTCCATGATGTTTTTTCAATTAGGTACCTACCTACCTAGGTAGACAGACAGATTGGTACTAACTCGGAGAAAAATAGGGGTTGCATCTTGCTACTACATATTCCGTGTAATAACTTCGCATCCTTCTTCGTCGTTCGCTTCTTCCTTGGACTAGCAGAGGCATGTATTGTGCCTGCGTTCTTGTTGATACTGTCCATGTTCTTCACCTACGATGAACAAGCAGTGCTGATGCCAATCATGTGGGCTGCGGGTAATTCGAGTCCCATCACTTCAGGCTTGCTGTCTTACGGGGTATTATGGATAGACACGGGCAGCTTCGCTCCCTGGAGATGGTTTATGGGTAAGTCTTTGAAAGTCGTCTTGTGAAAGCTCCAAGATTAACATGGTTGCCCTGCGTAGTCATTACCGGAATTTTGACTATTATCTATGGGGTTTTTGTCTGGTTTCTCTTCCCCGACAATCCCATGTCCGCGCACTTCTTGACTCTAGAGGAACGAGCACAAGCTATTCTACGCATCGCTTCAAACCATTCAGGAATCGAGCAAAAGCACTTCAAACGCCATCAGTTGATCGAAGCGCTCAAAGATCCCAAGACCTGGCTCTTCTTTCTCCATTCTTGGTCACAAGAAATGGCCAACGGCTTGACCAGTCAATACTCACTCATCATTCAGTCATTCGGCTTTACCACCTTGCAAACCACTTTACTAGGTTGCGTCACTGGTCTAACATCATTGATCTCCCTAATCACCGCAGCAATCGTACTGGCTAAGACGCGCAACAGTCGGGCGTGGGTTTCAGTTGCTGCATACATACCCCCTATTATTTCCTGCATACTGCTCATCACCCTTCCCTGGAGCAATCGTTGGGGACTTATTTCCGCCATCTGGATCCGATCTACAGGTGGCATTCCTTACAGCGTAGTCATGATCTGGGCAGCCAACTGTTCTGCTGGGCACACGAAGAAGACTGCTGTCATTGCCCTATATCACGTAGGGTATGGTCTAGGTAACATCCTTTCACCCCAACTATTCCAAGCACAGTATAAGCCAAGGTATATTGTTACCTGGTGGGTTATTCTCTGGGTTGCGTGTGTGCTTCCCACCTTCATTGTCCTCTATCTGCGGTGGTATCTGGTGAAGGAAAATGAACGTCGAGACTTGCTACTTCAGCAAGGGGTTGTTAGGGAAATTGGAGTTATCGAACACATAGACGAGAATGGCGAACGACGAGAAGAGGTGGTCGATGCGAGACAACTAGATTTAACTGATCGTGAAAATCTTGCATTGTAAGTTCACTTCACCCAACCCCTTAGAGATCGACTGGTCTAATAACACATACTAACTAATACGCAGCCGATATGTTCTTTAAATCTTACGATTATATAGCGAGATTGGTCCAGGATAAATACTACTTAAGAAGTTACCTTGACTACACAATCTCCAATGGGGGCAATTAGCCCTCGTCACAATCATATTGTAGGAAATGCAGCTGATAGTAAAGAAGTTCATAAGCTCAATGTTAAAAAAATGGTTCACATAATAAGCCTTTATAAGTTTAACCGTGCTTTACCGTAACTATATTCAATGCTATTGTGAGTACGAAGAGACATTGAGCCCGGTGCCTACCTGCCTACCCGCGCCGTAGATTCTACCCATTGTCACGAATATCTACAAGCCGAAAGATTTAATGCCCAATGGGCTATAAATCGGCATAATCATTACGCCAAACACATCCGACGACACCTTAAGCAGGCAAATAGAACTGGGATCTTCCGTTTTCAACAATCGGCCTTGAGAACAAAGGAAGATGCCGGATTCGAGTAATCGTGAAGAAGGATGTTTAATGAAAAAAGATTTAGTACCGTATATTATTTATCTAGCCAATTGATTTCTAGATCAGAAATAACTTTGTTCCCCGTCTCGGTAGGTGGGAGACAAAGGCCGCAAGCCGCGCGCAGCACCACCGGACGCAGAACTTTGTAAGGTTGTTTTTCTTTGTGTCTCAATGCTAACAAAAGTCCTGCTGGATTCGGGCGAAGCTCTCGTCTCCGACAATCTTGCACCCTAGGGTTTCTCCTTTCGATTGTTTATAAGAAAAAAAAAGAAGAAGAAAAAAAAGGAAAAATCCACTATCAATCGTCATGTCGGCACCAGGGTCATCGAAGCCGTCAGGCGGCCCGGGGAAGAATTCACCACCCTCGGCGGGACCACAGGCAGGTGCGGCAGCGACGCCGGGATCAGCAGGATCAGCAGGTTTAACAGGCTTGGAATCGAGCACGGATGACGCAGACTGGCCCGAAGGACTCGCTAAAATCGCCCCATATATAGCCCAAGAGCTACTTGACAGTTCAAAAGTCGCAACACTTAGCCCTAGCTCCGATAGGGATAGTTTTACACAGGAGGTGTCGAAGGCGCTGAAAGCAAAGGTGATTCCATTCGCCGAAATCCAGGAGCAGGCCATCAGCAAAGAGCTCCGCAATGCACAGGCTGCTACGACAACTGCACAAGACCAGCTCGCCGTGGAGAAGAAACTGCGCAGTGAGACGGCAAATGAGCTTGACCAAGCAAGGAAGGATGCCGAGAAGGCCCGAGCTGCCCATGAGCAGTATATCCAGGATCTCAGGGATAGTCACCAAAAGGCACTGCAGAAAGCTGATGTGCGAGAGGCAGACCTCAACGGACAGATAAAAAAACTAAGAGAAGATATTGGAAAACATAAAAAAACCATATCGAGACAAGAAAATCAAATAAATACCAATGATGAGTATACTTCAAACCTTGACTCGAATTACAGCGAGTTGAAAAAGGAAAATGGAAGGCTTCACAAGCGCAACAACGAGTTGCAGGATCTTGTAGAAAAGCAAGCTTCTCAAGTCGCGAGCGATAGGACAAAGAAGCAGCAGTTACAGGCTCGCATCGAACAACAACAAAGAGATTACAAGAGTATTGAGAAGGGACAAACCTTAACAATCACTGATTTAGAAAATAAGTTGAAGATAGTCAGTGTAGAGAAGGCCGAAATCCAGAAAAGACTGGACGACCACGAAAGGGCAGCGACTACTGCTGCTAGCATAGCTAGCATAGCTAGTCCTACGGGAAGCTCAGGATCCCAATCTTCGCGATCGTCGGCGGGAGCAGGTACTGCTGCTAATTTAGATTTAGCGGCTGAGCTTGAGCCGGACCTACACGAGCAGATCAGCACACTCAACGATCAGATCAAGGAACTGGCTGATGACCATGCCAAGTGCAAATCGAAGCTCGACAAATCAGACCAAGCTAAAACTGCAGCCCAACAGCATGTGAAGGATCTAGAAAAGGAGATCGAGAAGCGAAGGAGCGATTATGACAATCTGAAAAAGGAGCGCGACGACCTTCAGGCGCAACTCAAGAGGGCAACAGCTAAGAATGATGACAACGCCAAGGAAATAAAGCGGCTGAAGCCGTTTGAGGCAAGTGTGGATGGTCTTCAGAGGCGGGAAAGAGAACTTCAATCTCAGTTGAAGAACAGGGCCCAGGAACTGAAGAGAGCGCAGGATGAGCTTAAACGGCTAAAGCAGCAACGCGACGATGACGATAGCACCAACGCGCAAGAAGATCCTACGGCCGGTGCCAAGTCAGATGATGACGTTCAGGCAGAGGGTGATCACAAGGACGACAACGACACCAAGGCTGACGATGACCTGCTCGATGAGTGTAGAGCCGATTGTGATGCACTTAGGCAGCAGCTCGAGGACTGCAAAGACAATGGCGATGCACTTAAGCAGCAGGTCAAGGACCTCCAAGACCAGCTCGAGGATGAGAAGGACAAGCATACGGCGGACACGGCAAATCTACAAGCTCAAGTAGATGCGGCACGAAATAAATTGAAGGAATATGAGGAGAAACTGAATAAGCTCCAAGACGGCACTGGCAATGACCATAGCGGTCTCAAAGATTATTTTACAAATCTCTTCGACGAGTTGTTCAAACAAACCCGCGAGGTAAAAGCCAAGTTAGATGAGCAAATCAGGATCAACAAGGACACGCAGACCCAATATATCGATCGTCTCGGCCAGATAAATCAGGATATCAACGACGACGCAAATCCAGACAGTCACGAGGTCGCACTTAACAAGAAGAGAGCGGCGGGAGTGCAGAAGGAGATCACCAGGATGAACGGTATCATCAATGTCTTGTTAGAGGAGAGGAACTGGTTCGAAGAAACGACTGAGCGTCTCGAAGACGCTCAGCGCAGAGCCGAAGACGTCCTATCTAGACCGGCATCAGACGCTGGAGACGTATCACAGGCTGAAATTGCACCACCACCTCCTCCTCCTCCTCCACCACCACCAGCAGTGAATCCACCTCCACCCGGAGATAATGCGCTAGCTAGGAACGGGCGGGGAGGACAAGGCGGACCGGGAGGACCGGGAGGACTTCGCAGAGTGTTGGCGAACCTGTCGGCACAAATTCGCGCGGGCGATTTGCCACTCTGGGTCAACATCATCACGTTCTTTGTGATGCTGGGAATCATCGTGGCACACGGGCGCGAGTTTACTACGTACAAATCCATCAACTCGGGGGCAGAGAAGAGGGCCATGTACATCAACTCCTTAGACACGCCCGGCTTTACCTTGAAGGGAACATCTTGGGAGCTGTTATGGGAGTTTATCTTCGGTCTGTTGGCGCTGACTTGGGCGTGGAGTTTATAGGTATTTTTTTTTTAGGTACCTAGTAGGTTGGTAGCCATAGTATAGTTTCTTTTAGTATCCCTGGAAACCCATGAGGTGTAGATGTCTGTTTTAGAGAGGGGATTGGTTATGGGTAAGCCAAGGTATATATAAATACAGGTGCTTCAAGGATTCATGTTGGTATGGATTTGACAACAGATAGTATGTAGTATGTAGTGTGTAGTGTGTAGTGTGTAGTGTGAGGGATAGCCATGTTTTCTGGGCAATGTTGATTATACCTAGTAATTTGTCTGTAAAGTTGTTAGGTACCTAGTTTTATACTTAAAGTGCTGCTACCATTCGCTAGTTCACTCGAGTATTTGTATGTCATTTGAATGTGTTGATATGAAATATGATTGTATGTACAATACATAAGGTGAGATCATCTGAGATGTAGGTGTGAAGTCTGATAATTGATTGAAATAATTCATTGGAATAAATCTTTGCTAACCTTGGAATTGATTAGGCCGGGTGTCCCACAATCACCTAAATTTGTCACCAAATTTGTCAGCTCATGCCTATGGCTATTGCTGCCACTGCCACTGCTACACGTTTCATGATGTCATTTTGACTCCATTCGTGACATGTGACAGGTAGACAAGCTTCGATTAGTCTTTGGTCTTTGATTGAAAACAGTTACATACTAACTATGTAAATTCAATAGCATTTAAAGTTTGTACGCTTTCGACCTGCCATGCAAGTTGTACATATGTACATATGCCTACATAGGTACTACCTAGTAGGTAAGTAGTAGGAAAAACATTAAGCCAAGGATGATATCCATTCGGTAGTTACACATGTACAGTACCTAGTAGCTAATAACTACTAGCTACCTAGTATTGAATACTGACCAGGTGCCTAGGTGTACTAGCATAAATGCCTAGGTACCTATGTAGGTTAGTTGAATGTCATTTACTAGGGTCAATTCCAAATATCTATTCCCTCCAGGGCTACTTTTACGGATTCAGGTTCAAGGGGTTTGCTTCATCAACAACAAGACCAGTAAGATGGGCCATGAATCTCGAAGGGTTTACAAATTATCATGTTGAAACTTGACTAACCTACCTGGCTAGGAAATGAATGCGTATATATATCGACTTGGAACTTCGTATTTCTCAAAGACATTCAAACTTACTAAAGTTATTGATAATAACTTGAACCTCTTCATCATCGCCAATAAATCCAATAAATCCAATAAATCTTTACATTACTCAACTTTTCCACCTCTTCAATCTCTTCCACTTAATATCACGCTTTGTTTGGAAACCTGCAGAACTTTGCATACGAGAACAGCATTTCCCGTGTCACAACTGAAGTATCGAAAAGGCCGACGTCTCACAATGTCCTCCAAACTTATTCCATCCAATCCCTCCGATGTAGCCGTCTTCCGGAACATCACTCCCAATGTTGTGACCGTGTCTGTGCCGTTTGCACGCTTCGGCATCTTCCGAGTCGGTGGCCGCGGTACCATAAGTGAGTTCATCTTCATTTATTTCTTTTTTTTATTATTATTTTTTTTCCTTTTCTTTTTTTAAAAAAATGGAAAAGGAAAGGGAACACCCGTCAGGATCGTATAAGTAATAAATATATAATATCAAATGCAAAATATCACACATCGAATATACTAATTCATACATCACTAGTACGACTCACATCAGGAACACTGGCAGTGTTCTCGCCGGTGGCGTTAACACCAGAGATGAAAGCCAAAGTCACCGAGATGGGCGGTAACGTTGGCTACCTGATCGCGGGGGACATAGAGCACCACATATTCCTGTCCGAGTGGGCAAGTGCGTATCCGAACGCGAAGCTAATCGGGCCCACGGGCCTGCAGGAGAAGCGCGCCAAGATGCAGGACGACGACAAGATCGGCAACGAGCCTTTCGCGTTCGTCTATGACGCCTCCAACAAACGCGACAACAACATCACCCCCGAGTTTGCTGCTGACTTCGAGGTCGAGTTTGTGGACGCGCATCCTAACAAGGAGATAGTGCTCTTCTACAAACCCGACAAGATCCTGATCGAGGCGGACCTGCTTTTCAACCTACCCGCTACTGAGCAGTATTCACGGGTGCCCGACGCTGCGAAGACTTCTCACGGCATACTAAACAGGATCTTCGAATCCCTGAACAGCACGAGCGGCGACGCAAAGGGCGTGAAGCGGTTCTTGTGGTACGGGGTCAGCAACGGCAATAAAGACCGCCCCGGCTTCAACCAAAGCGTGCAGAGGATCGACACCTGGGACTTCGACACGATCATCCCGTGCCACGGCGAGACGATCGTGGGGAACGGCAAGGCGCTGTTTAGGAAGGCGTTTGAGTGGCACCTAGCGGGCCATAAGTGAAGGTTGTAACGACTGACGATCATCATACATATATCCAAGTCTACACGAACGTAAATTACCCCCTACCTAGGTAACCTTGGTATTTATGTAGCCTGAGGATGCACACCCGGCTCTGTGAATGTATTATATAGGGCGGAGGTTCGGAGTTTTTGCAGTATAGTATATCGGAGTTCCAAGATGGGTATTGGGTATATATAAATTGTATACATAATGACGTCCACCCACCCACACACACACACACACACATACACCCCACGTTTTTGTTTCGCCTCCTGAGCACGCGAAAACTGTTACTACCCGCACCCATCATCATCCTGTGCGCAGATTGAGAAACCCTCAACACATCCCGCGTGAACGCTTGCTACATACTCACTAAACACAACCACCCACTGTACTACCGACCTTGGTTACACGTCCTCCACGATCCTAGCGTCCACGGCGCAGCTCACATCACACCGAGCATGTGAGCTAGAAAACTCCGATGTAGGGAAGTTTGATTGATTAGAAAGTGAGGGAAAAGGTAACTAAAGTAATAATAATATGTAATGTGTAAGTCAATACACCAAGGAAGTTCACCTCATTGCCTTCCAACCAAACAAAGTTGAGTCATGACCAACCAATATCCCAAATGCCCCCCCTTATCCACACGCCTCGAGAAATCAACCCATATTCGTGACTAGTCTGATTTTTCCCAAATGCATATCTCTCTCCCATACCTCTCGGATAGACAAAACTTGGAAACAAAACAAGATCAGACAACCTGGAGGTTGAGAGCTATAGCTAGCGAAAGGATTTGAGACAGGTGAGAGCTTATTCGGCTTCGGCTACTCCTCGAGACACCATTGGCCTCGCCGACCCCTTTAGCCTCACTTTCTCCTCGCGCTTTCTTTCCCATCCATCCATTCCTACATGGTATGTGTTCCCAATCCCAAACTCAACCCGAAATACGCCTGTTTAGCCATCATTATCATGCGAAGAAAAAGAACCGGCGTTGCCACCACCTTCACGTCCTTTTGTTTATGTTTTTTTTTCTTTCCCCTCCTCTCTCCCTGTAAAACCCTAAACCATGTTTTTCTCTTCCACCGCGCATTACCTCGGCACATAGCTCCCCATCCCAAACAAGAAAGTTGGAAACCTCCCCGCCGTGTCGAGATAGTGACGCATGCCGTGCTACCCATCTCCCCACTTCATGAAGAATCCTTCCTTCCTTCCTCTCCGGGTTCCGGGCTCACTGCGAGCAAGTCTTGCGCTCCCGCGTCCGGCCGCGCCGGTTCTCCCCCTCTCGGCTCGAGGAGGATGAGGACGAGGAGTCCACGGCCTCGCTGTCGTAGGCGGCGCGGCAATCCCGCGACGCGATCTTGAAGAGGTCGTGCTTCGCTGACGTGCCTTCGTTCAGGACCTGTACGGTCGCACATTCATGGTTAGTATGGTAAAACTTGTAGGAGATAGATTTCCCCCCTTTCCCCTTTCTCCCCTCATCCCCGGGCTGTAGGGGGGGGGGGGGGGGCTCGGCTGGGTGCAGCAGACACATACGGTACAGAGTCTACATCGTTGTCCAAAGTACGAGACTTTGTTCTGGCAGTTGATTTGTCCCTGTTCACACACAAACCCCCCATATCGTTAGTTTCGTTCGCTCATAGTATGGCATGACATGACAGCGACGATGATGGGTCGGAGATCCGTACATAGTAGTTGGCACAGTAGCAGTCCATCTTTCCTTTCATTGGCGGCTTTCCGTGACTTATATGTTATTTAAGTGATGAACTAGGTTAGGTTGCTAGTAGGTGCGAAGAGTACGTTTGATGGAGTGGTAGAAGAGCTTCGAGATGATAAGTTGTTGAAGATATGTAGCACGAAGTGAAGTTAATCAATCCTGTAAGTATGTATACGACGGCCAAACAAGCTTTGTATAATGGGGCTTATGCATATGCGCATGTAAACTATCCGAGGAGCGCGGGCTTCAGGATCGGTACTAGGTATGTAGGCAACAGGGGCAGCAGGATGAGGAGGAGGAAGTAGGGAGGGCCTCCCCCTTCTTATACACCGGAGGGGATACATGGGCATGATAAAATATTATGGGAACATTGAGCTACAAAGGTTCATGTTTCGCTAAGTAGTATGTATGTAGTACCTCATATATTTCGCCTACCTAAGCAGCTAAACTACTAGGTAAATTAAGAAGAAGTATGATGGCTTGTACATAGGTAAACCCCGATGGTCCCGATTGCGAATCCAAAAATGCTCAGCTCCATCCTTTCCTACTTCTTCCACCCCCCCTGAAGCGTTCCACAGCAGCAAAACCAATGCCAGCGTCAACACCAGCCCCCCGATCCAAACGGACGTCGACCCGTCCCAACTCAAAATCCTTAGGAGGGGGGGGGGGTGGTTGCGAAGGTTGCGGCTCCACCTATTCCCGATTTTCTGGTTTCGCCCCCCCTTCTTCTTCTTCTTTTCTTCTTCTAGGTATGGATATGGACCCCCCATGCGAGCTAACTGACTGATCCGACTTGTTAAGGGCGCCGACAGCTTGGGACAGCTTTTCTCTTTCTTACCGGTGTAGGGCGGGTTTGTTCGCCAAGAATATTTTCTTCTTTTGTTCTCTTTTTTTTTTTTCTTTTTTTGAAATAACTAGGCTAGAATTATAGGCAGGTAATCTACTCACTGCCGTGCTACTTTTTATTATTTATTTTTACGCAACGCAAGGGCAAAGCGCAGGCAGGAAAGCAAAAGATGTTGTCATACGATGCGACAATAGGAAGAGGGAGGAGAGCTTGAAAAGTCTAGACGGTGGTCCATACCTATACACGCGCGCGTGCGTGACACTTCTCATTGTTCTCTTTCCGCCTTGCCTGCCCAGGTGCCTACCTATACATATGTCGTACCTACTTACTCGGTGCCTACTTGGGTAATCCTAGGTTAGCTATCTGCGTGTCAATATGTAGCTACCTGCTCAGTACCTAGATATATGTAGGTACCTATGTAGGTAGGTAGGTATTCAGCCAGTCGCGCATTGGCCACCTGGCATGTTTCGGATAGTTTCACCAGCTCGAAGCTCTCGGAGGATTCATCACTCTATCTATCTTGCAGCTTAGCTACATATGTAGCTACATTAGCTACTAGGTACCGAAGTAGCCAAGGTACTTAGATAGGCAGAGAGCTTTCACCGCATGATTCGCATACCATAACTCACTTCAGTGGAGAGGGACATCTGGAGAGGGAGAGGGGTGGCTTGATTTGGTTCTACAAGAGCTTCGTTCTGGAACCTCTTAGCTCTATCTGTTAGTGTGCTTTGAGCCGTAGATAGTGATATCAACCTCTTATGTTTATGATGTCAGCTCTGTGCAGGTAGTGTAACGATGCCTTATCACACCGGCAACCTGGGAGAGCAATCTATTATAGCTTCTTCCCCGTGCTCTGGTCGGCTAAGGGAAGTTAGGTAGGCAAGTGAAACTCAAAAAGAAATCGCAAAGACCCGATACAACGGTTAAGGTAAAAAAAAAAAGACGAGAAGAAAGTTCAAGAGGTTCTAGATGTCTGTGTTCTCCTGCTAAGGCGCGTGGGCAGTAAGTAATCTAGGTTAAGTTTCCACGGGCCACGTGTATTATTCGTGGTCTCGGTATGAGAGACAATCCTTAAAAGTGAAATGGTGGTGGAAATACCGCCTTCTTAGGGCTGCAGGCTGCTAGGTGATCTACCTACTAGCTTACCGTGTCAGAATAGCGTCGGAAAAGGTGCCGAACGTCTACGTAAACGTTGAAAACGATTAAACTTATGTCTCCGGGATAGCGCCTCGTCACTGACATACAACTTCCGTGATGATTAGAGGTCTGGCGAGCACACCAATACAGCCCACCATCCTGTCCATAGTATCAGACGCTGACAATTCCCTTGAGAGTTTCTACTGACTGTGGATCGAAAACCAAATCAAATATCTCATACTCAGTCCTAGGAATGTTTTGTGGAGGCACACCTTCCCTCTCGCCTCTTTAGTTCCTGTCCCGTCTACCTTTCAACAAAGACTAGACCGTAGCCCACTATCTCACACCCACCCGTCTTCATCATTACTAGATGCCGTAATTTTTTTTAAAAAAAAAACCCTACTTTGAACGGGGAATCATCCGTATCGAACCAAGGACGAATTACTCGAGGCAGGCGCTTCCTCACCTATGTCCATGAGCCCGCCTTATGAAGCGAGTTTTCACGAGCTGAAGCTCACACATGGGAATATGAGTCGACACAGCTCTCTTATCATGGAGAAAGTAAGAGTGAAGCTACTCGACTTTGAACGCTTCGAGCCCGGGACCGAGAAATACGGACCTGTAGATGCCGAGCTGGTCGGCGAGTCAGGACGGGGTGGATATTTCATATTCCATGACAATGGTGATATACCTAGGTAGGTACCTAGGTAGATGTGTGATATGTAAGAAGCATTGCGCATGTATACCGGAGCATATAACATACCTACCTATTCATAGATCCTGATAAAGCAGAGCCCCATTGGACCGACTACCATACCACACCCTAAACATCACAAGCTTAATACCAGCAGGTAAACATCAACCCCCCCTTAGGTAGCTTACCTTACCTAGCTTAACCCAACAACCACAACAACCCACCCCCTAGCCTCGGTAACTGGGCCCGTATTTACACTCCCAATAGCTTCAACTCGAAAGCTTTCCAGCATGTCGGGTGAAGCTACCTTACCGAGCAGCCCGCTAGCCTCAACTTTGACTCCGTTGAGTCAGCGACAGACCCAGGCATAGACATAGACATACACGTGCGCGCGCGGACGCACGCGCGTCTGCACTAAATATATGATAACAGGCAAAACAAGCTGAACTTATTTATCCATGGATTCCATACACCTAGGTTACCTATGTACCTACCTACCTACCCACCTACCTCTCAGACTAAACACTAGCCTGCCATACCCAAGGGTTTTTATCAACGCGTCAAGCACACGTCAACGATCGTCCCGAGAAGCTAGCTAGCTAGCTACCTACCTACCTACTAACCTAAGGAATTTCGATTAGCGCTGTAAGTAATAGCTAGGCACCTACCTAGTGTTCAACCTTCAACCGTTCTGTCGGTAGGTAGGTAGGTAGGTAGGTAGGTAGGTAGGTGTATAGCTAAGGAGGCCAAAACTCTATGCTTTCTACATGTGCTTAGCCGGGTAGGTTGGATATAGTAGTAGACAGCCCTGTCGAGCCGACTGAGCCGGGTAGCTGGATAGGTCGGCAACTAGGTTAGGTGAATAGCATGACATCAAGTCAGTGAGGACCTAGGCTAAGAAACCCAAGCCCTCTTGACTGGACATGACATGACACAAACCGGGCCGAAACGAAAACGAATACGTTAGGACCAAGATCAAAATCCAGCATCGAGCTAAAAGAGAGATAATGGGGAATCTTATGCATCAACAATCGGGTTTGGGAATCTTGAGGCTTTGTTATTGTGATTACGGTAGGGATTTCCTACGAAGTAGTTCTAGACACATCCCCCTTTCCAGCTTCTGATGCAACGTCCCGATTTGCTCCACCCTTCGTCTCTTCCTCTTCTCTTCTCTTCTTCTCTTTTCTCTTTTCTCTTACAGACAAGTCACTCACAACTGCTTGTCCTCACTCAACTCATCCAGCGCAACGCAGACTGCGACGTTGCCCACAGCCCCTGCTCTGTATTCTTCCTCACCCTCAAGTACAAATGAGTTAGAATCTGTTAGGCTCCAGCAAAATCCAAAGTCCGCAGCCGACCTTGAATTCGGAAGCTTAAAATAATTAAAAACGATTTCCTCGCTAATGAAGACATTCTCAAGAAAATGAGGCGGAAAGGAAATTATGCTGGCCAAGTAAATCACAAGACGCGCATGCGTAGCCATTTATATGGGTTCGCATGTTTATCAAGCATTATCCGGGCCTCCACGTGTTGGGCCGAGTTGAAAACCCAGACAATCCGGAGAAAGCTGGCTATGATCTAGGGTCGAGAAGAAATTGCCCGTCATAGATCTTGATTATTAGAAATAAGTTGCGTAAAGGAGATCACTACACGACCAACTCCGACTTTCTGTTATTCTTCCAGAAGTCAAGTGCAGCGACCACATCGCCGCCAGCCTCATCTTCGTATGCAAATAGAATCTGGACCAAAGTTAGTGTTTTTGTCATCTCATGAAGGTATCCATCTACCTAGCCACCTAGGTAAGGGGGTTGGTTATAACATACCTCATGCGTACTGCTATGCAACATTCGAATGTTCTTATGCGGAACAATATGAACCGCGCCGCTTTCGATGTTCCTAAGCTCGATGAAGTTCGGTTCGAATGCCAAAATCCACGGATAAGAGAGCGCAAATGCTTGCGGCGTCCCTTCCCAGTCGATTTTCCATTCCGGTCTTGCCCGCCAGCCATTCCTATTGACGAAGAATGAGAATTCGGAATAGTTGAGAAGAAATTCCCCATTAAGTCGTTCGATATGGATTGGTCTGACGCCTTCTTTTCTCGCAACGAAGTCGAGCGAGGTGTCGGCTTGATCCAGTAAGGACTGCGTCTCGAGTGTTTCAAGAGAAACAACTTCGAAGCCTCTAGCGCATGCCACGCAAAGCTTACTCTTGAGGAAGTGGACGGAGGACGATTCGGTAGGAATGTAGAACTCTTTGAATGCCTTCAACTCGTCCTGGCCCGCGTTGAACATCTTCCCAAACCCTTTCTGTTTCTTGCCCTTGCTCATGGGGTCGTTGGGTTCGTACACCTTAATCGTCGTTGAGAGTGCACTAGACTTAACACAACAGACTAGATGCCTACCAAGACAGATACCCGTCTTGAAGAAATTGCAGTTGCTTTGAATTTTCTTGGGCCTCTTCGCTAATGCTGGCTCGTTAGGATCTAGAGCCGCAAGGGAGTACGATGTAAGTGTCTTATTCGATAGCACGAGCAAAAGATTGTATTCTTCCAACACATCGATCTGGGTCACATGTTGTGCTTCGATGACGCGCTTGGGCACTTGGTCCTTAACCTTTCGATCTGCAATGTAGATGCCATGATCAGTACCGATTATTAATTTACGGCCACCATCTATATTCTAGTCAGTAAATGCAAAATATTTCAGCAAGTTGGGGCTAGTACCGAAAGGCGTAACCGTGTTAACCAGATTACCAGCTTGAAAGAAATTGGAAGAAAGGGTGTTGACGTTGAAGAAATCCGCTCTTGCGCGAAGGCGTTGCTGAGCCGAGTCGATGAATTCAAGCCACTTTTTCCGGGCTGTCTGGTTCGATGCGTACAAAACTTGCTCGTAGTAATTTTTGCCCAGATGCCGGAAAGTAATGGGCCACCCTTCTACTTTGCCTCCAACTTCGGCCTTATTACGGAAAGGCAAATTCGACGATGCTCGCTTCACTCCTGCCTGAGGGATGACCTCGTCCATTTCTTTGATCGAGAGTAGCTCCAACGGAATTGGCTATGAAATTGCATGTTAATTACTGCTGAAATACGATACGTGAATAATATTGCGTTACTTACCCGCCTATAAGCTTTCACTTCTTCTCCCTTACCCGCTTGCTTGATTCGCACGAGAAGAACAGCGTGATCGAATAGGAAAGCCGTAATGTCTGTAGGATCCGTAGGCGACTTCTTGAACTGAGTCTTGAAAACCAGTTCACGGTTTTCTTCTGTCAGCTTGAGGTCAACTCGGTCAGCCGGACGGAACTTCAACTGTTCGTGCAGGCGACGTAGATTGAAGCGGTTCTCAGCCTTGCCGGACTCGGCGTTGACCCGGCTCAGTAAGTCTCGAATCGTGACTAGAACCTTGGGGATATCCTCCCTATCAGGGTTCCCTTCTTCTGTGTATTTTAACACGTTTTCGAGAAGCAACGGGTAACGCGCTAATCTTGTTGTGGGCTTAGTCAAGTAACCGTTCAGTTCCAGTTTCCTTGACTCTTTTCTTCTTTCAATCTCCTCAACGAATTTAGCGAACTGAACGTTGTTTGATCGCTCATTCTCGAATTCGAATTTAGCTTCTAGTTGCTTAGAGCCGTACAATATGAATGGCTCGAACTGAGGAACTATTTCTAAGAAAATATCACCGAGATTCTTAACCACGGGATGCTTTTGCTGTCTATCCGTTAACGCCTTGGCAAACCTAGAACTAACCGAGTGGATGCTCGGATGGTCAATGACATTGCTGAAGATGTTTTGCACAACAGCCTCTCGCCGTGCGGCCGGGATGGGCGAGGCCTTTGACCGTAGCGGCAATATCCAGAAATCTCGTAGATATTCAAGATCTTTGACGAAGTCTCTCTCCGTGTAGCATATTTCGGAAATGACTTCTTGTCTCTTCTTTTCCTTGTCGCCAACACTCTCGGCAATTTCTTTGGGGACGGTATTGATCCAGAGCTTCTGCTCGTCGGTCTGATCCGCATCGTCGTTAATAACAGCATCCTGGTCCTTCTTCAAGCCCACCTGTGGCTTGAGGTTCAGCCGAGAAACCTGTTCCAATCTTCGGGGGCATGCGATTGAATAGCAGAGTTGATCCCTTGTGCATGTTGGAGAGTAACATTCCGACAGCAGGACAAATACACCATTGACTGGATGCTTTTCCTCCGGTTCGTCCATAAGCGTTTCCCTGAACTGGTACATCTCGGAAGACGAGTCTCGCAATCGGTGTTCGTAGGTGACATCGTGGAAGAATTTCTGCGCATCTAGAGCTCGGCCTAGGAGTAAAGCAAGGTTTCTGTCTGTGGTTCTAATGATGTACGACAGAACGTCAACGGCTTCAGAGCCGCTGAAAGCATTCTTGTATGTCAGTTCGTTCTTCGTCCGCTCGCCAGTGATAATCTTTTGCCGGAAACATTCGGCGACACGTGAGAGGAGGGCAGGGTAAACTAGAGGTGGCCGAATCTTAGCGGTAGGAGGTCGTTCGCCCTCAATGGATTTCGAAGATATGGAAGGCCGGTGGACTAGCTGCTGACGGGCTTGCTCAGAATTTTCGGGGACAATGGTACTAGCCATTGACATCGTGCGACTGTGGTCGCTGGCAACAGTCGATGATGCCATGCTCATCGTCCTTGTGGCGGTTCCTGGCGCAGCAGCATAACCACCATACCCAGGGTATCCAGCTCCGTTTCCATTCATTGTAGGCATCTCATTCGAGGGAGCTCGCATACGATTAGGAATCACCCGGCCGCTCATCATCTGGTGGGCATCGCGTTCTGGGGGGTACCCAGTCATTGACATAGATCGATCGTCGTGACGCTCGGGAACTACTCGTCCCTGCGCAGTTGTCCTGGATGACATGGGAGCGGCTGGGGCAGGATGTCTGAAATTATTTTGATGCGATTGATACGCACCAGGTGGCGGTTGGTATATCGGTTGCCGCGGTACGCTAGCGAGGGACTGAGAACGATAAGGGTCGTCACGAGTAGCAGGCCCGGGTCCGGATCCAGGTCCAGGTCCGCCTTGGTGCTGCCTAGGAGCGGGATTTCGTGGAGGGTAGCCTGACGGAGCCGGCCCTCTTGTATCAAAACGAGGAGGGCCTTGGGGCGGCGGACCAGGATATGGTCTTTGGTTCGGACCAGGAGGTGGCGCCCTCCCATACTGGTTTTGTCCCTGAGGAGGGTAGCCTCCTGATGGGTTCCTCTGATTCTGATAATAACCGTTGGCCATACTCGTGTCCATTGTTCTAGTTCGGGGGGCGATCGCTTCTTCGTAGCCTCCCGTTCGCTGGGGTCGCGGAGGGGGTCGTCGCTGCATATCAGGTTGTAGGCCGGACACGCTAGACATGGACGACATAGTTTGGGTTCTTCCTTCTTGCTGCGGGGCTGCCATAGGCGACGACGTCGAGGTCATGGTGGCAGTCCGACCGGGAGGGGGAGCAGAGCCGAAAATGTTGGAGAAAGCGGCATCTCGTTGGTTGTTGGAAGATGGGCCGTATCGCCGTTGATCGTACTGATAATCAGCCATTCTCTAGACTCTCGAGGTCCTATAAGGGGGGAAAGAGAAGGATTACGTGGTCAGCATACGTCGCTAAAAGTTATTATAAGCGATGGAAGTTGTGGATTTACACGGGAGCGCCGGCAGTGTTGCACAAGCACTACGCCCACCCACATATGCACACTTGCACACACACACATACATAGGTGCAACTTCGTATCAATAATGTTAAAGAACCAGGAGTGTCATGGGGGTGGGACTCACCCTTAGGAGAGCCTAGGCGGCCGGTAGCCTAGACAGAGACCAAAATTCGTCCACAGGTTTGGGATAAAGGGGTGATAACCGACAGTGACGAATAGGCTCACCGCCGTAGGTGGACGGTCGGGATGTGCGAGCAATAATGTCCTGCTCCCTCCGACTTCTTGTCTTTCGTTTTTCCCCCCCAAGACTTTTTCGTCACTTAAATGTAACAGGTTCTTCCGCGAATTTGAATAATTGGCTGTGAGTCGGTAGTAGTGCGGAATAGGGAGAAATTATATTATGGGACGGAGCAATGAGTAAGTCGTCGACATCGATTCGAATGGGGGAATATTTGGTGGTATGGTAGAAATTGGTAGAAATTGTAGAGTTTGTAGGAATTCCAGATAGGATAGGACGGGATGGGATTGGTAGAATAGGTACTAGTAATAGGCAGGATAAGGAAGGGAGAGAGAGGTCGGGTATGTTAAATGTTAAGGTACATCCATACTACTATGTAAATTTGTATGGGACATCTGGATTTAATGAGCGCTGCCACTGGAGTACAGACTGTACACAGTAGGTCGGTACCTAAGTCGGTAGGTTTAATCTACCTACATTAGTACTGATTGATTTGATATGATCAAGGATTATTAGAGAGGTGCCTGTGCCAGGTGCAAAGAAACATTGGCGTAAAATAACTAGTTAGTACTTGCTTCGAAACTGCACATGTGCCCGCCCCAGGTGCTGCTTTTTTTTTGCTTTGCATTGAACCGGCCCTTTGCCAGGCTCAAACTGGACTTAAACACTGCCAGTGGATTGCACTAACCTAGTAACATTGAAGACCCGGGTTATTGTCGGCTCGGAGTTGTTAGGTAAGGAGGTCGAAGTAATGTAATCCTTTAATTCCTACACTACGAGTAACATACGATAATCTGTTAGGACAATACTTTCTTTTTTTTCGATCACAAGTTACACAACTATGTACTACTGGCCTAGGGTATGTAGTTATGTACAATACTACATATGTACTAGTAGTACTGAATTCGTTCCTGTTTCCATTCACGCCATGTGTTTCCAAGAAATAAAGAAAGCGCGATAAGATTCGACAACGTTGGACGTTTACACTAAAATTTACTAAAAGAATTCAATTGAAGAAGAACAGTACATAAATAATTCAATATTAACATTGAACGAACTAGATGTATGTCAACGGTATTATTGTATTAACCCTATACTACTAGTAGTAGTAGTGACATACTAGGAAGATACTATACTATGCTCATACATTTATGAAAATGCATACATGTCCGTGTAGTATAAAAATGAGGCAGCCAACTCGCAACATTAAAAATCGAGATGACGACTTGAAAATTTCGCTACACTGGAGATATCCGCCATAGTTTTATCTGGCAAACCCAGTCGAATACGACAGTGCCATGGATGAACTGCCTATCTATATTCTACCCACCATGAAGCTTATCTTATAATCTTACTATAATAATTAATCTTGATAGAAACAAGAATTACACTGTAGTCGCATCGCTTGTTTCAATCACACATATAAGTAGAGACCTAACTCCCTAAACTCCAGCTATGCAACCTGAACTACCCTAGGTACCTATTAATGCTGTAGGTACCTGGTTAGGTGGTAGCAACTGCCACTGGCAATGCAGTCCATGCAGTCTAATAATGGAATTATATGGGGACTCGAGATTGGGATCTGTCAATGATTGGTTTGTGACTATACAAATTGTAGCACGCAGTGCCATGCACCTACCAGAGCTAAAATCTTAAAATCATGCGTATGTAATCCCAAACGTCACGTGCCACCAGTACTAGGCTGCGAGAGGCGAGAGGCAGCTAATTGAAGCTTCTAAAGCTTCAATGTTCATCCATCATCTAATATCATCCATTTGAAGGTTCAACAGGATTGAAGAGAACCATCATCCTAGGCACTTCACGGAAGTCCCATTCAATTCCTTTTCCTTTTTATCCACCTTTAATTAAGCCACAAGGAGGACTTTTTCACCATGGATGAATCAGAAATCGCGCCCAAGTTCGCTCCTTTCATCGGCATGGTAAGCTACCAGATCCCTCCGTTCCGTAAATATCGATGCTCTGGTAAACCGTCTGTACTGACAACATCTTCTACGCCATAGGCCGGTATCGCCGCCGCCATGATCTTTGGCTGTACGAAATCCCCCATCTCCGCCGCGTCCTCTCGATAATAGCACCGTAAACTAAACTAAAAACAAACACTGTAGGCATAGGAGCGGCATATGGAACAGCCAAATCGGGAATTGGCATTGCAGGTGTTGGTACTTTTAGACCAGACCTCATCATGAAGGTTCGTGATACTGTTGGCTTTGATACCTTTGTCCATTCTTGCGGTATCCCGGTTTTCTAATACGATGATCGCATCTATAGTGTCTAATTCCCGTCGTCATGTCTGGAATTATCGCCGTCTACTCGCTCGTCATCTCCGTCCTGATCGCCGGTGACATGGACCCGCCATCGCGACAAAGTTATAGCTTATTCAAGTACGTCTCCGACTTCGCTCAGCCGAACGAGCAAATCCATACGATACTAATATCTTCGATAGTGGTTTCATGCATCTCGGGTGCGGAATCTCCGTCGGAATGACGGGTCTTGCGGCTGGATACTGCATCGGTATTGTCGGTGATAAAGGGGTTCGCGCATATATGGAACAGTCCAGAATCTTCGTTGGCATGGTTCTTATCCTTATTTTTGGAGAAGTCTTGGGTCTCTATGGGTATGTACAGCCCTCCATCGTGTCCCAAAACACTTACTGACTTTATACAGTCTCATTGTTGCTCTCATCCTCAACACCAAGAGCAAGGGTTGATCCGTCCAGTCAGAAATAATACCATCACATACATTGGCCAACTAGGTACTTGGTACATCTTGATATGAAGGAGTATGAGCAAACCGGGACTCTTAAGAATAAAGTGTAAACAATAGCTGCATGGACGGCGTTCATGGGTTTGTAAAACTACAGGTGGCCACCTATTAAAACTGTTGACGGTTGGTAGGTGAACGTTGGGTCAGAAACGACCATTAATGAGCAAGTCAGTTTGGGAAATCGAGACACGAGATCATCACTACTAGGTTACATTCCTCTGTAGTCAAAGACAAGCTGGTCGAATTTGTGTTAAATTTATCCTAGATGAGAGGTTGGCTAGCTACCTACCCAGTACCACAAACCCTGAAGGAGCGAAAGAAATAAATGAATTCCCGCCAGACATATCTCGTGATCCCTCATACCCAGTTACCGTCCTTTCATCTAACTCATGTAAACCCCAAGTATGAAGACCCGAGTAAAAGCTAGACCTCTGTAATATCTGATAACCTGAACCGATCTAATGTGCCCCGAATAACACCAAAATAGTAGTAGCGCCGCCCAATGCGTATCGTGTGAGAAGCAATCAACAATCCCCAAAGGAGTGAACAGAAGTAGAATGCAGCGTATTTCCAATCTTCGTCGTCTTCGGCATCAAAGGCCCTTCCCTAGATGGATGGGGGCGGAGAACAAAAAAAAAAAAAAAACTGAAAAAAAAAACTGTGGAGCATGTTACGAGTGCAACAGAGTAGCCAGTTGTCTAGGTATGTATGCGTGTCCCCCTTTACCGGCCGAATCGACGAGCAAGTCTACCACGGCTCTCGACGGGGCTGCCGAAACTAGTCCAGCTTCGGTCTCGCTCGTCCCAGTCCTTCATCTGGCCTACATGTTCTGGTCAGCATCGGATAAGGCCTTCTTTCAAGTAGGTTGGGTATATGTAGATAGATAGATGTGCATGTATGTATGTGCCCAGGGACCTAAGTATCTAGATAGGTTTGTAGAAACTCGATTCCCTTTATCACACGGACACGCGAAAAGGGAAATAGAAAGGGGGATGGCAGGGGAAGTGTAAGGGGAGGGGGGGGGGGGGGAGAAAAACCACTAACCCAAAAGCCAATCCCACCGCTGCTCCTCGCGGTACAGCACATCCTCGCCGGGCTTCTTCTGCCGAGCCAGCCTCTCGCGCCGCGCCTTCGCCGCCGCCTCCTCGCCCACCAGGTACGGGTCCTCGAGCGGCCGGCGCACCATATCCGGGTCCGCGTCGTCGTCGTCGGCTGCTGCTGCTGCTGCTGCCACCGCGTTCATGCGGTCGATCATCGCCGTTGCTACGCCGGACCCTGCCCCGCTGCTACTGCTGCTGCTGCTGCTGCTTCCCCAGCTGCTGTTGTGGCTGTGTCGCCCCCCATTGACTGCGGCAGAGACCCGGCGGTGGGCTACGCGCTGGTAGAGACGCGCGGTGGGGTTGCTGTTCATGGAGGACCACGACGGGATCGAGAAGTGGTTCAGCTGCGGGACGGCTGCTATGCTACTACTGCTTATACCACCACCGCCGCCGCCCCGGCGTCGTGGGGACGGGATCCGTGGGAGGCCGGCGCCCGGGGCGAAGGTGGAGGTCATGGGGATGGGTGTTGGCGAGGGAGAAGGGGCGGAGGGGTTGAGCATGGAGTAGGAGGAGGAGGATGCGTAGCGCGGGGGGGGCGGCATGGATGAGGGGGGGGCGTGCTGGTCCCGCGGTGTGTACGCGGGCACGCTTTCGTTGGGGGGGATTGTCGAGTGGTAGGAGGGCGCATCGGAGACTGTTGTTGTGGAGCTGTTAGCGATTTTTCTGCCATCATGAGAGTTGCTTCCTAAAATTAGCGGAAGAGAAGGGGGGTTGGGGTTGGGGTTGGGGTTCGGAGCCTTACTGTAAGACGGTGCGGCTGAGCGAACAGAGGCCGTCTCGAAATCCTCCGGGCTCAGGCGTTCAATGCGGGATGGCCCGTTGTGAATAGCTGCTTCGGCGGCCATGGTGTAGGCGGGAGAAGTTATAAAATATCACCAATAGATAGGTATCAATATGCAAGGCAGTGTGTAGTGTGTATGTTAGGGCGGGAGAAGTTTCGGTGAGAGCAGCTTGCACATCAAGATCTAGTCAGGCAGCTAGGCAAGTTCCTTATCAAGAGAGGGAGGGGAGGGGAGGGGAGGGGGGGCCGGTTTTAGCTAAAGTAAGGAAGAAAAATTGAGATCAGATAATCGTAATGATGGAGTAACGAGATCAGCACTAGATAGGGTAGCTTTCCAAAGGTGTAACTCCTTGTATGCAGGAAAGGTGAGGTGAGGTTGGTAGGTATGTACAGGTTTTGATGGCTTTGTCTCAAAAATAGAAAGGACCAATGTGATAGGCAAGTAAGTATGTATGGGGGTTCACAGCGGGCAAAATGCTAGTCACGATGAAAGCCAGCACACCACCATCCACAACAACCTTCAAAAAGGTTTCTTGCTATGCTAAAATAAAACCTAAGACGGAGTGGTGGTTGAGGTATATTGCACACGTGAGGGTTGCAGAGAGGTCAGGGATAGGAATAGGGAAGGTCTGGAAGGACAAGAAACGGGCGAAGAAAAAGGAGGAAACGCAACGCAACCATCCACTATCTACCACGATGGATGATGGGGGTTTACATATGCACGATTTCTATCTGGCCCAATCCGAGCCTGCTGGCCTTGCTGCCGTGCTACCTTCTATCCAGGTCCGAGGTGCGTCATGATAGGGGACCCGTAGGACCCGTGAGCCCCCCGGCCGTAGTTCCACACGGCTGCCTGCCTACCTAGGTGCACCATGTCCTTACTAGTTTGGTAGGTACCTGAGTAATGGATGATATGGAAATAAAACATTCAATGGCGAAGATAGCCATGGATAGAATACGCTCTGTGGCTTAGGTGAGGGTATTTAGTTTACCGAAAGGGGGAATTGCCTAGGTTAGGTAATTCACGGCTTGTTTGTTGGTTCAAGTGGGTAAGGAGAAGGAGGGGAATAGATGTCCAGAATGCTAAGTAGGCAGTGTAGGGAGTTACTACACAGCCTACTGGATATTAGTATGTAGTATGTATGTGCAGTATCCATATGGATGCACATATATGTATGCAACAACACAGTCTAAAGTTCCAAAGATACTATTTGAACCAATTCAAACCATTTCAACTGATAATTGCGACGATGTGAAGACTCCACTATCTACCTATTTAGGTAGAAGTCATTATCTCTAATTGGTTTACATTTATCTTATCAGTCGAACATGAAAAGAGGTCATGGGAATGATTGGGTGAGGGGTATCGTGACAATGTTCAGATGGAGTTTGGTTGCATCGTGCTAATACAAGTTGTATCCATAGATCGGTAAAAGAAGGAGGGGAGTCAGGGAGAGTTTGACCGCAATATGGGAGTTCCACTAAGAACAAAGACGTGCCTAGATAATACCTAACCTACTGTTGTAGGTATGTGAGGCACGTAACCAGTGGGGTTCATTCGGCCATAGATTGTCGCGATGTAGCGGGGTACATGTAGCCTTGATGTACACAATATAATTGTATGATAGATGTATTTGCCTAACCTTACATACATGTGGGTATGTAGCTGGAGCTTCCTTCGAGACAGGGATAGACGGTATCACGAAGCATGTCTGACAGCCACTTCACCTTAGTAGGTTCTTGGTAGGTTGAAGAAGAAGAAGAAGGTGAAGGGTAATAATACCGCATATTTGTTGAGGGTTAACATGACGACATCCAAATACCTTAACAAATCTCCAATTACATGGGAATAACCTCCAGATGTCTATGATGATGATGTTAGTTATTTGATCATCATCCTAGATGTAAGTCTATTAGTATAAAGTCCGGAAGTCCGTAGTGCCTATTGGTAGGCCCAGCGTGCCTGGTTACCACATGTAGGTTAGCAAATTAGGTACCTGGATGTATCCTAACAATGCACAGAAGCCCACCAAGAAACCTGCTTAAACACCTAGACAGCTCAGCAATCCAGGGGTTTTCACGCCCGTCGCTCGGTTTGGGGTATAAAGCAACTTACATATAGCAAGGTACATATATACTGTACTATATTCCTTTGATGATGCGTTGTTTATTTTCTTTTCACAACTTTGTCATCTAAACAGCCCGTAAGAGATCTCATATGCTGGAAGAATTATGCTAAATGAAGGAGTTGGTGACGTTCCGGTCTCCGAGCTCTCGAAAGAACAACTGGGCAAGTTCATCGAGACAGCTTATACGTGCCTATCTGTGCCTAATTAGGCCAGACGTCATCCCCAACTCACCTGGGCAAAACTTACGCAGCAATATTTTAGAGGTTTTGAACTCAGGGTTCAACCCGGTAAGCATGATCTCACTGCAGAAACTATGAGGGACTTTGCTCGGTGGAACCGAGGTGAGAATGCATTATTTGAGATAGCCTCCAGGGCTGTGTCTTCGGTCTTGTGTGGAGTCCAGACGGCTCTTTGGACAAAAGACAAAGCTTCATCACATTCATTCGAAGCTGTCTTAGCATACAATAAAAATGAATCAACCAAGATACACATACATAGTTCACTGTAATCCCTCAAAGTAATCGTACACACTCTTCCATTATCGTATGCATCGTAGCGGAAACGAACCGACCGCTCTGTAGTAAATCTCATCTGAAATGCCAGCCCCTTAAACCCCCAACCCCTATTCCCACCAACCCTATCGTAGATGCCATATAAACCTATAGGCACTGAGCGAATAAATATCAATCTAACAGCAGAAATGCCTGTGCTGGACGAGGAAGTAGTCCAGCTACCATAATCGTCTCTGGTAGTAAACCGGCTCTTGGCCTTCCGACAAGCGTCGTATCTCTTCCTTGATGAGACGCCTTCTCTCAGCCCGACTTATCGGTTTTTGTTTACTTGCAGCGTCATCTGCGTCACTCTGTGTTCCAACAAAATCCCTCGCCGGTTCGTTGTCTTCCGGATCAGTCGGCTTCTGTTGTTCTGGCTCGTCCTTGGGGAACGAGGGCCGCACAATGATGGCATTATCCCCTTTTGGGCCATTGTGAATGCCGGTTAACCGTGGATCGTCAATCTCGACTATTGTGCCATCTTCGAGCTGGGTGGTCGGCTTCTTGAAGTAATCCGGGAGGTAGATCTTGGGACTCGGTTGAGCGGGCTCTCGAGGTTTGATGGCCGCTCGTAGGTCACGAAGAGTTCGCTGCTGGATTACGTAGCCGCTGAAGAACAACGCCCCCGTACACAGGACCACTGGAAAATGCAGAAAGCTATTAGCTCAACTTTTCTTGTCTGTTGCTTGAAGGGCTATCTTGTTAAATTTTTTTGGAGGGGTTCGTTCGTACCAATTCCACACGAGATCAGAGCCGAGACTTGTGAAGATGTCAATAGCATCCTTCCTCAAAACGGTAAAAAAGGAAATATGTATATATATGTTTCTCTCTTTGAGAATAGGCTAAGTTGAGAAATGTGCTTATGACATGAGAATGGTAGCTTTTATGATTGTTACATATCTACCTGTAGTAATTTACCATCCTGAAAAACAATAACGTATCCCTACCTACATACGTAGGCACTATGGTGGGCTTAAAGAGCGACTAGGGAAATTTCCTGTTTTGTGCCGAAAGCTCGTATCTCCCCGGCAACGCAAAGCAACATCATCGGTCACCTTCCCGGCTTGGCGATCTGGCCCGATCCGAATCCAAGATCGATGGTGAAACCGTTCTTTAGTGTAAGTACTGCTTCTGAATTGATAGGTAGATTGGTGTAAGTTGTATTTTATAGTGATACATAGGTTCGTATACCTATGCTAGAATGTCCTTCGTACTAAATAGTTACTTCGTGCTGCAAAACAAGAGAAAATATTGACAACATTGAAGATACATATAGTTATGCCACTCCTCGTAAATTCATACAGATGAATATTGTTTAATTAGCTAACTACCTAAGTAGGTATTGAAGACCTTAGTGCTTGATCACTTGTTTACTGCGTAGTACAGTATCAGCTGGCCCATTTGATGTGCTGGACAGGTACCTAGTAGTTGGTAACTGATAAATGATGGCATTCAATGTTCTACTGGGAGAGTCATCGACTTGAAATGATACCCTCGTGAATTATCAACTTATTGAACAAGCTCAAAGACATAAGATTTCAACTCTAGGTATGCCGATATTAATATCGAGTTATTATGTATCTTGCCTTTTTAAAAAGATGCTGGCGTACATTGTAGGTAGGTAGTACTAGTAGTACATTTGGGTCATCTTATCGATAAAGAAATGTAATCGATAAGACAATATTATTTACCTTTGAAAGGTTGAAGCTTGTACAGTACTACAGCTTGTACAGCTTGTACAGCTTGCGATCCAATCCCACTCTGCTACCGCAACCCAACTTCCATCGCGCCAATCAATGAATATACAACTTTCTGCCTGCCAACTCGACTCCTTCCGAATATAGAACACTCAAATTCCATAAAAATGGCTTCCGGAATGCACCGCGCCGACGAGCGGCGCTTCCTCGACGAGCGCGGGTCCTCCGCGTCCCTCGCCCCGAACGGCCTGAACCCCGCGACAATCATGGAAAAGGCCGTACGAGAGCGAATAATCGACTCGTACTTCTGGAAAGAGCAGTGCTTCGGCGTGAACGAAGCCGACATCGTCGACCGCGTCGTCGAGCACGTCTCCTTCGTCGGCGGCACGCACGGCGTCACGCAGAAGCCCACCCCCTTCCTCTGCCTCGCCTTCAAGCTGCTGCAGCTCGCGCCCGACGACGACGTGCTCGCCGAGTACCTGCGCTTCGGCGGCGACAAGTTCAAGTACCTGCGCGTCCTCGCCTGCTTCTACGTCCGCCTCACCCGCCGCCCCGAGCACGTCTACCAGACCCTCGAGCCCTTCTTGGAAGACCGCCGCAAGCTGCGCCGCCGTGGCCGCGCCGGCACCAGCTTGACCTACGTCGACCAGTTCGTCGACGACCTGCTGACCAAAGACCGCGTCTGCGCCACGAGCCTGTGGCAGATGCCCAAACGCGAGATCCTTGAGGACTTGGAGTTGCTGGAGCCGAGGGTTAGTCCGCTGGGCGACATTGAGGATCTGCTCGACGAGGACGAAGAAGAAGAGGCGAAGGTGAACGGTTCTGGTGCCGACGATGACGACGACGACGAGGGACTGGTTGAAGAGGAGGAGGGAGAGGAGGGAGAGCTGTCGGATAGGGATAGAAGACGGAGGAGGTCGACTTCTGGATCAAGTAGGAGAGGGGGACGATTTAACTCGAGAGACCGAAGCCGCTCACGCGACCGTATGGACGTGGATGAAAGGGATAGATCTAGCAGCCGGGATGGAAGGCGATAATGACTATAAAGGCTACACGGATTCACATGGTCGAACTAAGCAATCGGATTCAACGCGAACTACCACCTACGACGTTATACACGGCAACTCGAAATCTAGGACTGGGTGGGCTATGAATAGGCATGGGCATGGTAAGAGTCAAAATAATATTCTGCTTATGGCTGAGGGTATTCATCCCACATTCCCTCTAACTACATGCCTTCTTAGCACGGGCTTCCCAGTTCTAGCCGCTGAAGACCATTTCATAAGGACTATATATCTGAAAATGTCTGCTGCGAAATATGAGGGGATAATGCATCAGCCACAGAAAGGAGTCGCGCATCATCCCAGTATTGTCCGATAATCTGCAAGCCTCCAAAACTTAGCAGTCTTTCCTCGTCCTTTGTTGGATCGATAGGAATGTCCATCGGGATACTGATCGCGGGAAGTCCGGCTAGACTAGCCGGAACGGTGAAGACATCATTCATATAGGAATCTAGAGGCGTCTGTTTCATAACGTCCTCAAGCAAAGGGGGGGTCGTCGGTGCGGTGGGACAGAGGAGAAAATCGACCTGTACGGGGCCTAGTTTGTTCTCTAGTTGTACCGTATCCTCCATGTCGCTTAGATCGAAAGCTTGCTGGTCTTCGAGCGGATTCGATAACTTAAAGACGCGGTCGAAGTCCCTCTTGACGAGTCGGCGGACTTTCTGAGCTTGTATAAAGTAGTTGTCCATAGCCTCGGAGCTGAGGGTGTACGAGCCTAGTAGAATACGACGTTTCACTTCGTTTCCAAAACCAGTTTCTCTCGTCTTCGCGTACAAGATGCCTTCGAAAGAATCGCTGATTTGCTCGGCATTGCGCTGCCCATAGCGTACGCCGTCGTACTTGGAGAGGTTGGATGCAGCCTCGGCGGGAGCGATCACGTAATATGCCGACAGGGCATTTTTCGTGGAGGGTAGTGAAACGGGGACCACGCGTCCGCCCAGCTCTTCAATCTTCTGGGCTGCTGTCAGCCATCCTTGCCGTATACGTGCGTCGAGTTCTTCGATATTGTACTCTGTGGGAATTCCAAAGGTCACCCCCCGTATAGAATGCTCTTGCGTTGGCTTCCACGAATCATACCCCTGCCTCTCGGCGGTACATCGCCCACGGACGTGAGAAGGGAGAGAAGTGGGATCATTAGGATCGTGCTCTAGGTATAGACCTTGTCCTACGATGGCCTCGCCGATAGGTGCCACCGTCTTGGCAAGTAGGCCGACTGTATCTAGCGAGTTTGCGTAAGGGACCACACCCCAGCGGGATAGCATGCCGTATGACGGCTTAAACCCTACGGTGCCGGTGTAGGCGGCGGGCATGCGGACAGATCCTCCCGTATCGGTGCCCAACGCTAGTTCGGCTTCTCCTTTCCTGATGGCGACTGCGCTGCCTCCTGAACTCCCTCCCGCAGAGTATTTTTCTAGTCCGCATACATTATGAACGGGACCGAATGCGGAAGTGGTGGAGTGGGTGCCCATGCCGAACTCATCCATGCCCGTCTTCTCCGTTACCACGGCGCCCCGCTGCGTCAGTTGACTGACGATGGTAGCATCGAAGGGGATATGGTTGCCGGCGAGGATGTTGGATGCGCATGTGGTCGGAAAGCCTGCGGCAGCAATATTGTCCTTGACTGCTAGACGGATCGCATGCGCATCGTCACCTTTGATGGGTATTTCGTTTCCGGTCGAAGAGCCATTCGAATTTAGTTGAAAGTAGCGGCGCTGTAGGATGCGGGCCTTCCATTGGGTAGAGATGACCCTATGGGCAGCTCGGATTTGAGAATGCCTAACATGCGTAGACATGTGGTCCCGGTGATGTTCGACATAGATTTTATTTTATTTCTTTTTATTTTAATGATTTCAATAGATTGGCGCTCCTTCATCGACGGTACTAGGTACTTTGGCGGTACGAAGTACTGAAAAAGTCTGAAGATTCCTTATCGATAAGATATGGTAGTATGTACCTATGTACCTATGTAGCCGGTAGAGCACGTCCCTCAGGATTGTTGTTAAGTTGTTAACTTGTGACGCAGGTAAGGCTTGGCAGGTACCCGGATGACTAGAAAGCTAAAATAGCCCTGGAGAAGCTGTTTAGTCCAATGAAATTAGATTGGGATGTCGGGGCTTCAATCTAGCAGGCACCTAGAGACAACTCATCCACTTATTCATCCAACGGTTACAGCGCATCAAACCCCCGGGAAGCCCCAGAAGCCCCAGAAGCCCCAGAACCCCTAGGTGCTCTAGGGGGCCATTTAAGCTTACATACCTCAACTTTTAGTTATTACTGACCTCTAACCTAGTACACTATTAAACTTTGACTTATACATATCACATGCCCGGTCTCTTGTTGATTGTTGATAGATGACTGCGGGCATATCATCAAGAAACTAATAAACCATCAAGGCATATTACATCTTATGAAGAAACCAAGATGATATCTAGGTTCACCTTCATCGCATCCCTGGCCTCTGTCGCCAGAGGATCTCAACCTGGAGCTCCTGCGCCGGTCGCTGCTCCAATGCGAGACTTGGAATGGGGACAGCTCAACCTCATACACACTACAGATACCCATGGTTGGCTTAGTGGACATCTAAAGGAGTAAGACTTTTTTATATATAATAACTAGCACCTGATTATATAATTATTTGCAGTTGTATCTAACAATGTTTCTTATAATAGGCCACAGTACTCGGCTGACTGGGGTGACTATGTCTCCTTCACGAGTCATATGCGACGGAAGGCGGACGAGAAAGGGGTTGACTTATTGGTCATCGATACCGGCGATCGGGTAGAAGGAAATGGCCTCTACGATGCTTCGAACCCGAAAGGCAAATATACCTACGACATAATTCGCGAACAGGACATAAACATCCTTTGCTCTGGGAATCATGAGCTGTACCAACCCGGGTCTGTCGATCGCGAGCACAACACCACCGTTCCAAACTTCAAGCACTCGTACATCGCATCCAATCTCGACTACATCGAACCCGAGACTGGAAACCAAATCCCCCAAGCGCAACGGTACATCAAGTTCAAGACCAAGAACCAAGGCTACAATGTCGTCGCGCTAGGCTTTATATTCAACTTTGAGCGCAATGCGAATAACAGCGTTGTAACGCCTGTTGAAGAGGCTATGAAACAGGAGTGGTTCCAAACCGCCATCAGGGAGAAGCCCGATATCTTCCTTGTCGCCGGCCATGTTGGTCTTCGGATGAAGGAATTTGAGCAAATCTTCAAGGTCATCAGAGACGAGAACTGGTACACCCCTATCGTCTTCCTTGGCGGTCACGCACATGTGCGCGATGCAAGGAAATTCGACGACAACGCTTTCGCTCTTGCCAGCGGCCGCTACTTTGAGACCATAGGATGGATGTCTGTCGATGGGATCAAGAAGAAGACTGCAAAGGAGGTTTCTACCGAGGCTACAGCAACCTTTAAGAGGCGATACATCGACAACAACTTGCTCGGCCTGTACCATCATACCGGTTTGAATGAAACGACCTTCCCCACAGAGCACGGTCGCAATGTTAGCAAGATGATTACCAAGGGTCGTAAAGCATTGAAGCTGGATCATTCCTTTGGCTGTGCTCCACAAGATCTCTGGACAAATCGAGCTCCCTACCCCAGCGAGAACAGCATATTTAGCTGGCTCGAGACCCAAGTTCTCCCCAAGTCCATCGTCAACGAAGAGAGGAAGAATGCTTCCAGATTAGCTATTCTGAACACCGGCGCCATTCGTTTTGACATCTTCAAGGGTCATTTTACCAAAGACTCGGAGTATCTTATCTCACCCTTCGGCAGCAAGTTTAATTACATTCCCGATGTCCCGTATACCGTCGCTAGCAAGATCATCGGTCTACTCAATAGCGGAGGGCCCGTGTTTAACGGCATGCTCAATACGAAGTACCTCAACGTCCCCGAGCAGATGGCTCCCAACCCGTCCTTCTTCGAGGCATCGTCTTCTGTAGATGAGAAGACGTTTAGAGCATTTGCCGACAATACCGCACAGAAGCCGCTTGGCTACAAGACCGAGGTTGGCGACCCCGAATTGGTCGGTGGGTACACAACGCGTGACGACCTCGGTGATGATGGCGATGACGCAGTGCACTCTCCCATCAAATTCTACGCCGTGCCCAACTGCATCCAGGCCCAGATCAACTTCCCTCCTCCCAGCGGGAACTCAACCCAGGATTTGAACGCCGAAGGCAAAGCAACAGACCCAGAGAAAGTGGACCTCGTCTTCATCGACTACGTCCAGCCGTGGATCATCCCGGCCCTTAAGTTCAGCGGTGGCGATTATAGCACCGACGATGTAAAGCCGTACGTAAACGGCACCCTGACCGATCACATTGCCGGCTGGGTCAAGAGTAACTGGAAGAGGCACTGCTGAGTGCTGAACTGAGGAGATCAGTTCGATAAACCTGCATTTCTAGGGTATCTAGGTTTGATACAAGGCGTGGCAAGCTAGGGTAAATTGGATATTGGGATTCGGGTTTCCTTTTTTGCGTTTGAGATTGTTAAATGATACTACTACACCACACTACACTACAACATTTCATGCTGCCAGCGAGCGAGCGATATAGCACTAGGTATGGGTTCGAACAAGTATTTATCCTTGGATGGATGGCTAGATAGATGAGTATAGGACTTTTCATCGATACTAGGTACGGGATGGGACGCGACAGTCAATAAATGAATAAACAAAAAAAATAAACACATAAACAACCAAAAAGAGCAACGAACACTCTCGAGCGTATATCATGACTTTAAAGCATACCTAAACATTCATGACGTGTCATGACAAGACAAAGACCTTTAGTATCAACTCAAATCAATTCATCGCTAGAATCGCTGAGAACTTACTAACTACCGACTAGGTACATATTAAGTACCTATCTACTAAACTCCCCCTTTTCCCCTTTTCCCCTTTTCCCCTTTTCCCAAACAGTGCAACCAACCAACGTACGACGCTAATCCGTACCTCAAATGCTATACCTCCTAATCGAAACTCGGGGAAGCGGAATAAAACGATTGAGCCTTATGAACTCGCTTGATGATACCTGCCCGTCCATGTGCCTGCATGGTTGTGCGCCTGCCTGTTCAGTACCTAGGTATGTACCCAGGCAATCAATACCTACCTACCTAGGTAGGTAGGTAGTACCTAGTATATATATATATATATATATCCAGTAGGTAGTCCAATAGCACCAACCGTCATTTGAAGAAAAACCCCGAAAGACACAAATCACATAGTCCGTCTCCACTCCCTTCCAGGAAAGTGCACAACCGAAGAGACTATGATAACAGTGAGCAGGATCGACAGGCAAACAAAAAAAGCGGCGCGCCAATGCCAGCTCGTGGTGGCCCAGGTGTCGCGGAGGTTTCGCTTCCACAACCGGAACCAGGCGAGGTTCGGGCGCGAGCAGTCGACGTCGAAGCTGTTGCTCGATGGTGGTGCTCGTGCCGGTGCCGCTGCCGGTGCCGCTGCTGGTGCTGGTGCCGCTGCCCATGACGATGAAAAAGAATATGTTGATGATGATGGTGGCGGTGATGGCGGTGGCGTGGGTGGTAATTGTCCCCGTTGTTGGTTTTGCGTTCCGACGACGTTTAGAGCCCAGATGGCCAATCTGAACCACGAAGACGCGCCACCCGGGCGAAGCATGACGCCGAAGGGGGGCGATTGTTGCAGTTGGTTTTGCTGATCCTGCTGGTGCGGCTGAGATGGGCCTGACTGAGCCTGGTCTTGTTGAGCCCGTGCTTGTGCTTGTGCTTGTGTTTGTGTTTGCCGTCTCTGTTGATCTGGCTGATCTGGCTGAGCCTGCTGAGTTTGTGCTGGCTGAGCCTGTTCATGTTCAGTCCGCACAGATTCCCGTTCAGTTTGAGTTGTTTCAACTCGTGAATCAGTCTGTTCTGATCCAGCTTGTTCTTGGGCTGGTTCCTGAGATTGTTCTTGGGCTGGTTCCTGAGCTTGTTCTGGCTCGACTTGGATTTGCTTGCTTTCTTCTCTTACAATTTGTGCTGGGCGAGCCTGAGCGGGAAGGACGGATTGGAAAAAAGAAACCCTTTTTGCCCCACCCCCTCGTAATCCCGAGGATTCGTGAATATCCTGAAGACGAGGGGCGAGTCGATCCCTGAGGCGTCGCGCAATGGCTTGCCGTCTAAGAGTATTGGGATCTCCTGTGCCTGTCGGAGACGAGGGCGGCGCTGGTGTGCTATCGATTAAAGGGGAAAGGGGCTGGGGTTGGCCACCAGTCACAGGCCGGCGTCTCGGGTCTCGACGAAGCACGTCGAAAGGCGCAAATTGGGTATAACCAGTCGGACCAGGCCCGGGGAGGTCGTTGATTCCGGTGAAAACCCGTCTGTTTTCTCTGTTTGTTTGAGAAGCAGGTGGTTCCGCATTGGTGTCTATTAGCCAGTGTGCGCTTGATATGACAGCTGGAGTGATCGATAATGCTGATATGGTTGGCCCCTCTAACCAGTCCTCGGGATGCGTGAGAACTCCTCTAGAAGGACGTTCACGAAGTCTAGGTATATTGATTGATTCCTCCAGAGTTAATTCCCTGCTTCGACGATTTCTGATTGCTTGTGCATCTTGAATAACCCCATAAGCCCGGGCAAGCTGGTCAGGCCAACGATTGTAATTCGTTCGGACATTTCGATTATTTTGATTATCATGAATAATCCCATTGACCTGGTTAGTCTGCCTAGGTTCACGAACGTGATTCGCTTGGGAATTTTGACTATTTTGGTTGCTATCTATGATTCCATTCACCTGTCTAGGTTGAGTATTTTGAGTGACTGGGCTACCACCAACAACAATTCCACCCCCCCGTACATGTGCAGTAGGCCGATGAGCCCAACCCGCCCGGAAATTTCGAAAATCTTGATTACCATTTCTAACTCCATTGACCTGTGCGGTTGGAGCAGGCTGGCGAACATGATTTGCCTGGACATTTTGACTATTGAGAGTGCTATCGACAACTCCATTGACTTGGGTAACCAGCGTAGGTCCACGGGGCCGAATCGCGATGGCATGTTGATCAGTACGGCTGGGTTCAGTAGACCGAGTAGCCTGGCCGGGGCGACTTGACTCGTCACCTCGACTGTACGGGTCAAGCCGAATGGGTTGATGGCTTCGCCTAATCTGATCAGCGTTAGAAGCACGGGCTCGCGGGGGTGACGACGCAGGGCTGACAACAGCTGCATCCAGGGGCTGTATACGTGGCCTAGAATTAGACGGATGATCAATAGCAGTACCCGTCGGAGGAAACACCCCGACGGAATGCCTGCCTCGAAGACCGCGGGCTTGAGCGTCCACAGCAGTGGGAGGAGACCCGCCATTCAAATGTCTAGCTTGGGGAGGCGACGAAACAGGTCTTGAAGGTCTGCTATGAGCTCCCGTAGGGTTAGATGGAGCTTCTTCGGCGATGGCACTGCTATTGCCGTTATATTGGGGCGTGGGGGAGGCAGCTTCATCACTGACGGTGACAGTCTGAGCAGGCACTGATGGCCGCTGGAAACCAACACCAGAATTCCTCCGAGATGCCGTGTCACCAGAAAAAGTGAGAGATGGCACGGATTCGCCATTGCGAGTGCCCCTGTTCGAGCTGTTCTCGTCCGTAGTAGTGTTGATCAACACAGGGGGGGCGGAATTCCGAAAACTACGTATAACCGTGACTACGGAGTCAGGGGACTCTGCTTCGTTATCCTCGCTTCAATGAGAATGACTGTCAGCACGAGTAACAATCATGACTAAAGAGACACGAAAAGACGGGACTGAACCAACCGAGGCTCCCGCTCCATCGGAGGGGAAGATAATGCGCGTCTGGCCGCGGGAAAACTCGCTGGGCGAGGTCGCCCCCTATATATCTCGAGTGGAACGGGCCCCTGTTCGCGGTCTTCGATTTCACGATGTTGGGGCATAGGACTTGAAGGCCGTACAGGAGGAGAGTGACGCCGAGTAAACCCGAGTTGTGTAAGCAGTAGTTCAGCTGCACCCCAACCTCTAGGCTGCCCCTGCGAAGAAGGTCCAGGTCGCTGCTCTGCCGTAGCTGAGCTTTCAGGCTCATCTCCAGGCTCATCTCCAGGCTCGGTTTCAGAGTTGAAAGCGACTTCAAAGGAAAACCGATTTCGTGGTGACGTTGTATTGGGCTCAAAGCCAGACTCAAGATCTAACTCGTGTTCAGAATTGCTAGATGAGCCAAGAGTACCTTGCGAGGCTGTCTGTTCCGTCGAGGGTCTATCCTGTTCGTCTGGACGTCGACGGATACTCCGTGCTGCTCGAGACAGGCCGTCCTGATGGGTAGGATACATGGCGGATATGTGATATATAAACGAATGATATGCCGGTAGTCGTAACGAAAGACCTAAGTAAGATACCAAAAAATGTAGTGGATAATACTCTCTTCTATGTTTCTACTTTTCGACACCGACGTTGGGAGCGAAGGAGGTCCAGATATTAAAATTAGAATGGGAATAAATAGGTCAAAAGGCCTATTAGATTTGGTCGAGTAGCTTGCGCCTTCTCCTTTCTAAGAGTTCCTGCTGCACCTCTTCCAGAGTAGGTAGCTCCCAGCCCTTGCCATCTCCTGCATCGCCAGGTAGTGGTTCCCATCCTGGAGGGGGTTCAGCCTTCCCCTGCTTCAACAATGCCTCGTGGGCCTCCCGCTCCTTCTCGGCCTCATACTGCAGTAGTGCCTCGTCTTCTTCGTCGGGTGCATAACCGTAATAGTTTGCGTTGACCGTCTTCCTTAAATCCTCCCGCGTTTCTAATGGCTTCTCGGAATCCTGCAATCGTTTCTGCGCGGCGGCTTCGAAAAGCTCTTTTACCCCAGGCAATTCTTTTGCTCGCCCAAAATACCTATATCCTTTACCGCCTCCTGGTATTTCCTTCCCCGTCTCGTCGTAGATTTTGGCGCCCCCACGCATATAATTAGGGCCACCCAAGTTGCGTATTTGCACTTCCCACATGTGCTTCTCGCGCATAAGTTTGTTTATTTCGTCATTGAGATCTCGAATTTGATAATCGCTAAGGGCCGAGTCTTGAATGCGAGACACTTTTCGGCTAATCTCCTTGAGGGTTTGGCCCCTCCACTTCTCGCATGATGGGATTGAGTCAACCTCGGTGATAACCTTGGGTCGTCTTGTTCGTCCTGCATCGATAATACCGAGGTCTGCTGCTTGGGCTTCGCGAAAGCGAAACAGCATAGACTGAGCTTTTTCCGAGTTTCGTGCCTTTTAATTGTGTCAGAGCTAACTCGTCTTGGGCATACAAAGCAAACCATCTGTACTCACCATTGTAATTGTGATTCCTTCTGTTCTTTAAATTTGAGTTGAGGAAGGGCAGCACAAGGAACGCTGCTGGTAGGCCTGGAGTTGAAGTCGGGAGGTGAATTACTTGATAGGTAGTAGAGACTGTAGAGTTAATCAAGTAGGTTACTAGGTACCTAGTAGTTATTTGGGAAATAAAATCGTGAGAAAATCGGATTGACCGCGAATTTCAGCCTCGTTTTTGTTGCGGCTGAGGGGCATCTGTGCCTAAGTGGGTCATATCTACCTAGGTATGTAGCCAATCCTAGTCAAGCCTAGCTAATCCCGGCAATTAAAAACGCGACGCGACCTTTAAATAGTTACTTGAGTACGCGCAACTTCATCGATAACTCTTGCCTGATAAAATTACCACCTTTATATAACTATGTAATTCTTACCTTCAGTTGTCTACCTTTCAGGTACATAGTAGGTATACATTGGTCTCCAACTCTTTATTATTATTACCTAGTACTTCCCAATCTTGGACATTTGACTTTTCAACTTCACAACTACCCTTGTACCAGTGACGGTATTAACAACGTATTAACAACGTACCTAGGGTACGGTATCACTACAAAAAGAGTCTTGCACCAATCACTAACCCACCATGACAATTCCCATAAGCCAAGCTCTCCTCTCCCTTATTTCAACATATACTGAGGCTACGTTCTGCCTGGTTCGACGTATGAATCAATAATCAATGATTACAGATCATCTTATCCCATTATTCATCTAGTCCAACTGTGTTCGACTATATCCTGGACGTTCACAAGCTTTACACTTTTACACAACAAGACCAACTACAAAGTATCCACGATGATGTCAAGCTCGGTTTAGTCAAGTCCGCAGTCTATAATATTAGGGCATTGCTTGTCCATGAAATCAAGGAGGCAACCCGCTCCCTACCACCCCTTAGGCCAGTGCCTAACACACACATACACACACGCACTCAAGAATATCTGGCAATGAAGAGAACTCTCACAGAGAATGTTGGAGCTACAAGATCTCCTTTTAGATTCTGTAGCATGGCTATAAGATCTTTTAGATCCCATAGCAGCATACAAGATCTTCTTTTAGATCCTGTAGCATATGACAATACTCCAAAGAACAGAAATCTGAGCTAGGAGATGCACACCTCTAGCACAGCTTTTAACCTGCCCCAGCTCCAGAATCATGCAGTTTTCTATCCATCCAAATCGCGGCGATGACGACAATTCATATTCTAAGAATGCTATAAACGCATTCGATGAAGATGTAGATCAAATAGTTTTCAATCGGAATGCCAGCGGGATGTGAATGAGGCCTGCTTGGTTTATGTTGTAGCGATGGGGTGTTTCGAGCTAATGCTAGCAGGTTCTCTTTTCTTTTTTTCGTTGTCGCTTCGAAAGCAGTGACATGACACACAAGATGCCCGGTGATGACCAAGTATCCAAAAAGCCAAATTTGCAGATAGCCTGAACGAACTCCAGTCTCCACGTCGTGGATGATAGGGGCGAGGGAATGGTTATCTATGAGAACCTGAGAGCTAATCTGAGGGTACATCTATGTCTTGTGTCTACTACCTACATTTCTCTTTGGCCGTCTGGTTTTAGTGTAGTTCAACCTCATACAAAATGGGCAATTCATCAATAGAATCAACCCGATTTAATAAAGAAATTGATGTTGTGTTATTGGACTAATCTTTGCTTCTCTTCTCTTCTCTTCTTCCTTAGGCCCCGACCCGTGCCCACCGATGATACCTATCTATAATCTCAGCAATGCATTACTTCCCCCCCCCCAATCTGCTACAATGTATTTTTGTACTAGATGTAGGGATCAAGTGTATCTAGTGTCTCGAACTGGAACATAGCGATCAAACCCCTTGTTCGTTGCCTTCGTGGACGATTACATAGATAGCTGGCTGCTTCTGGCCCGAGCCCTCATCATCGAATCCGAATCAGCGCGCTTCCGTTTCTGTCCCCGTTCCGACGGATTAGGTGTCATTTCCCACCCCTCCCGACTTCCCTTCAAATATTCTCGCATCGACATCGCCGCCTCCTTCTCCCTCAGCTCCTCCTCCCTTCTCCTCCGGGCCGCGACCCGCTGCAAGTCCCGCACCATCTCGTAACCCATGTACTCAGGGCCTAATCCCAGGTATTTGTAGCGATGCTCCGGACATACCCAGTATCGATGCTGCGGCGAGTGGAACGCGAAGGTGTGGGTGTACGCTCCGAGGCCCGGGCTTGCCATGTCGACCATGGCGCGGCCGGCAGCCTCCAACCAGGGCTTGTATCTGTACAGGGTCGGGCAGCGGAGGGGCTTGAGACTGCTGATAGGCCTCGGCAATGAGGCCCGGGTCGGGGATCCGCCGCCGGGGCTGCCCAGGTACCGCATCGGACATGGCCATCCTTCGTAGTTGTGCCCCCCCATTATCGGGTCCTCGGCTTCGGGCCTGACCACCACGCAGGCTTCCCAGGCAGGACGGCCCATTTCGAGGCAGTCCCAGCAGGAGTAGACTAGCGTATAAGGCCAACACATCGTGCGCTATCACCTTAGTACTGTATATGTTGTATGGATGTCTACAGTAGAAAATGCCATGTACTCGTCTTTAGTGATAGAACAGGTGGATGAACTAGTTATCTACCAAATTTATTTTTTTCTTAAACCTACTTCTCCCGAGTTGATGTTGATGCATAGGTAGCAACTGTAATCTGCCTTTTAGAGTTACGGTTCCTACTTACCGTGTAGGTAACTACCTACCTATCTAACCTAGACTGGTAGCAAGCTTGAGAGAAGGCACGGACAATGGGGATATGCTACTACATACCTACCTAGGTACCTAGGCATGTAACTTAGGAACCTATGCCTTGCTAGGCCACTCGTGCTCTGCCCGCTGGCAATATATTTACATGACTTCCACCCGTGGTGCGGGGATAGCTATGAATGAAACTAGGTTAGAAGTTCGGCAACTCGTCTAACAGTCACATCCCATCTCCCTTCTCTGGCAGACAGGTAGATAGATATATATATATAGATCTGCCCTAGCCGTCAACCTAATCACGGCAAGTATTACAACAGGGCAGTGTCTAGGTAGCTAACATTAAATATCTCCGGGACTTATATATAACTCTTATTTTATTGTTCTCTGACTTTTACAGTACCTACAGGTGCTAGGTAGGTATTGTAGTAGCGGGAACCCCTTATTTGCGAGAATCGTTCTAAACTTCAGCTAATGAATCCAGGCACCCCAATGATGGAAATAGGGAGAAATTATTCTAACTTGAAGAATTATTCTTAATCTTGTAACGATTTCTCTCAATGTCTACATTCCTCAATGAGAGTGGGTACCTACCCAACCTACCCCAATCAACTTGAGATTCTTCACATCACTTATGCAGCTCACTCACTGATTTAACAATCATTCACGAAACCCGACACCAACAGCATGTTTACATTACAGATTTCATTTGTTTTATTCATTCGTAACGGTCTTCCCTCTCATGTCATGACATGCTCAATGTCCGTTTTCCATTCCCACCCCCTTCCCCCCTTTCATTAGGACACTCATCACGGCAGATTTTTCTTTTTCATCTACTGAATTTCCATCCCATGAATCATCTCATATTACATTTCTTTACTCTCCCCCCACTACTGTGTCTTCTTGCTCTCTCCGCTCTTGGCTGGTTTACTATATAGCCAAAGAGCGCAGAAGCCGAGCCACCCGGTGACCGTCGCACCAATACCGGTGATCCAGGGCCAGGCACCACTGATTACGAAACTGCGGGGCCATTCGTCGTGAGCAAAATGTCTCACAGAAACTGTGTTCTTCTCTTCAATGTTGTTGTAAAAGGGGCGTTTGTAGTTGACCTTGAAGTTGAAGATGCCGTGCTGATCTGGCAACTTGAAGGATGTGGAATACGTGGTGCTATCATCAGACGAAATGACAGGCTCTAGGTTCAATCGGTGGAAAGGTGAAAGCATGCTGAATTCCAGTTGTAGGTCGTCGGATTCGGGGACAGTGAAGGGGGTGTATTTGTCCCAGGAGTACTCAGATAGGGAGATAGAATAGGTCTGCCACTCATGTTAGTTAAGCCAAGTTAAGGAAAGACAGGAAGAAATGTAACGTACAACATCGTTCTTAATGCGGTAGATCTTGGGGTTGCTCGCGTTGCTCTGGCCCACTTCGTTCAAGTGGTGCTCAACCCAATTGACTCTCAAGACGCCAATCTCCTTGAAAGCCCAACCTGCCAATCGCTTGGCAAACTCGCGATTAACAGTACTGACTTCTTGCTTCTCACCAACCTTCTTCACCTTGGCGTCGAACCACTTGTCGCTCAGCAACTCGGCAGAACCAATGATAGTAAATCGGGCCGAGTTGCGAGCCTGCATGGCGCTTACGAGGGATAGCTGCGCACCGGCTGCGAAGACGTCATCAAGGGATTCGGCTTGCTCTTTCGGGTTGTAGCTATAAGCTGTGGAGGGAGCGCGGAGGATCGGGGTAAGAAGGGGGCTTTGGCCGAGGGTCTGGCCCATTCCGTTAGGGAAAGCAATGACTCCTCCGACGGGCAGGTCGGAGCTGAAGAAGTCTTTAACACCTGGCCGCAGAGGTCCCGGGGCGGGTAGAATAAGCACATCGTGTTTCTCTTCTGCGGACAGTTGGTCGTAGTTGAAGTGGTCGACCACAAGACCCTGTCTGTCGGAGGGTAAATGAATGTCTAATTCGAGAAGCAGAGAAACAATCGAGGTTGGGGCAGATTGAGAGGCTGAAAGCGCAAGTAAAATATTGCCATTCGCATTTATAAAATCGAGCAGAATATTGGGTGTGAGGTTGGGGCCAAGACCTTTTACAAATTGTCAGTGCTGTGCAGCTCAAAATTGGAATGGCAAAAAGCTCAATTGCTACAAATTGCTACAAATTGCACGGTATACGTACCCTTTGACTTTGTGGGGAGGAACAGAACATGGTCGTAAGACTTCTCGCCGAGGTGGAACAGGTTTAAACCTTCGCTCTTTGGTGTTTCGTAGTTAACCTGAAATCCGCGGCTTTCCAAGTCACCCAGAAATTTAGAGTATGTCTCTTTCTCGGCAACATCGTCCAGGACAACCAGCAGCCTGTCCCCACTGGAGCTAATCGCATGCACAATGGCAGCAAAGAGCAGGAAGAGGAATGATGTTAACGAGTTCATCTTGACGGAGTCTCTGTGATTAATTGGCTTCGAGAACAAGAGAAGAAGAAAAGATGGCGACAGCAAGAAACTCGCCGCGCATGAGGAGCTGGTGACCTTGGTGAAATTCGGATATACTGGCAAGTTGGTTAGTTGACGGTTGGTAAGTAGAAACTCTAGGTAAGTAGAAACTCTACCTAGGTAGGTAAGTAGAAACTCTAGCTGAAGAGTTGACAGTTGGAAAGTAAATAATACTGACAATGTCTTGCTATTGCTCTTTCCTGTCTCAAACGGCCACTTAACTTTTTTTTGAAGGTCTGGTATACGTAGCCCGTACCTGCCAAGCCTCAACTACAGATGTACATGCGAATCCGACAAGGGTAGATGAGGTACACATGTACAAGACACTTGTGTCTTACGTAAATGACAGAAAAAGATCAATGCACAGACCACCATTAGCTCAATAACCTCACTTTCCAATTCTCGATAAGGCCGACCTTTTCGCAAACCAAGCCAAACCTTCCCAACATTGAAGAGACCAGACTTTGTAAGTGCCAATTATATACCCCCAATACATCCCATACATAAACCTCCCCTCCAGAAAATTATCCATAAACTTACCAACTCTCTCAACCTTCAGTGAAGCGAATAAATAAATTGAGTGAAACGAGGTTACATACCTACAAAAAAAAAGAAAAAACAGCATGGCCCCCGCGAGCCCCCAATTCTGGGCCGGTCCCCTCCGGTACCTGCGCTGGTCCGCCCGCGAGCGACCCGCCTACTTCTGGTCCTGCATCATCGGCAGCGCTGGCCCTCTTGCGCTCGCTACCGTGCCCCCGACCCTCAAGCGCTTCGGTTACGAGAGAGCGTTGCCCGTCCCTATGACATACCCCGGTACGTTTTGTTCCGCTTGTTCTTAAGGGAAGGGTGGGGGATGGATACGTTCGAGAGAGGAAATACAGACGACGACAGAGAGAGAGAAAAGGAGAGTGGGAATGTATGACAAGAGCTAACGCGATGCCTCGCAGTTCCCACCGGTCCGCGAAAGACGTTAACCGGCTACGACGATTAAGCCCCTCCAAAGCGCACCGAGATATGGGAATAGTCGCAACCACGGATTACGAAACAAAAAAGGAAAAAAAAGAAAAGGGTGGTCCGAATACGTATATATAGGTATGCAAGGGGCACTCGAACCTCCCCCCATCAACAAGGCCTTGTAGGATGAAAAAAAAAATCCGGAGTCGCAGGAGAGGCTTCGCATCGTATGTAGAAACAAGCATTCATTCACACTGAACCAAACCCAAATATAAAACAAGTTAAACATCACACTTCGATTCGAGGGAGTGCATTGCTCATCACTCATTTCATTTGATTATTGCTTCTTACTTCTCAATCAAGTCATTTTCAGGTGTGATTTGTACGAATCAACACCCCCGCCATTTGCTCATTTGTCACATCGTAGGCACTTGGAGTTGCCATCTAATCCCAGAGCAAAACCATCAGAATACCTAACTCAATCGTAGAAACGCGAAAAGCAATGCTGGAGTGGTAAAGGACCCCCATTCATCCGTGTATGCCATGATGAAATCGAACAGGGATCGCATCTGAAAGATCCAAACCACACAAGCAAACGCCCTTCTATGCATACATGCTCATAGACCGTGATTTCCAGAGCGTTGTGGAAGACCGTCCTCCGTGGGACAGACTCTATCTCTCCCGTTGAATCAAGCTCCACTCGTACTAGATTGGGTAGGTTAGCTTGGAGGCTTTTGCATTATTGGGGTATTAGGGGGTAAGGTAGGAAATAGGGGCCAGCAAATAAGAGAACAAAAACAAATACTTACAACCCTCCCATCGTCATCCCCTGTATATACCAGCTGCAGCATTGGCGTGATACACGTGATGGCCGCCTCCGTGTTGGTCCCCGTCTCACTGCGCGTATCGATGTGATCTAGTCGTCGCACAAGCTCCAGCGCCCATCTGCCACCTCTGACCACGCGTTTCCAGATGTTCACTCTACCCCTTCTATGACCCGTGAAGATGAGGTAGTTCTCTAGCCACTCGTTGCCTGAGCCTTCGTAAAAGGAACATGAATACACGTAGTCATCGTGTTCCGAGCACACGTTCTGGTCCAGTATCAAGTCGCCGTTGATCGTGTATAGTGCCGCATTGGGGCCTGAACACAACAAAATCTCCCCAGACACATCATTGATGCGAGCACACTCGACAGCCCGGGTACATGGCAGCTTTCGCACAAATTCGAGACGGTTCAGATCCCAGAGGAATGCGTGCCCATCTCCGGACACCGTAACTAGGGTACTGAAAGCCTTAGACACAGATATCGTCGTCACCGGTGTCTTATGTCCGAAAAGTGAGGACCGATGCACCAGCTCTGCGGGTTTCCCTGTGGCAGTTTGTATCGTATACACAGACACTACGCAGTCTTCCCCGGCAGTGATTAGCGTTTTGGAATCCGCCACGACGACACAGGATAGTTGGCCGATGTGTAAGTTCTCGCTCACACCGGCGCTCTTACGGTTCTCGGTGTAATAGAAACGAAGACTATTATCTGCATAACCCCATTCAAGATACTTGTCAAAGAAGGGCGGAAGATTGAGACGGAACGGAGATGAACAAAGGAGACGATCTAATTTAGGTGAATAGATCAACGATGCTACTCGTTCACGACTTTCTAGAAGAGGATGTGGTATCCTTGCGAGAGCATGGCTAGCAGTGTCTAGCCGCTTCACTGGAAATGAAACACTTTCGCGGGAGGGGTGAGGTTTGGTGAAAACTTGATGTGGTGTTTGCCCGAAGTTGTGGATGATACTTGTAGTGGCGTGTCGCTCATCGGAGTCTGTGATATTGTCTAGATCTTTCGCACCGTAGTACGAGAGGTAATGGAACACGTTCAGATTCTCCACGGCAGCTTCGCCACGCTGTTTGTGTCCAAAGATTAAGTCGATCCAGAGATGAAGGTGCTGGCTAACATATGGGCTTTCCAGTGCCTCGCGATGTTTTGCGACAAATATCTTCGGGTCTCCTTTCGCCCATGGAGGTAATTCGACGTTGTTGACTCTCCCCCCTGAGCCTTGACGATCACCAAAGTTATACCCGTTGACATTTGTTAAAAAGTCTGGGAGGTAGAAGAATTCGGGTGTCAATTCTCGTACATCGGATCCGTTATCCTGCGAGGCAGACTTCCACGACCCTTCAATCGAGAAGAAAAGCCGATCCGCATGGTCAAAAGAACCGCCTTGTAAAAGGATAAAAGATTGCACAAAGGGAGGTAGTCGAATTAGGTACGATGCAACGATCATAGCAGACGAGTAATGCGTGCCGTAGTGAAATGGCGTTTCCCCAATCTCCGCCAAGCTGGTGTATCTCGACTGATAGTCAAGCTGACGCCGCGCGGTTTGCGCGCCCATAGGCTTCGACAGATCGCGAAAGCTAGCCGGGTTATTTAGATCCAACTCATCGCTCGTATAATCTGCCAGGACCCATGGAAACACTGGGTATTGTGTAAGGTCGTTAAACGTTCGGCCTGCCATGGTGTTGACCAACATCAGATAGTGAAAGTTGGAAATCTCGCCTCGTTGCCATCGGCGCATAAATGGGTTCCAGGGCGAAGTGTTAAAGATGCTTCCAAATTTAGATCCAAAGGTTTGGGGAGATTCTTCGAAAACCTTGAGCGACTCTAGACGCCACGCGTCTTCGGGGTTTGGCAACGAGTTTGCACCTGCGGTATGGGGAGTCTTGTGAGCAAGCTTCGCAAACACCTCATCCCTCATTACCGAATTCCTAGCAGTTAGGAGATAGCTGCGGCCGTCGGTGAAAAAGATTTCGATCGCCACATCTCGGAATAAGAATCGGCGTTTCGATATGCTGATAACATCTTGCCACTTCCAACTACGGGAGTCTTGAGCTCCGCGGCTTATGGTCTGACGAGTCTCGTTGGATTTTGCACCAGTAATGATTTGAGAGAAAGGATCACGTTCTTCCGCTGGCGCTTCCCATACGTTCACGATTTCTCCATCCGCACACTGAAAGAAACTGTCCATTATATAGAGAGCATTCTTTCCAACTAGAAGAATACCCTCAAAGGCCTCAAGTCCAATAACGCGGGAGACGTTGTAGACTTGTTGGACAGTATCCCCCTGTTGCAAACGTCTCATCACTCTTCGATTCTTGTCCTCAAATCCGTCATCGGCTTCATTTGGATCATTAGGATCCTCAATCAACTCAAAGTCATCCTCAGGAATGACGGATTGCTGCTTAGTATCCGTTTGTATATTAGTGCCATTGGAGTCATCCTCACCGACCTCATCGCTGCCACTTATCTTCCCCTGGGGTAAGGATGATGATGTAGGTTTTATTGACGCGGCGACTGCAGCAGGGCTGACAATTGTTTCTGTCTTGGAGGTAGCGGCCGGTGGCGGGTCCACTGTTCGGCGTTTTGGCTGGTATTTGTCGTGGTCGGTAGTAAGGTCTGGTAGAAGTCGTAGGCGCATGCGATTACGACCCTCGGTCCTGTCCAATTTCCACTTTGTTGGCCTCGGTTCGTATAGGACCGCTCCAGGCCTGTCGAGGTCCTTCTGCATCTTGGAAAATGTGTATGAATAATAAATAACGTCGTCTTGCTGATCTTGCATAAGCCGTTGGTGTTTGAAGTGTTCTGAAGCATATATAGACTTTTGCCAAGCAGAATTAGCCATGTCATGACGCAAAAGAATATTCTCTCGTTCGGCTATCTCCATATGCCATGACCTCAGGGTTTCTTTCCGCTTTGTCAGTCGTGATTTAGCTGTGTCTGTAGTACGCTGGTTTTCTTCGGCAGCGAACTCTTCCCAAGCTCGGGATATCCCGCCCCAGAACAATACGTCCAATGAAGGCCTATTTTGGTCAACCCATACAATGAAGGCATCCGTATCAAGCGCGGTTAATTTCTGGAAGTCTGCTGCAAGCTCAACTTGATCTGAGGTCATGAAAAGTCGAAATAACGACGCGCAATCCTCAGGCTTTTGAACTAGCATGATACGCCAGATATTCACAGCAGCTAGTCTTACAGCTCGTCTTGTGTCGACAAGTTTGGTGTAAAGTTGATACCAAAAGAGTTTCATATAATCATCATCGGGTGACAAAGACTGCAGTACGACCATCTGCCAGTATAGTATCTTTTCCATGGAAAAGTTCGCTTCCATCTCGGTAGTCTGGGGGTCATCAATCTCTGAAAGTCTCAAGAGGACAAGTTTGATGAACGAGCTTCGGATGGTAGTGACTGCTTGACTGCAAAGCCTTACAGTTTTTATTTTCGCTACTTCTGGCTTTTGGAGATGTTCCAACAGAAGACCGGCAAAATCTAACATTGATTCAGTACCATTCATAAACCACCCCTCGAAAATTGCTTCAACCATGTGTATGCTAAATCTGGCCATATTAGTCAGGACCTTTGGCTCGTTCAGGCTTTTCCAGTCCAGTTTGATCGTGGTTGATAAGTGAACGATAGTGCTCTTTAACACATATGACTCAAAATACGCCTGGTGTTCCTGGAAGCCGGGAGGCACCTTAAGAAACAATCCGAAGCCAGGAAATTCTTTGCGAACCAACAGTTGGTCAATAAATACGTTGATAATGAGTTCAAGGACGCCCTCTACCAGTCCATGACCGAGGTTGTGATCAGCAACCCTTTTTTTTGGGGACACCACATGAACGAGGCGTATTGGGCTTAATTGGTTCGAGTTCTGAGATGTTAGAAGAATGAAAGATGAAGCCTTTCGTAATTGCGTTCCTCGGCGAGGAGTTGTGCGAGCTGGTAGTGATGTGTCGGTTGCGCTGGACGTTCTGACAACTGGGGCAGCGCTCAAACTTCCACCAACTGGACGAATGAAGACATCGCCACCATCGAACGTGAGTGTAGAGTCCCTGGAGTTGAGTTCTGTCTCAGGATTGACTGGATCTGCGCTTACGATCGCAGGATAGAGGGCAGACAGAAGCAGCCTTACATAATCAGAGGACAACGCAAAATCTCGAAAATCTGCTGACCGAGCATGGAGGTCTGTCATAAATCGAATAACGGTTTGAAGCACGGCCGCATTGCAAGCATTGCGTTCAACTGGTGGTTGATTTGTCTCTTTTGGACAATATTAGTTAGATTTTACAATGAAGGGGGGGAACTAATAGAAATACTTACGCCGTGACTCTAATTCTTTCTGGAGAGACATTGATCGTGCTCGTGGTCTTGTACTGGGCGTTTCGCGACCAGTTGCGGCAACTCCTGCCGGATGCAAATCACCTAAAGGCGAAGCTGGGTCCTCCTGGGTCTTGAGAATATCTTTCAGGCCATGCTGAGTCATAGCGGTAATAATCAACAACGCATCCGGATTCGCAATCTTGCACTTTCCAAACGTCTCGAGCAAGCTGAAAAAGTCGAAGTTCTTCTCGAAGTCGATTTCCGCAACGTCATAACCGAAAAGGATACTGAAGCAGATGGGCCATAGAGTAGGGATATCCCACCATCGCTTTAGACGATGTGCCATAATACAAAATCCTCCAGTCTTCCCCGAGAATTTGCTAACGTAGGCTGAGCCATGGGTGACTAGAAGCCTGGCAAGTATTTTACAGCCGTACACTACAATTTCCGGATCGTTTTCTGTGAGAAGATACAAAAGCCACTGGACCATCATTAGCTTAGAGTCGTTTCGCAGTGGCCAGGTATCAAGTACCTTATTTGTCACAGTTTTGGCAAACTTGCGAATCATAGCCAGACTCCCCTTTTCGCATAGAAGTTGGCTATACATATCTAAAAGGCGGGTACCGACTTCCTTTCTTGTGAGTAACCGTCCATCGTTTTTGCCGGCTCCGTTTACAATAACTAATGGTCGTGTCGAAACGCTACTCGAGGCCCGACGACTAGCAGGCCTTGGTGTGCGTGGCCGTGACCTGGATGATGGGTGAAAAGCATAGGTGATAAACAGAGCCAGTGACTGGTGCACTTCTGTATTGTAATTGCATTTGACGAGACTCTTGATAGCGCTTATGAAAAATGGAACTACGTTCTCTGGGACAGGCTCGGACTTTACGGCGTCGAGGAGCCTCTTCACAATTCCTAGAACAAAACCGTTAGTATAGACTGGAATGCTTACCCAGTTTCCAAAGAACTCACGCATTCGAAGTAACCTGCGGTTATTGTATTGGTGATATTTGCTCATAACTGCAAAGCTCACGAATTGCTTGTAATACAACTCTTGGACGAGCGGGCCGCATTTCCTCCAACCATCGAAGTCGACAAGTAAAATGCGATATGCTAAAGGGTTTATAATAACCGATTCAAGAGGATCCAGGTGCTTGTACCCGACAAAGCCAAGTACGAGGCTTAGAAGTTGAATGCATAGGCTGTCCTTTTCGTTATTTTGAAATGTCAACTTCTCAGTCAAAGCTTCACCCGCAGATCCGCCAAAACCGAGTTTGGCCTTCAGTAAGATTCCCAGTATAGCGTATCCCCCATCCTTCTCCATAGCCTCGCTGTTTCGCCAGCTAGAATTAATGCATCGGAACACCAAGTCAACGGCTTGAATTAGCATCTCAGACGAAGAGGCTCGTTCGATCAGCTTCAATGCAAGCGGCGTGAAGCCTGCAAGTTGCCAGAGAGCATCATCGAAGAATTGGGGCATCGCGACGATCGGGCTCCCAGTCAATACTGCCACCCCATTCGAACGCACCAAGGCGTCATTAATCGAAGGTAACGCTGTGTTAATTGCTATACCGGTGCCATTTTTGAGCACCATTTGCACAAGAGTATGAGCAGGCCCACGAGATAAGGCACGGAACAGCTGCGACTCCCCAAAATGCTCCTTTTCACGAAAAATCGAGGACGGCATCACACTAAGAAGAATCTTTTGTTCTGGCACCACATGGCTGGCCTTATCCCTAATGACTTTCATAATATCAGAAACATCCTTCGCAGTGCTGACAAGGTCGTTACGGAGACCCAGGGCGGCAGATGCTGCGTAGGTTTGAAACCCGCCGAGGCAGTCTTGAAAATTCCCTTGATAATGAGCTCCTAGTCGGCTAGGTACTGAGAGAAAATCCTCGCTTAACACATCATCAAAAAGATGGGCCATTCCAAGTGACCACTTGGAGTTTATCAATCCAGCACCTAGATGAGATGATAACTCTCGTGGTGTTCCTAAAAATGCCTGGACTGGCATGGTCTTGGTACTTGCCGAGGTAAAGGATGCGAAGCTTTCCACACTGCCATTTGATAATGGCGGAGTAGAAGGGTAGGAGGCTTTGATTTGCTCAACGAATTCACCATTCACATGCAATGACGCTTTGCTAGTAGTCAATGTCTTTGGCCGTCGATGGACGATAGCAATATGATACCATACGCCCTCCTGGAATGTAAAGGTTCTAAATCTAACACTCGGCCGAGGTGAAGTAACTGATGTCTGCAATATGAAATTGCGAGTATCTTTTTCAAGGTATGCAAGGAGGAAACAAGTTTGGGTAGAGTCAAAGGCACCGAAGATGGTAGTATGCGACTTTGGGTCGAACTTATCGATTCGGACCCATGCAGAAAATGTATAACCAGCAGAGGACTGGGGAGGAAACTGGCGACCTAGACTGGGTAGTTCAATAGAAGAGTGTCCATGTTGAGAAAGATCGAACTGTATGAATGAAGGACCACTATATTTTTGCATCACTTCCAAGCAGAAATCTGATGAGCTTAGAGAAGGATTCAGCAGAAGTTCCTGTGCATCAACAAGTCGGTTTAGGCCAAAGGGCACAAGAGATCGACACAGACTCAAGACTGTTTCTCGTTCGGTTTCGTTCAATGGCGAGTCCTCGTTGAAACCAAACTTTAGGAACCGAGACAAAACACCTGTCTCGTGAACTAGACACAAATTAATATTTGATGCCCCAATAATCGACGATAACACTTTGAGAACCAGTAAGGATGCCGTGTTTTCTGTGGCCTTCTTGTCTCGCGGTAAAGATTCCCAGAAGTCCACAATCGTCCGAATGACTTCGGGATTTTGTAAAATCGACTTCGTGTTTATAGTTTTGTTAATCGTCGCCTCGATTGTTGTGATCTGTACGCCAAACCGAGGGATTTCCTGATCTTCGCTCTTGGTACCATCTTCTCCCACTCCAGACTCTGTTGGTGCTACAAGTACCCACGGCGTTGTATCCTCTGATACGGCAGAGCAACATAGTTTGTCCACCGCGGCATCATTCAAGGACAGGGCAAAAAGCTTTCCAAAGAGCTGGCAACTTGACCAAAGATCCGAATCGCTCCCACCGAGGCCAATACTCGCTATTATTTGCTCCAAAGCATCCCATCCACCGCCTTCGACTCGCGTGCGAAAATAGCGTCGGTTACCGGGATGGCCACGGAAGGCCGCAGCCAAGACACTAAACACGGTATTGAGAAGGTCGAAGAAGCTTTTCTTCTCGTTTTCGTGGCGTTTTTGGAGATTGTAGAAGCCGGAGAAGGATCGCAGTACATCGAACAACCTGTGAAAGCCGCGAAGATGCCTGAAATCATCTTGAACTGAACTTGGCGGGGAGGTTGCAGAGAGATGCTGCTGGACGCGGCGAAGCTGGCCAAGTAATATATCGAATTCTGGGTAGCCGTGAATCGGGGAGGTAGAGTTGGAGAGTGTGGATGATACGGAGTCAAGGAGGGTCTGAAGGACTTCGGTAGCCTTGGATGTTGGTAGCGGCGTAGACGCAGAGGTAGACGATCGGTACCGACCTGGCCGCTGAGACATGATGAAGGCGGCAAAGTAAGAGACTTAAGACTGAAAATAGAAAGAGAGTCGTGCTTTCTTCATATTATACAGGCTGGACTTGCTAGCACCCTGCTGGGGTCTAGGCTGCAGTTTACGCAGTAGGGCATCGAAGGCGTCGAGGATTAGCTCTCGTGATAGGGTTTCAAGTACGAGCAGATATTATATGTCGGGTTGTGTAGAATTCTTGGATAGGTAGTAGGTAGAAGGTAATAGGTAGTACTATGTAGGTAGGTAGACAGGTAGTTGGCTGAGCATGGAGTTCGAGTTCAATTGTTTCTAAGGTGGAAATTCCAAGATTTATCCTCTAATTGATGATAATTTAATTATGAGTGACGATGCCAGGCTGCTTTGCTTTATCAAGGTCCCAAGCCTATACAAGCAAGTAGGTATGCAGTATGTGGTTCAGTATGCGGTTCAATGTGCAATGTTGATCTAATCGATTCCCGAGTCTCTACAGGGTAGGTGGTTAATAGTTACTGTCTAACTAACATTGAACGTCAGTGGACTAAGTAGAAGTTGTCAGCCTTGGGCCTGGTGTGCGTGGCTTGTGCACGTTTAGAGTATTGTATTACATAGTACTCTCACTACTAGTCTATGTACTAGTTACTAGGTATTAGGTAGCAACTATGTTAGCTCTTAGCGCTATACAAGACATCTAATAAGGACATAACCCCTATATCTACATAGTATATAACTCTACTATCTCTACGTTTGCTTCAATGTTCTTTAAAACTCTCTAAAAGACCAATAGACTAACTAAATGGATTGAATGAAAATAACTTGATATCATTATGAAAACCACTTAAACACTAGTTAGTCATTAGCCAGGTAAGCATTCATGTTGCTGCAAGCTTTCTATAACATGGTCTAAATACCGAGGCAATTTGGGTGCCTGGGGATCTACTTTGCCCGGGAATTAGGTAAACAGATAAAGAAGCCGAGACAACACCCATACCGGTCCGGGAGATGTAATGGAACTGATGACTGCACCCTTATCGGAGCCGGATTGAACGCCATACTCGGCCATTGTGAAGCCGCACCTACGTACCGACGTAGCCGGACTAAACTCATCGGCTGATCTTATCGCCGCCTACATTCTATTTGAGCCTGCCACGCATAGGTACTCCGTACTCAGGCTAGGTTTGTATTCTTCTTATTCTATCCTTCAATATTTAAATCTTTTTCTTCGTTCAAAGTTTGGGTGATCGAGATATGGGCTCTAAAGGATTCGTAGACTGATACCATAAAGAGCTATTGGAATGAAAAGTCGAAGAGATTTGGGGATGAGGCATATAGGTGGCGCAGATCGTAGCCATTATATCTACAAGTAGATACCATTTCTAATGGTGGCTATTTCTATTCCGCCCACCGAATTGATCATTATGCTAATAACACTAGACACACTTGTAAGCCTAGAGTATGACTAGTACTAGGTATACATCTATAATAGTTGAGAAGAAATACTATTTTGATTCCAATGTTATCTATGGAAACAGCATTGGGTTGTATTATTGACCATATTTTGTGAATATCACGGCATCGCCTGGCTAACTCCACGACTTAGTTAAAGAAGAAAGCGTCGCTTCGACACCAGCATCATGTAAAAAATCACATCCTATGTACATATGGCATAAAGCCGCTTTTGCTATCTTGCTGTTTTGGTTTTTATAACTTACTTAACAGAAGTTAAGTTATCGATGGCTTATTGACAACGCACCAGGCATTGCCACTAGTCTATGTATGTACAATATTATCTTAATTAACAGCAGCAGTTGTTATGATACTTAGAATGACATGAGAGCGTGACGAAGAAACCGACGAATATGGCAAACCCAGCGCATTCATGCCAGGTCAAGTGAACAAACATTCTGACATAGAAGGCAAATGGGTACCTACATAGAGCGGTCGGTCTGCAAAAAGTTAACAGTTTATACACGGCTTTCACGTGTAAGAACATTGAAGTTCCAGCAGTGTATCCAGCATTGTATCCACAAGAAACCAATACAACATGAGGTAATCTCTATCATTGTGAGATTCAAAAAGGGGAAGTGCTGTTGAGGATGGCAAAAGAGCACGTGTCAATACGCCAAGAGTATGTTTGAGTCAAGTACGTACGGTATACGCGCAGCTGATGTGGTGTCATACCGTATATTGAACTGCAGGGCTGCGAGTTGAGTGGCTCGTAGAGCTCCGGATATTCCAAGTAGGCCCCAAACCAATCAAGCTCCTATCTCAACCCCGGTTCAATTGTGTCATTCCATCCTTATCTGAGCTCAGTCCCAACGCAAGCAGGCAAGCCAAAAGAAGGAAAGCATGAAATGCTGCAACAATAAGAGCTTCAGAAGTTTGTTTCGATTAAGTACTGGAACCAGCTACATTACATACCTGTCTTATTTTTCTAGGTACTTGTCCATATTATAAATATAACAAAAGCATCATAAGATGAATTACCTACACTAGTATCTTCCAGAGGACTCTATCGACTCAACAGCAGACCTCCCTCCCCTGAATTCCAGGGTCCAAAGACTGCATACGCAGAACATAAGTACATGGTCTGATAGACCGATAAGATATGCAGTACCTGTGTAGGAGTGCACCAGTGGTGGCGGCGGATCCTTATCGATGGCCAATTGTCTCGGGACTGAACAGGTTGCAATTTCAACTATTCTAGTTTAGGTATTCATCAGCAACCGCGTGAACCGGAACCGATTAGGATAGTCTGCATTACTCTAGGTTAGTGTATTCAATGTTGTACCTTTTCTGAAATGTCCCGATTCCGGTCAATTATTTACCTATTACTCGTATGCCAATGATTTGAATCTACATACCCTAGATAGAAGGGGCAAATAGGGGGTTTATGAGGAGATTGAGAAATATCCATCATTTACCAAACCTAGTACGTGCCTAGGTAAATAAGGTATAAATGTATTAACGTTGAAAGTATGGATGAGCCATACATAGAAGCATTGAAACCTTGCATCAACATTGAGCATTGAGATCAAGGATGATAAAGGGATTGCATTGTTCGAGGTACATACAGTACCTAGAATGTAGTGCTAGGTACGAAGCTGGGGCAAACACTGGGGCATAGGTACATGCCGTAGACCTTGAGGGTTTCCACTAACGAAGGCTGATCTAACTTACTCAGGGTTAGCGAATAGGTCAGCTTGCCACACTAGCCCCGGTACGAGCTAGCATTTCCGCTCTTATCTGGTTGGCTCGGCGGCTGTGTGCGTCACCTGCACCCACTCCAAGCTGGGGAAGGCAGCCATCCCATTATTAGTACATTACAGTACATTACAGTACGGTAGTACCAGTCAGTCTACCTACGGTCAGTAGGTAAAAGGTATCCACTCCTCATACTAGGGCTGCTAGGGAGCTCGGTACGTGCGCTACTTGTGGCTTCGACTCTTTATCTTGCGCCCGCTTTCGCTCAACGAGCTTCCTCTTCTCTTCTTCTTACTCTTCCATCTCTCGATCATTCCATCCTTTTCCCATCATCAATCAACAGTTCGTCCTCATCACATATCATCCCCCAGAGACATCATTTGTTGTGTCTCTGGGTTTTCTTCCTTTTCTTCTCGGTTTTCCCTCCCTTTTGAGTCGCAGGTAGACTTATCGTTCCCTGATACAATCCTGAAGCGTGTTTATTCGTTGTAACCATCACCATCCATCAACATGAGGGGCCTCGTCGCTCTCTCCCTAGCATATGCTGCTGCTGCAGCGCCCTCGTTTAGCTACGAGACCATCCACGATGGTGCCGCTCCCATCATTTCCTCCTCCACTGCCGAGGAGGTCCCCAACTCATACATCGTTAAGTTCAAGAGCCACGTTTCTGAATCTTCAGCTTCGGATCATCATTCGTGGGTCCAGAAGATTCACGGCGATCGGGAAGATGAGCGATTAGAGCTTCGAAAGCGTGGTCAGTTGCCCATGTTTGGTGATGCTTTTGATTCATTCAAGGGTCTTAAGCATACCCTAAAGATCGGCAGCGAGTTCCTTGGCTACGCCGGTCACTTCGATGATGGTGTCATCGAAGAGGTCCGAAGACACCCTGACGTAAGTCTCGCATCTTATTACTCCCATGTTCGCATTATTTCCGAATGCGGAAATAATCAATTGCTTGTCTAATATAATCCAATATATTCCCTTGGACACATTAACTAACAAATTAATAACAGGTCGAGTTCATCGAGAAGGACTCCATCGTCCACGCTCTTGCAGAAGACGAGCCGGATCTCGAAAAGAACGCCCCGTGGGGATTGGCCCGAATCTCTCACCGTAAGCAACTCTCTTTCGGCACATACAACAAGTACCTCTATGCCGCTGAGGGCGGTGAGGGTGTTGACGTCTATGTCATTGACACCGGCTGCAACACTGAGCACGTTGACTTTGAGGGACGTGCATCATGGGGCAAGACCATTCCTACTGGTGATGAGGACGTTGATGGTAACGGCCACGGTACCCACTGCTCTGGCACCATTGCTGGTAAGAAGTATGGCGTTGCCAAGAAGGCAAATGTGTACGCCGTCAAGGTTCTTCGATCTAACGGATCCGGCTCTATGTCGGATGTCATGAAGGGTGTCGAGTGGGCTGCTGAGGCGCACATCGCCCAGGTTGCTAAGGCCAAGAAGGGCTCGCGCAAGGGCTTCAAGGGATCTACTGCCAACATGTCTCTGGGTGGAGGTAAATCTCCTTCTTTGGACCAGGCCGTGAACGCTGCTGTTTCAGCTGGTCTCCACTTCGCTGTGGCTGCCGGCAATGACAATGCCGATGCTTGCAAGTACTCTCCCGCCGCCGCCGCCAAGGCCATCACTGTTGGTGCCAGTGCTCTCGATGATAGCCGTGCCTACTTCTCCAACTGGGGCAAGTGTGTCGACATCTTCGGACCTGGTCTCTCTATTCAGTCCACTTGGATCGGCAGCAAGACCGCTATCAACACCATCTCTGGCACATCCATGGCTTCTCCTCACATTTGCGGTTTGACTGCTTATTTCCTCTCCCTCCAGCCCAGCAAGGAGTCCGAGTATGGTTTGGCTGAGATCACCCCGGAGAAGCTGAAGTCCAACATGATCACCATCGCCACCAAGGGTGCTCTCTCCGACATTCCCGCTGACACCCCCAACCTGCTTGCCTGGAACGGTGGTGGTTTCTCCAACTACAGCGATATTGTCGCTCAAGGTGGCTATGAGGCTGAGAAGTCTGAGAAGGCCGCTCACAAGTCTATCACTATCGAGGAGCTCGAGAAGGCTATCGAGCATGACTTCAACGTTGTCTCTGGCACTGTTGTCAAGGGTGTCTCGTCCCTCTCCGGCGAAGCCGAGAAGCTTTCTAGCAAGATCCACGAGGTCGTCGAGGAGGAGCTCCGAGAGTTCTTCCATGAGTTGCGTCAGTAAGACAATGTAGAAATGGGGTCCTAGCTAGCTGTAATTTAGATGCTGGGGTATTGGGTGGCTGATAAGCTTCCTGCGGAGCATAGATTGTTACGGAGCGGTGTTTCTTGGGCATTCGGCCAACCTGGCTTCTCTATACTGTACACGCTGAAATGGTTATATCTTTGTAGCATTGTAACGTCTTATCCGGTCTGTCTAGCCAAGACCCAACTATCAAATTTTCATTGACGTAAACTATCAAATTTTCATTGACGTAAACTAAGGCTATATTTATTGTTTGATTTCATCGTATCAGTACGTCGATGTGACAACATCCAGGTAGAACTTCCTACGTGTAGTTCCTAATGTGTGATAACCATCGCCTTCTTTCACCTAAGTACATGGGTTGCTTTTCTGCCTGTTATAATCTGATCAAAAATAATGTATCAAATTCCGACGTTAGTTTCTCCCCCTTTCAAGTTTCCGCATGCCAATGCCCCCAGGCATTACCTACTACATCAGTAGTTGGTAGGTATCTAATAGGTGCAGACTTCAATGTTGACTGGAAGGTCGAGCTGTCAATTCACGGAAAAGCAAGGTCAAGTTTTACCCGCGGTCTTGCTAAATTATGCATCTAGGTAGTTAGGGAGGCTACTTCTTCAACAAACATGCAATGAAGGTAGAGAAGATAGAGAAGGTACCAACCTCTATTAGATCTTGGTAACCTCTCCCCTTACTATACCTGGCATGTGGTGAAGAGACCTTCCACGTATTTCATAACACGACTTTTCATCTTCACATATTCTCATTTTAGTACATGCATTCATCAAAATTCAGCTCTATCATCTCCAGTTGAGATCTTCCACGTTGAAAACGTTGGATTTTGGTTAGTTTATTTGACAAGATCTGAATACTTTCCCTTTCGGTATTGGATTGCCTTCGGCCTTGCTTTCTGCTTCATACTCTGTTGGCTGTCACATTGCTATATCAGTTTAGTCCACTATACACAGCCAGTTTCTTGTATCTTAACCACCATGCACCGTCGAAATAGTACCAAGCACCTTGACCGTCGGAAGTCCACCTCTTCTATAAGCAGCGTTCATCTAGAGCATATTCACCCTAAGACGGCTGAGCGTGATGCCCAGGCTGCGGCTACTAAAGCCTTTGCTAGAGCGAGAGAACGATCTGCTACGGATGCAACATTGTGGCCGCCACAACGTAATAATGGCTCCAGCGGGAAGAGCAGCTATGGCGGTACTCCCGAGCGATGTAGCCACGATTCAAGCCTCAGACGTCAACAAAGTGTTCGCTTTGTACGAGCGAGGTCTTCGCGAGGAACACAAATTCACACAGTCGTCGAAGATATGACCCCAGCTCCTAAAATAAGTACCGTGAAGGTTAGGGTCACTGTGAACGGTCTTGGGCCCCGGTCAACAAGCAGTGCCTCTGGTGCGGGAATGGTCTCCGCGGCCAAAGGCATGGCAGGAGACTATATTAATGCACTCCTTGCCGGAGAGGAGTATTATACCCCAGAAGACGACATTGCGTCAGCCCCTTCGTCGTACAGGAAGATTCGAAAGTCTAGATCGATGTTTGCCAGTTCAGAAGCCAGCATGTCTTCAAAGAATTTCTATCAAGGCCCAGTCTCGGCGACAACGAGCCAATTGGCTTCGGAATGCCCAGGCCCGTCTAAGCTCGACATGGAGGAGAGTATACCCGCAACAAGACTCAAAGCGCCGAAGTCCATGTCATTCCTGAGGAGTCGCCGTGATCAGCCAATGCTGTTTTCTAAGCGCCGGGGTAGTATCCCAATTGGGGGTTCCAGTGATGGTTGGAATGGAGTTTCGACCGACAAGGAGGGACTCAAGAAATCGCACTCATCGGCTTTCCCCCGTTCAAACCCTGCTAATATAGATAGGTCTCTGCGAAAGAGTATGAGAGACACCAGCAACGATACGTTACCCATGTACGGGAAAATTCCCAAAGATGGCAGTTTAAGAAACCGAGCCCGAAAAGTTTCGCACAACGTTAAACACAGGCTGAAAAGTCTTTTTAGTCTAGTCAAGGGTGAAAACGATGAGGCTATGTTCCCCCCTCAACATATCGAGGCTTCGAGATCACACATTATGGACTCAGATAACAAAGAGTTTATGAAGGATGACGAGTCCCAGTTCGAACCTACGATCGATGAAGGAGCGATATCTCGTGTACCTTCAGGCATCCCATCGTTGCATGCCGTTCCTTCGCACCAGCAACTCCGTTCACGGAAAGGCAGTGTAGAAAGCTTGGCGAGCGAAAGAAGAACTTCAGATGATAGGTCTCGGGTAACTAGCTGGACCAATTCAGATACTAACACTCTCAATACTTTGAATAGCCATAGAGGAGAATGGGAACGGCAGCGGTTATCGGTTATTAAAGAGAACGGCATGCATGTCTCCTCGTCGTCGGCAAGACCCCCTAATATTAATTCCCATGCCACGAGCACAACTACTAAGGTTGGCTCCACGCAACCTCCCATGCCACCGCAACCAGCGACCGTCAACAGTCAAAGGATATATTCAGCGCTCATGAAGAAGCTCAGGGACACCAATAAGCATTCCCAGACGTTCGAAGTACAAGCGCAAAAGAGTGACGATGACTACATCAGTGTAGGCGCTATACCCCTGAGAGGAAGTTCTCGGGCCCAAGAAATCCAGAAACCTATATTTCCAGCAACCATTCGCCATGTGGTTTCCGATATCTCATCGGACACAAATTCGGTCGGAACGGTAGAGAGGAAACAAGCTGCAGATCCCAGAAAGGTCGAGACGGAGCATAATGACTTCCCCTTCCATCTAAATATCGAATCGGCATCGGAGAAGGACTTTTCGTCTTCTACATCTGCGGTCCCAACAAACGAATATAGGGGATCGGTAGATGACCAGAAAACTCCCGCGCCTCCAGTAAGAACGCTATCAACTCGAAGTTCAGCTTTTTTTGCCAGTCCAACATGTCATCTGTTTCGCACGCGAAGTCCCTATAGGCGTGCAATCCAAGAATCAATTAGGACAGACTCTCAAACTTCGGGTTTGAAGTCTCCCGAGTTTAATCCTTGGATGCGATCCTTGACGAGCTTGCCCATCCGGTGTCCAAGTACGTGCGAGTCAGAGATGGACAAGAAAATGCACTATGCTAAGAGCATATACTCCACAGCTACAGAAGAAGCGTTTACAGGGTCTTCCACCAACACGTCAACGGTGATGGATCGTTTCCCCAAACCACCGCACGCCCTTGGAGATGCCACCATATTTGTTGACCCCCCGGTTTACCGGCCAACCCCACCTATTGTGCCTAATCACAGAGTCACTTCTTCTGCAAGCTCTGTAGAATGGAAGACATGGTTATCTGCTAACGTTTCGAAACTAGAGGGTAGTCCTGGTTGTACAGATCCAGGAGTCCTCGAATATACCGTACCTTCCAGTCGCTCTTCTGGGCATGTCCGTGAGAAGGCACAGATTAGTGACGAGGATGAATCACCCCAATTAGAAGTATACAAGCCTACGGGCCCAGACACTATGCTCGCAACCATTGGGCATACTGCAAGAGCATTTCCCATGGGCCCTCGACCGACTATGCAAAGCAGTACATCACCAAGTCCTCACTGCGACAAAGAAAACGAAGCCCCGGATACCTCTTCTGCAAATACGTCAAGAAGGATGCTACTGCGCAAAACACCATCCGCAGTGAGCATGAGGTCTGCTCAGGAGGAGAAGGCTGCTCAGGAGTCTACTGGTAGAGAGAGAGGAGGCTTCGATTCGATCCGCCGGAAGTCGCTAGCGCACAAGTCCTCCGCCAACACGCTTGCGGGCAGCAACAACCCGCCATCTACTAGGAAGTTGGTCAAGAAGCAATCGGGCTTCAGGAAATATGTGACACCGACAGCGAGCCCCAGGGACGGGGGCCTGATGACGGCGGTGGACAAGCAGTTTAGGAAAACAACAATTGGTGGCTCGAACGATTCCAGCAAGCGCAAGTTGGAGCTTGCGACGCCGATGAAGACGGAGAATATCAGCCCCAGGCAAGATATGGAGACTATTGGTGATGATGGTGGTGAGGTGGACTTGGACCCTTATGATGTCGAGGGATCCGGCGTCCTTGGCCCCGAGACGGACACCGGGGTGGGGGCGACGCCGCAGTCTATCGGCGGCAAGAAGATGGTGGATATTTTTCTTAGCAGCAGACGTAGGCGCATGGCGAGCGGTGGTGGTGGTGATGATGGGGGCGTATTCGTTTGAATTCTCTCGAGTTTCAAGAGATGGCTGTTGTTGTTGACTGACTAGAGTGGTGGGGGGGTATTTCTTGTCTTGTTTTGGATTAAGGCATTAACTTTGGTTAGTCTTTGACGGAGTGGAGGATATAATGAATTAGTGGGAGCTTAGAGTACGTGCTATAGGTGGTCTTGAAACGAAACGGGTTGCTTTCGTACGGAGGAGATATGGGGGCGGAGAAGAAGGAAGAGGGTAATGAGGAGGAGGAGAAGTTTTGTATAGGCACCTAGATGTATTAAAACGACTATCGCTTAGAGTATGAATGGAAAGTAACATGACCCGCCCATGGCTTCTAGGCTGGGGTAGGCGTATAATTACAACTGCTAGGTATTGGTTTGATGTTTTGGCGTGTGTGGTTGATACTCTAGGTAGGCACCGAGTAGGGCAGGGTGCATCGTTGGGAACATCAAATATCGATATGTCAGCTTTGTTCTAGACCTGGCCATGAATTAGAATTGGGATTGATTCAATTGGGCCCATTGAATTGGTAGGAGGTATGTAGGTTGGTAGGCACATGTTGTCAGATTTGAGATCTTGAGAAAAGGGGGGAGCCCCTGGATCACGTGGGTGTGATCCGGAGAATAAATCCTGCGACAACCGTTTCTATTCTCGGGTGCATCTTACAGCTTCATTATGTAGATATTGTCTATTTCCTACTTGGTTGATACCTACCTGGAAAGCGAGCTGACTTTGGATGGCAGGTAGAGAGAGATGTGGACCCTGCTATCACGCCGCCGCCGCGCCGTTTTCACGACTTCCTTAAAGTCGTCGCTGAATTGGAATATGCGTTTGGCATGGACGGGTACACACCTAGTAGGAACAGGCTTGTGGGTGGTTGCACAATCTAGGTCCCTAGGCAAGGAAATTGAGGCTACTCTCACCTGAAAATGTCTCGCGAGTACCTATCACGTGGAAAGTGAAGAGGCGTATATGACTGCTGTGTGATGCATGAGGCTTATGTTATATCCTCTTTGATTACCTACCTACCTATAGCTATACTGCAAGACTGGCGCCGTCGAGATGGCCGTTCTGTACTTTTGCTGTCATGCGTACTATACCTCCCTCTGCGTGCACATAGTCTTTAAATAGCAACTATGGGAATTATTATCGTTACATGCTTCACAGAAGCGTACTAGGTACATATGCAGTCTGAGTTTCAGGAGCTTTCCTCGTCACATTGTCTCGCAGCGGGTTTTTATTCACCCTTTTTCGGGGGTTGGGGTTACACAGCTTCTTCATGTAATGCATGGAATCTACGAAAAGGGGACTGACCGTCGCCTTTTTCATACACACCTAAATACTGCTGATTACCCAGCTAGGTGTGTAGTTGTAACATAAACAACGTTGTTCGACATGCCTCCGGCATAAACATTACAGAAGATGCAGTTGGGATGTTTATAACATTACCATACGGCGTTTGGGGAGTCTAGTGTTGTATACGAGAAACATATGCTGATGGTGGCGTTCGTTGGGCTTACTAGATACGTCAATGGCTTATGAAACAATTGATCTAAATACCTCCCTATCTATTAGGCAGGCAGACACCTACATAAGGGCATTTAGACTCAGCAGAATATTTCCGAATCAAATTGTGCTTCACGTATTCACTCGTTCGCGTGGATGTACAGATTCAATATCGTGCTTTCATTTTTCTTTCTCTCGCGAATATCTAGAATCGACTACCTACACGCACCACTCATGGAGGACGATCACCGATACCGCGTCGAGTACGGCGAGAATGTAGTGCCAAAATACCCAGCGCGGAATGATGAAGGCCTCGAAGTTGTTCCCAATGATTCGCCCCTATATCCCATGCCGGCACATTCCCCTCTCCATACGGTCGGAGAGAATAAGTGGGAATCTAGCTCAAAGACGTCAGCCGATGCGGCAGCGGCAGCAACACCTGAAAAGGGCAAAGATGGAGAGAGGCGGAGGATAATGGGGCTCACGGTCCCGTGGTTTTGGGCGGTGATTGTGATTCTCATTGTGATTCTTGCGGCAGGCATCGGAGGTGGAGTAGGTGGAGGTATACAGACACAGCAGAGGTTGAGGAATAATGCTGGTGCCTCGAGGTTTGTAACGCCGTTTCTAGGTATCTGATGCATTTGAAATTTGGTGTGCTAACTTGTCCGGAAGCGACACCACAAGCACGCTGCTACCATCATCGACGTTGCCAACGCCGACGTCAGGAGCGGCAAGCGGCCCCCTCCCATCGGATAGCGGGTGTCCGTTGATCCAGGGACAGACGTACACGCCGTACGCCGCGGACGGGAAGTCGATCCCGCTCGAGCCGGGCTTGGAGGGACAGCAGTTCCGGCAGCAGTGCTACACGAACTACGTGTCGTCGGCTGCGACGCACTCGCACGACATATTGCGGATATTCATGCCGACGCTCGAGAATTGCATCATGGCGTGCGCCGAGTACAACTCAGCGTACCGCGCAAGCATCAACGGGGATGTGGACGTGGGCGGGGGTTACTGCGTGGGCGTGACGATCGCCAAGGTCAATGCCGGGTTCTGCTATCTGAAGAACTCAACGAGCACGAATGATACGATGGGCCAGCCGAATACGTATTCTAGTGCCGTGTTGCTCACTGATCTTAATACGACTTTGGTTTAGTAAAATTATATATATTTATCGGTGCCTATCGACTACTATTTGTATAGGTTCAACCGTCAATGTGTATCAGTTGACAACGATGAATAATATCCACATCAACCCCCCTTGTCATTTTATTTTTCATCCATACTTCGTCCATTATTATACATTCATTTGTAAACCCCTCTCCTTTTTTCATGATTGACGTGTTCTTTTCACCTTACAATGCCATCAAGTTGACTTGCGACTCTTAGCCAATTCGCTCTGTGCTGTGGATGTAGGACCACCCTTGACCCGAGCACCGCCAGTAACTTGTTTCTCGCCCTCGGTGATATCGTGTAAGTTCTGACTATTGATTGGCTCGCCAGTATGACTCTGAGCTTTTGCAGTAGGACCGCCTGTTACCGGTTTGTCCTGGCCGGTCAATTCCTTCTCCGCCTCTGTAATCGCAGAGATGGTCTCCGAGTTGAGGCGACCCGAGTGTTCTGGCTGTGGGTTGGATGCCTGGGATATGAGATAGTCTGGTTAGTGGCAGCGATACTGAATATTAAAATATTGTATGGATTGTTCTGTTTGGATTCTTTCTTGTTTAGATTCGAAAGAAAATGAAATTACGTACAGAGGTGGCGATACTTTGTGCATAAGCCCCTGGGCCGCCCTTCACAAGCGTTTCCCGGCCTGTCACTTTCTTCTCTCCTTTGGTAATGTCGGACACCACTTTCCTGTTGACGCGATCGCCAGCATGCTTCTGGGCTTGGGCCGTAGGACCGCCCGGTACAGGCTCGTCTGAGCCCGTAAGCTCCTTCTCTTTGGCTGTAACCTTAGAGATAGTCTCTGAGTTGATTGATCTCTTATTGGCGGCGGCAGGACCCTTTAGACAAACGATCCGGAGGGACGATTTGCGAGGGTTGATGTTAGATAGTCTAAATGCCTTGGTGAGTACAGATCGAGACATGATATCAGAGTAAAGATTTGCGAATTACTATAAGAAGCTTATATGCATGAGGTGCTCAGGAATAAGATTCCTAACTGATCTTACGAGTCTTCAATTGCCATTGACTAATCTCATTTAAATAGGCGAGACACTGTAGATGTCGGAGAGACATATTTTATCATAGATGATGACTTGAACGTCATGTAATAAGTAATGATTTCATCTCTGATATCATAGACTGTTAGGTATTGGTATTGGTTCTGTTTGGCACCCGTACCTGCAGTAGTGCCTGGAGATCGAGCTGGTAATATGAATGAATCTACCTAGATACCTACTACTAACTCAGTATCGTTTTGCGTTTAATTCATCTACCTAAATCAATATGGTTCATTGGATTGGGGCGATATTTAATTTATTAGAATGGTTTGTTACCGTGTAGAATGGATACAGCGCCGAGGCTTCACAACAGCAATTGCTTATATAACATTACCCCAGGCAGGTATATTATCCCTCTGCCATGATAGGACCATTACTACCTACTACTCACCTCTAAATCAAGCCCAGATACATACCTAGTTGTATTCATCAGGCTAAAAGGGGGTCTCCTTGGTCTGGAACCAACTTCTATTTACCCCTGAGATTCCAGAGACAGAAATAGCCTCTCCCCGCATTGTTCATACCATCTACATATTTGGGTTGCATTAGCCATTTCCCATCTTAGCCGCAAGACTTCAGATACCATGCAAAGATGGACTGGAAGATCACGTATAACTATGTGGGTAGAGCCCTCGTGAACCTAGCTGTCCTCCTTTCAAAGGTAAACTGAAAGGTAGAACTATCCCCGAACCAATATGGCTTCTAGGGCGGTACTGAGTTTGATCGCGCTCTTAGCCATTGAGCCTATACTGGCAAGGGACTTTCCTAATTGCCAATCTGGACCTGTAAGTCGATCCCATATCTCGGCAGAGTCTACTTGCTCACTATTTTTAACAATAGCTTGCTTCCAATCAAGTGTGCAACACGACACTGGATCCATGGTCTAGAGCAGCAGCGGTAAGAACATAAACAATCGCATTTGGCAGCTCCGTACTCACCTTCCTACTTAGCTCATAGCTCAATTCAGCTCCAGCGAGAAGATATCCAATTCCTGGGATAACTCGCCAGGGGTCTCCCGCCTAGGCGTCCCCGCGTACGAATGGTGGAATGAGGCGTTGCACGGCGTGGCCCGGTCTCGGGGCGTGCAGTTCGCGACCTCGGGCAACTTCAGCTACGCGACCTCCTTCCCGCAGCCCATCACGATGGGCGCCGCCTTCGACATGCCGCTGATCCGCTCCGTCGCCGAGACCACAAGCACCGAGGCGCGCGCCTTCTCCAACGCCGGCCGCTGCGGCCTCAACTTCTGGACGCCCAACATCAACCCATTCCGGGACCCGCGCTGGGGCCGCGGGCAGGAGGTGCCCAGCGAAGACCCGTACCACATGAGCCAGTACGTGATGCAGCTGATCCCGGGTCTCCAGGGCGGCCTGCAAGCCGACCCCTATTACAAGCTCGCGGCCACGTGCAAGCACTACGCCGGCTACGACATGGAGAACTGGAAGGGCAACCGCCGCTACGCGTTCGACGCCAAGATCAGCAGCCAGGACCTCCAGGACTACTATCTGCAGCCGTTCCGCGCGTGCATCCGTGATGCCAATGCCCAGTCGGCCATGTGCAGCTACAACGCCGTCAATGGGGTGCCGACCTGCGCCGACCCCTGGCTCCTGCAGGATGTTCTGCGGGGCTTATACGGCTTCACCAGCGAGGACCGCTGGGTGACAGCCGACTGCGATGCTTTGGGTAATGTGTGGACGGACCATAGGTACGGAGGGTCGGCAGCAGGGGCGGCAGCGGCAAGCCTGAACGCGGGGACGGATTTGGACTGTGGTCAGTTCTGGCCGCAGAACCTGCCCTCAGCATATAATTCGCGGATGTTTAATGATAGCGTGCTTGACCGCTCGCTGATCCGGCGATACGCGTCTATGGTGCGTCTGGGGTGGTTTGACCCTCCAGCCCAGCAGCCATACCGTCAGATTCAGTGGGATGCTGTCGCAGTGCCCGAGGCTAAGGAACTGGCATTACGTGCAGCGCAGGAGGGGCTGGTTCTTCTAAAGAACAATGGCAGCACGCCGTTGCCCTTGGCCGAGACGATCAAGCGTGTGGCTGTCATCGGACCCCTCAGCACTGCCACGACGCAGATGCAAGGGAACTACTACGGCATAGCGCAGAGTATTTCCACAGTAGTCTCTGCCTTCAAGGCGGCTGGATACGAAGTCACGAATGTACAGGGGTGTGCCATCACTGGAACGGCGACGAATGGCTTCGCTGCAGCGGTGAGCGCAGCTAAGGCAGCAGATGCAGTGGTGTATGTCGGTGGAGTCGATACTAGCATCGAGGCCGAAGACCGCGACCGTGAACAGATTACTTGGCCCGGACAGCAGATACCCCTGATGAAGCAACTAGCTGCTGGTAAAGGAGGAGACAAACCGTTCGTAGTCGTGCAGATGGGTACTATGCTTGACAGCTCCGAGATAGCCGCAGATAGCGGTGTCAACTCGCTGCTGTGGGCTGGGTATCCAGGACAAGACGGTGGCGCGGCGGTGGTCAGCATTCTGACGGGCGAGAAAGCGCCCGCGGGAAGGTTGCCGGTTACGCAGTATCCTGGAGACTACGTTAACCAGGTCCCCATGACAGACATGAACCTACAATCTAGCACCAGTAACCCCGGGTAAGTGCTCCTTCTATAATATCCGCCATTAGGCAGTTGTAGAGCTTGGTTACATGAACTAACATGCTTTTAGACGGACATACAAATGGTATACTAAAACGCCGGTCTTCCCTTTTGGCCACGGATTGCATTACACAAGCTTTGGTGTCTCGCTGCCGGAAGACCTCCCTACCACGTTCTCAATAGCGGACTTGACGTCGAACGTTTCTTTCACAGAGATTGGCCCAGTGGCCTCGGGCAACTACCCAGACCTTGCACCGTTCTTCTCCCTTCCAGTATCGGTAGCAAACACAGGAAACGTCACGTCCGACTACGTCGCGCTAGCATTCCTGAAAGGAGAGTATGGAACGGCGCCGTACCCGCTCAAGAGTCTGGTGGCGTTCACTCGGATCCACGATATTAAGCCGGGCGAAACAGGGAGTGCGACGTTGGATATTAAGCTAGGCGCAATTTCTCGCAGTGACAAGGACGGAAACTTGACACTCTGGCCGGGAAAGTATAGATTGGTGCTAGATATCGATGATAAAGCTGGCTGGGACTTTGAGATCACGGGAGACCAGGTTGTGCTGGAGAAGTTGCCGCCAAAGTCGAAGTAGGGGAAGGAAGAAAATAAAAAGAAGATTTAGGAACATTAAGATGGAATAAATGATGAGCCTGGTGATTAGCTTTATATCTAAATAACTGATCTTAGGCAAGATCAGTTTTCCATTGCTCCTTGCCCACCCACCCCTTTTATCTTTCCTTCCAAGTTTTTCTATGCAAGGAAAGGCTAGGTAGGTAGGTACTACGCAATTGAATCACTCAAAAAGTAACTATAGTATGCTCTTAACAAACTCCTAGCTACCTACTAAGTAGAGAGCTTCTAATTTCTCTAAGATTTTCATTTAGTAGTAATAGTTGCAAAAATAATTGTATTAGTCCGTCCCCCTTTTTTAGGTAGACGAACCCTTGTGTAAATGTTGTTTAGACTTGCTCGTTTTCACTACGTTCCTTATCGAGCTCGTTAAACTTCTGGACCACCCTCAAGGTGGCGTAGTAGCTAAAAGGTAAGGCCACAAGCCAGAGACCAAGATTGATGCTAGCAGTAGCAATGAGCGCAGTCGGCACAGCCTGGATACCGAATCCTATGGCAACACCGGCAGTCTCGATCCCCCGAAGTAAGGAGCTGTATCTGATCTGCTCGCCGGGAGAGTCAGACAAATTACTGATACACCAGTATATGTAGTTTTCTACCATTCCGTAACTCATCCTTTCGAAGATGAAAACTCCGAACCCCCTACCGAATGCTGCTTGATTCTCCCAATCTAATACTGGGAGAGTAACCCGATATTCGTTCTGGATGTAAACAGCCCAGATCCAAGTTGCAGTAGCAAGCGATGAAATGAGGACGTAGGTGCTCACTGCACGAGTTTGCCTTTTTTTAGCCCAATGAATATCCACTAGACTGCCACACAGCCAAGTAGCCAAAGTGCAGACCACAGCGGACAAAAAGCTGCCAAGGGCTCGGGCCCGTACTGTGAAATACGTTGCCAAATAGGTACCTGGATAGGCCTGTGTCCAGCCAAAGTACCAGAAGAGGGGTATCAGCAGCAATATCGGCTTGCTTCTTGCTAGCCGCCACATCTCATGGAGCTCCGTGCGCCAATGGGTTCCCCTTGGCGCCTCGATTCGGGTTCCGTCGTCTCGTCTCACCTGCTCGGGATTCGAGAGGAGCAAGGCAAATAGGCACCCGAGACACTGGATAGCGATGAAGCCCAAATAAGTCTGGTAGCCTACTTGGCCACGCTGGTTGACACTATGATTAAGACCTAGCGAAATGGCACCCCCAATGATGTTTCCAAAGTTGCGGAAGGTAAACCAGGTCGCGAGGTAGCGACCTCTCTTGTGCTGCTCGGGATAGCCCGTCGCAATGGCGCCCTCCACACTCCAGAAGAAGCCAGCGCTGATACCACAAACAACGGACCCGACATAGACAAGCCATGTAGTGCCATATCTATTATTGACGTAGAGACCAGCCGCGTATAGGGGGTACCCTAGTGTACCCAAGGACAGCGTCCAGCGGAACCCGATTGCATTCGTCAGCCACGGTCCGGCGAAACAGGTGACCGTCATGAAGGCATAGAGCAATGCGTTGGCGGCGTTAACGAGATCCGGACTCTGTGAACCACCTACACCGAGGCCGTTCATGGCAGCCCATATTCCGGGCGCTGAAAAGGCACATGTCCCCACGACGAGGATTTGAAAAAGTGTGCTTCGAAAGAATGGGATTTTCTCCGAGCTGGATGAAGTGTTTGCAACGTTGATGGACAGAGGGGGGGTAACTACATCCAACTCGTCTTTGGCAACAACCGGTTCCACAGACATTGTGGTTACTATTAGCTACCTAGTAGGTAGGTACGTAGGTAATAATAATGGGGGGAGTTACTAGAAAGAACGTTGTATACTACGATAGGCCTATATATAAGTACTAGGTAGATATTGAATACAGTTGGTAGCCTATCAAAAGGGGTGTAAGACCAACAATTTTCTACTTGCCCCTGTATAAATAACTCCGAGGGGGGGTAGCTTATATCAAAGTATACTCTCTTTCGAGCAGTAGACGCATGCGCCGCATGCCCATGTCAGCTTCTTATCTCTTATGGTCCTTGAAAACGTCTTGAAAAGGCGGGGTCATCCAGGTTTCTATGTAAGTTGTCCGTTCTTGATGTTACCTCAATACCCTTGGAAGTTTATTGTTGTAGGAATAACTAGGATGACGTGATTTTAGCACAAAAATCGACAAGTAGGTATCCGAGTATGCGTGCCAGCCATGGTAAGTCGTGCGTTACCGGGTAAGTTATAGGTAGTAGATACTGACTTGACTTGGCCAAATTCATCATCAACTACCTATACTAACTATACTTACACATGAACAGCCATGGCTACCGCACTGAGACAAGTGACATTATCTCCACCTCAACCCGACAAGTTATCTTCGACAGAGCTACTAACCTTCGAACAATTCGATCTCCCATCAAGCAACCAGCGTGTCCTCGGACCGCCTCACCCAGATGGCACCACAATCCCGCTCGCGCTTCGGCTTGCAAGTGGAGACAACACCGCCGACCTCGATGCCGTGATTGAGACAGTAAAGTCTCTCCAGGCCCAGGGCGGCATTTTAACCAAGAAATTGGCTGTCCATGGAACACTCCTTTTTCGCGGGTTGCCAATTCACGACGCAAATGAGTTCAGTAGATTTGTCCATGCTTTTGGGTATAAACCACGGTGAGTGAGTACCTACCTAATAGGTGTCTTGGGTGTCCTGGGAGGCGACATGCGCCAAGGCAGTAGTTATGTCTACGTTGTCGCAGATCTCCCTTTACATACCCGGATAGGCACCTATGGCTTGTTCTGCCAAAAGCTAACATGAACCTAGTAAGTCCCAAGGGATTCATCATTATCTCCATATTATTTATTTTCTTGAATACCTACCTAGGTAGTAGGTAGGAAATAAAGGAAGGGAAGATGCAGAGCGCAGATTATTATATTCCCACGTGACAACGGCTTATTGACATCAAACCCCCAAGACGAGATCATCGGCATCGTCGTCGACCGCCCCCTCCTCGCGCCCAACGTCGCCCCCGCCAACGAATCGCCCAAGCACTTCCTCATCTACAACCACAACGAGTCGCCCCAAGTGCCCCACGCGCCCGAGTACATCTTCTTCTACGGCCACAAAGCCCCTCCCCCAAAACATGGCGGCGAAACCCCCATGTCATCATCCCTCGAGCTCTTCCACCGCGCACAGCAAGAACTCCCGGACTTCATCGCCGAGCTCGCGGCAAAGGGCATCCTGAGCCGCGTCACGTACCGCTCGGGGCGGCAGTACGTCGGCGGCTCGACGCTGACGCAGGCGTTTGGGAAGGAGATCCGCGCGGGCGACGACGCGGCGGCGCGGCGCGCGAAGATCGAGGCGCAGATCGCGCGGTACGGGAGGGGGCCGCACACGACCTGGGAGTGGCTACCCACCAGCAACGACGGCAACAGCGAGGAAGGTGACGAAGGCGTCGTGGTCACGCACAGGCTCCCCGCCATCCGCACGCAGCAAGACACGGGTCTGCCGACGCTGTTCACGGGGCTGGCGGCGTACTACCGGAACATGCGCGCCAATGTCGGACCCGCGGGTGCGGGGAGGAGCGCGACGCTGCAGCAGCTGTATGGCGATGGAACGGTGATCCCCGAGAGGTATCTCGCGCGGCTGGCGGAGATCACGGATGAGATACGCGTGCTGCATTCCTGGCAGCGCGGGGACGTGCTAGTTTATGATAATGTGATCGCGCAGCATGGGCGCGAGCCGTGGGAGGGCGAGCAGAGTGATCGTGTGATCTTGGCTAGTTTGTTCGATGGCGAGCAGGTTCCTGGCGCGTATGGGGTGGAGGACTGGGCGCAGGTTGTGCAGGCGCTTGATGGGTAGGTACCTAGGCAGGTAGGCAGGTAGGTGTTTTGGCTTATGGGATGATTAATGCATGATGACTGCGTGAGGTGTTACTCGGTATATACGTCTACCCGAAATGCTTAGGTATTTGTAGGTAAATCTCGAAAGTTGTGAAATTTGACATGTTTTTGGAATTTATATATGACACCCCCTATTTCAGGAGCGAAAATTACACAATGAGTGCACCACATCACATGAGCAAAAGATCTCGAACTTATACCACCATTAAATGAGGCTAAGAATAAATAAATAATTGCTTCAGCAAATGCATTGGCCGGTATCATCGTTGCAGACTGCCTTACTCGGACGATGTAGAATTTATCCGGCTCCTTTATCCATATCCAGGTACCTAGCCCACTCGCCCCGTCAATAGGCTTTACGGTCAAGGCCACATTGGAAGCCACCACTTTTCAATCAGGAACTCCTCATGCCAGTTAATCGCCTGCCTAGGACCTACCTATCTACCGCGTACCGAGGCTGCTCTTACGCATAATCCGGCTGACATACAAGAGTGCTGTAAGATGCGCCCTTGTTCAAATATCCACGAGTAATGCCGCCTTATCGAAGAGCCTTCGTGATAATATGCCTCCTAGCTCCTCTTTTCTACATTTACTGGCGAAAACTTTGGGCCCCCAACACCTTAGACGGCCTCAGCGGGCGTTTTCTTCTCTCAGAAGATGTGCTGAATAGCACGCTAGGGGTAAGATTCCCTTCTCACGTCCCGTTTTCCCTCATATACCTACCTAGGCGCTTATACAATAAAGGAGGAGAGGTAGGTATGTAGCCTGATATCATTCTAACAGACCCCAAGTTCTCCAAAATATTCGTTATAAATCTACCCGCGCGTACAGACCGGCGAGATGCGATGGCCCTGGTCGGTGCCGTCAGCAACCTCAGCTTCACCTGGATCGACGGCGTGTCCAGTGATCAGCTCTCAGCCTCAGACCGCATCGTGTCGGGGAACAGGAAAGGTCACTATGCAGGAGCGATAGGGTCTTGGAAGTCTCACATGAAGGCTTTGGAAGCCATAGTCGAGGCGAACCTGGAAAGCGCCCTCGTTATGGAAGACGACGTAGATTGGGACGTACGATTGAAGTCACAGCTCCAGACCTTTGCTTCCGCCTCAAAAACCTGGCTCAGGGAGTCGAGATCCTATAGAAGATCCGGGGAGGAGGACTTGCTCGACTTTGTCCCGCCATCTCCTTTTGGGAAGAGGGGCGGAACGACTACGGACTTCGAAGACTCGGACAGCAGCAATACGATACCATTATCAACAACAAAAGCAGGGCTCGATAGCAACACTAAAAGTGTATATGGCGATGGATGGGATGTTCTGTGGCTTGGCCATTGCGGTGCTGATTTGTCATACAAATCATCCCACGTTTCGCCCTTAAAAGTCGCAATCTTTGGGGACGAGACCGTTCCTGCACCTAAGCACCTCAAGCCTCACCCATTTGCTCTACTAGACAAACTCGGCGAGGTGCACCCACCACACACCCGCGTGGTGCACGCGTCTAGCGGAAACGTGTGCAGCCTAGCCTACGCCGTCAGCCAAGCAGGAGCGCGCAAACTGCTCCGTCGATTCAATGCCAATTTCGAAACCCAGTGGGATTTGGTGCTGCAGAGGTGGTGCGAAGGAGGATACGTTACGGAAGAGGGAGACCCTCAAGCCGGGCCAGGAGAAGTCGCTCCAGTGTGCCTCACGGTGCAGCCGCCTCTGATCAGTCACCATTACTCGAAAGACGGTGCTTCCAACATCCAGGCCCAAGGCGGCGGGTTTGCGAAGGGGACGGGCACGCCGTATATAAGAATAAGCACACGAGAAAACTTGCAGCGTTTGGTTGCTGGTGTGCCGAGAGAGCAGTTAGTAGATCAACTACCGGATGACGGGAAGACTATCTGGAGGTAGTAGAAAAGGTTTGAGTCGCCTAGTACTGTAAGTAAGTGTACGTCAAGCGACAGCAAAGTAGTAGATTTTGATACTCAAAGTATGAGGACTTATCAATTCTATTCCTAGAATTGGCCTTCCATGAAAATATTGTGTTTATTCCTACTCTGATATACTGAATGCATCAGCCAATGCAAGTGGATCCTATCCTATGCGGAAGCCAAAGACCAAAAAAAATCCAAGGAACCTTCAATGCTTTTGCAAACATCGCAAGAGTCGGACTCGAACAAACAATTGAAAAAAAAAAGTAGAAAAAAGAAGCAAAAAACAAAAAGAAATTGCCCAGTACTGGAGTCGAACCAGTCATCTCCTCATTTGCTTCCCCAGTAGTGTTATAGAAACATACTAGTGAGGCGCATTACCGCTGTGCCAACCGGGCTCGGTTGTTATTGATGGAAAGCTAGTGCACTATTTGATTATATCAGTGAGCACAAGCGAGTCATTGGTCTTTTGTGTTCTCCATCAACGATGTTCTTGTTCCACTCGAGAGAGCTAACTTAGACGAGAATTCTGGTCCACTTGAACCATTTTCTAGGGTTGGATTGGGTCGTGCTAAAACGGCGGTCAAGACTGATTTAAATCTCGGACCTCACACACATTAGCGCAGTCCACAAACACGAGCAAATCCCTTCCGAGTACCTACATAGTACAAGGTCCTTAACTATCTAGGCCAGATACTTCTTGGCCTTCAAGATTTCTAGACAACTCAGTCTCATATCACGAGGGAGCGAGTTGCCCATGGTAAATATAGGTAGGTACTTTTAAGTCTATTCATCCGGTAATACTTCTGTCGTCTCGTCTTCACAAATACGAAAAGTCTTGATCTATCAATGCCATTCAACCAACCTTCTCTTCTATATGAACGCCTTTATGAAACCCTTATTCGTCGTGGGGCCAGAATGTCCCAACTTCCCAAGCATCTACAATGCTATTCATGATTTAGCCTACCTAGGTACCCATAGGGATAGATACCTCAGGCTATGAAGAATCGAGCCCGGAAGTGAAAACTCAAGTGCTCAATGGAACTGAGCGCCAAAAACGTAGCCGCCGGAAATATCGTGAGAAAGACGACTAAGGCGTGACAACCTATTCTTCGTCGTCCGTATCAGTTGGGTGAGGGGTCCCCTTGGGGCTGTTGAGCCACTCGATATGACGCAGCCTTCTCCGAACTTCTTGCTCCTTCAGTTCCTTCTTCGTCTTCTTCCTCTTCTTCTTGGCCTTGAATTTCAGTGGTGTATTATCCTCAACCCCACTGTTAACGGCGCTGCTGACAGCACTGCTTGCCGCTGTGCTGTTGACCCCGCTAGTGATGGCGCTGTTGAGACCGCTGTTTGGTTTGCTGTCTTCGAAGCGATCCGTAGCAATAGAAACATTGCCCTTCAAGATCATACGCCCATCATTGATGTGCCACTGCTCACTGGAAAGAGCACCAACGAATTCTTCGTTGTGGGAAATCATAACAACACCGCCTTTGAAGTCTCGGATTGCAACCGCGAGACCACCAAGAGAGTCGCGATCCAAGAAATTAGTCGGTTCGTCAAGCACAAGTAAATGGGGGTTGTTCCACATCGCACCCGCGATAACGACTTTGACCTTTTGGCCTCCTGACAAACTGCCGATTTCGTTGTGATTAGCAATTTCGGGGTCAAGGCCGAGATCCTCGAAATGCTTAGAAATGACAGTAGGTTGAAGCTCCCGGTATCCAAGACCTTCACGGGACGCCTCATGGTCATCGAATTCTTGTACTAGTTTATCGAAACCCCATTCGATTAGAGTCTCTCGAGACACCTGCGAATTATACTTTGGGAGGGTTGCCTTCCATTTCCTAGGTATTGTCAGTACTTAAACCAATGTTTAAAGGGGGGGTATTCGTAGTCAACTTACACTTCGTATTGAAGTGTTTTCTTATACTTCTGTCGACCAACGAGGGCCTCGATTTGGCGTACGCCCCTTCCATCATTGAGATTGATTCCTTTCTCCATCTGCTCTCGGTCTTTATCCGAAAGAATACGAGTCTGCTTCAAGAACACCTCTCGGTCATCTCCATTGGCGTATCGCCACTGTAGGTACTGATTTGGCGTTTTTTCCAGGTGCATTTCCACGTGTTCAAGGGCATGTTGCTTGATGTAACCAATTCGCAAGTTGGGATGTTTCTCAACCCTTCCGGCGGTCGGAATCACTTCACCAGTCAACAGCTTGATCAAAGTAGATTTTCCGGCACCGTTGGGTCCAATGACAGCGACGCGGGATGAAAGTGATAGTTGACATGAAACGTCAGCTAGGGAGGGTTTTGGTGCCTTTGGATACTGGTAGGACACTCCTGTCATTCGAATGATGGCTCGTGTCTGTGATTTCACGCCACTCAAAATGCCCGGAGGTGGGAACTTGAACTGGACGTTGCTGGCAGAAAGAGTGTAGTATGCCTTGGCTTCGGGGCGGATATTAACGAAGTCGGATAGGTTACCCTTAAAGTGGCCAAGTTTCTTTCCAGGCTCATAGTGGTAGATGTCGGTAGTCACGTTATCCAGGAAACCTGAGTCGTGAGAAACGATCAAACTAGTGATATCCGTGTGAGTCTTCAAGTAAGTTTCTAGCCAAGCGATATTGGCGACATCCAAGTGATTGGTAGGTTCGTCAAGCAACAAGACATCAGCTTTCTGCAGCATTGCACGAGCAAGAGCTAGCTTCATCTTCCATCCACCTGAAAGAGACCCGACTTTCTGATGCTGTTTGCCTTCGGGGCCGGCCGTAAAACCGAACTCGGCCAAGACTTCGGAAATTCTGTCCCTGCCTTCAGATGCGATAGTAGGATCTTTGGCCATGAAGTCCAGGATACTGATATCGGCATCTTCTCCTTGGTTGTGCTCCACGTAGCATGTACGAAGGACATCTTGAGGAGGGAAGCCTTCTAGCTTGCCACCAGCGATACTCTTCATCAATGTAGACTTGCCAGCACCATTGCGGCCGCAAAGACCATAACGATGTCCCTTAAGAAGACGGAGGTTTGTATGAGACAGAAGAAGCATACCACCATATGCTAAGGAGAAGTCCGCGTTGACGATCTCGATCTCTCCATCGTCCTCCTTCTCCGGAACACCATATTTGCGCTGATCTTCGGCAATGTAATATTGCTGAACACTGGAAGCAACAGCATCATTAACATCCGGTTGTTGTATGATGTCTTTAAGATAAGGTGCAATCCGGGCAGAGATCCGAGCGACATGGCGGTGGTTGGCATCTTCGGCGACCATCTCGCAGATGTATGGGCGCGCTAACTTGTAAATGTCCAAGTCGGAGTGTCCACCGCTCTTCTTAATTTCAGCGTCTAGAACCTTAGCAACGTCATCTGCCGAGGTCCTCTCCACGACTGCGCCATCATTACCCATAGCTTTGTCCATGACATCCAATGCTCTGGTAGCCAACTCACGCACTTCCGGTAGTGGTGCTCGCTCTACGACACTCTTGATACCTGGTTGAAGTTTTGGCAAGAAAGTTCGCGCCTCAATGGGATCGTGGACAAGCTTAGTCAGATTTTCAGTAATCACGACAGTCTGTCGCAATACCTCCTGAGCGGTACTAGGGTTGTTTAGAGTTCTCTCAAGGAAAGGGGTGAGAAGAGCGAGGACAGGAGATGTGACCACAGCGACGAAGGTAGTCTGCGAGAGAGCGTGGATTGCCTTCTGGAGAGTTTGTGTAGAAGGGTGATGCATGGTATCGACCAAGAGAGGAATCCTGGGGGCGACATCGTCGTTGGACAATAGCGTCGTGAGAGACTGCATCGAAATAAGGGCTTGCTTCTCAACCTCGGATTTGAGGTCGTGCATATTCCCTTCAACAATGGGAATTAGGCTAGCTAGCTTTGCACCCATGGCCTCTCTGAGGATATCTTTCTCCTCTGCCTGCTCTTTTGTGGATCCGATTTCCAGTTTCGCCTTATCAGCCATTCTCTGAATTAGTTTCAGGGCGCCAACCGTGCCTTGCCACTTTCCAGTCTTTTTAGATAGGTACGTGAGAAGCGCAGGCAGTAGACCGACAACCAGAGCCTCAGAGCTCAAATGGCCGAAGAGAGCATCAATTCCGTATTGCGCAGCATCGCGCACAACGGTACCCTTATCGGCCAAGGCATCCAAAAGAACGGGCACGAGTCCACCATCTTGAATGAGGAAGACAACTTCGCTCACAGGTTGTCGGGGCGGGAATTTTTCGATTATAGCACCAAGAAGATTCTGGGCACCTTCTCTTCGTAGACCACTCTTTTTGTCAGAGGCGGCTTTCTTGAGTTCGGGTAGTACGCCATATTCGTTTAGACCTCGAAATCCAACAGTCTTAATAAGGAGTTCGCAAAGACCATAACTGGCGTCGACAGAAGCAGCGGATGTTTTGGCAGTAAATATCGTGTTCAGGATGGATGCTACATCCTCCTTAGATGGTGGGGGAGGAGCATCGGAATGAGCGACCACTATGGGCGGCACATGATGAGGCATCGTGACCATTCGGTGTTTGTTGATTGGTGTTTTGGTATTTTTGGTGTTTTTGGTATTTTGGGCAGAAGTAAGAGGGAAAAGGGAGAAAACTGGTAATTCAACAGGACAAAATTAAGAAAGAGACAGAATAGATAACAAAAGAATGTCACTGAGTGGAGATTTTGAGAAAGGGTCAGTAAGAACTGCCCAAAAAGCCCTCGATCGTGGGCGCGGGAGTAAATTGACGGTGAACCAGCGTCTTGATACTTGTTGATTGAAGTATGAAAGAAGGGTTGAGGACAAGTGGATTACAGAAATTGCAGCGCATTCAAAAAAAAAAACACTTTATTGCCTTATCGGCCTGAACCCCCTCGAATTTTTTACTTTTTTTTTTTTTCTTCCCTCTTTTTTATCAGCAGGGGCCCACATATGAAGGATTCAACTAAAGTACGCAGGTACTTAGGTACATGTCCGCATCAAAATGGGAAAACACTTTTATCCGGTATCTAAATGGCCAAGGCTAGTTCTATAGTGGGGAAACCTTTAAAAACCATCACCTGGCCAGGCTGGCCAGCCCGACCTTGCCCTATACTTTCAGCACTAGCCTCAAAAAAGGTTCACCATCTTTTACACACCAAGCCTACTTCCTCCTAAGTGCATTCTAAGTGCATTCTTCACAATGCAACCTCAGCCTTAAGGCAAAGATGATTTTAATTTTCTCGTCGCTTGGTGGCAATTCAATTAAATAATTTCAATATACCCTAGGTGCCCTAGGTAACCAAAGAAACTCTAGCTTCTATTTTAGGGATAACCTTCAAGGTCAACCTTTGAGATAGGCAGGCCACATATTTTAGTAAGCTTCTCATGTTGACTCCAGAGTCTGCATTACCTTAGGCTCCTCACGTCATCCAGCTCTACCTACTCGCGGGCATTATTAGCATGTTTACCTGACTTAGGCAAGTGTCTGCTAAAGTACCCTATTCGTAGGTAGGCATGTATGTATTCTCCAGCCGCACAAACTTTGAACTTTCCCTTATCAAGACTGACATACGGTGTACAGTTCTGATCTATGTATGGATATTGTAGCGGGATCCCATATTCGATATCCATCACAACCGTTCAACCACGTGCAAGTATGCTAAAGTATTGATACTATCTAACCTAGTACTATCTAGCATGTGGTTATTCAATTGGTGTTCGGCTTACCTACATCAATCCTTAGGACTTAAGCACCTCGGTAGCTCGGGTACATGCCTACCCCTATACAGGGTACATATGTAAGCACAGACCTTCTCTATATGTATGTACAATACAGACTAATAGTTACATAGTATTATTACTTAATTACTATAGCAATCCTATCACCGTGGGAGATCCAATGCTCTTCCGTGCCGCCAAGAATATTGATGACGATTGTCGACAAATTTGTATCCATGATTCGGCGAACGAAAGAGATAGTCAATATTTACGAGATATCCTGTGCAACCGAGAGACATCTCAAGATGTGCATAGCATAACGTCTATTCACCTCCTAAGTTATCCGTATATGTCAAATAAGGATGTCTTGGTACATTTGAAGCTCTTCAAACCGGCACATAGATACTGTGCCTGCAATACTTACGCCCTTAGGTAGTATTGACGGTTAGGTAGGCAGCTATTATCAGGCACAGACATTTGTTCCACTATGGAGCTCGATATTCAGAACTGTCAAAATTCATGCACCGCACAGACAATGCAAGACCTACTTGTTATGAGTATGAGTTTCCAATACTAACGCGAGAAGTTGCCTCTCCAAATGAGTTGTCGAAAGAGCGATACGCTACCTCGCCGGCCCCTTTCACGGAGATGCAGCAGCCGGGATACACGGGGTGTATATCACGCGACGTCAACGCCAATATTTAGAGTAGCAGCCGTCAAATCTGGCAATGCCGAAATGCGAGTCGAGAGCCGATAAGGTAAGGAGGCTGCGCTTCTGTGCTCATTAGCTGATAGAACGGAACTATCTGCTTAGGAGCTATCAGATTCAGAGCTATCAGCAAAAGGGAAGGAGACGATTATTTGCCATCTAGAACTGGCGGTTGAGTGCAGCTGACATGGCCATCACAAGTTTGGCCAAAGAAATCAGTACGGAATAATGTTTCTGTATGAGGAAATCTGGGTTGCAGTATAGGGGAATATCACGGGAGGTGTCAGTCCATGCCAGCATGCCAGAATGCCAAGCCCTTTTTAATTTCCCCTTTAGTATAATGAGAACCCTGAGGCCTATGGGAGGGACGCGGTGATATGGTCGGCGGCCGGCATGTCGTCGAAGTTAGCTCCACACATGGAGACCACGCAGATTACCTGGAATTCGGAACTGCCACCAGACGAACCTGCATATGCTAGGTGCCTAGGTATGTATGGATGTACGAAGCTTCGCCACTTTTACCCACGAATCTTGCAGATGATTACAGCGCCGATGTCAATATTTCGATGTATCATGCAGCTGGATGCCGTGATAGCCTGTGCTTCTGAGGGGTGATATTTGGTAAATCCATCTCCAAAAGTCGCGATATCCGTGAGATCTATACCAGTCTCGTCGTCGCCCTACGCTAGATGAGGAATGGCGACGGAGCAGAGTCCCTAAAGAAGCCATGATACGGAAGTCTAGTAATTCGTGAATACATACAGTATTTACCCCCCCTGGGCTAAAGACCAGGATTATAACACGGCGGGAGTTGCCGCGAGGGGCCATTTGCTAGGCTGGGGAAGCCGGAAAATTAAGAAGAAAAAAAAGTACTAGGTAGTGTAGCTTCAGGGGTTCGCGATCCGTCCACGGCATGGTAGATTTTCATCAAAGCTTACCGTTCACAGCTACGACTGCAACTTAACGATCGTATAGGTACATACATACATACGTAGCCGTGGGCCAAGTGCGCACAGCAACCCATCCGTCATAGATAATGATGTTATTTCCTTGACTAGGTGCGAAGGGGCCCATGATATACTCCCGAGGCAGCCCACACATACTAGGGTCTCGTATTTTCTTATTTTCGAAACATATAAGTCTAGATAGCACTTGAAATGTTGAACATGGCATTCTATAAAATCCCTGTTCGCGCCCGTACTCTCTAACATTAGATAGATGACGGATATCAACGTGGCAGCAATATCATTATTCACTAGCTACAGCTAGACTTGAATGCATCCAAAGTATTTAAAGGTAAACTAATACACCATGGAACCCAATTCGACATCAGGGTTCCAGTTCATCACATCCATAAACACCGTAGCCCGCGATGACGAGACGCGCCGAAAAGTGCGCTCACACGCTCGACGACAGAAGCTCACCAACAACCCCAGCGAGCCGACGAAGTCTGGGTCGCAAAAGGATCACACCTCGAGGTTCAGGCTTAAGCCGACCAAGGGTAGCGAGAAGCAGCAGGAAAAGAAGCTGAGCAAGGCCAACTGGCTTACCGTGAGCGTCGCGCGGGAGCTCCCCAACTTCACATTGCTGCACATCGAGAAAACCTCGTTGACGGAAAGCCTAATGAAGTACTGCATGGCTGTGTGTCTGTCCCCGCATGAGAGCGTTGTGGAGAGATGGTTTGATCGGGCGGGGACGCCGACGTACTTGAATACATGTGAACCAGATCAACTACTCGCACGGCCTTGTGAGCGATTGCTGACTTGATGAGCTAGACTACTCCGGTTTCCTTGCCAATACGTTTGCGATGAACCCTGAAGGCACTTGGGTCGAGGCAGTAAGTTCTGCCCATCTTTCAACCGTTGGGGGTCGATCGCTAAAGATCCGCAGCTCCAAGTCGATAAAGCCGCCACACATGCCTTCATTGCCATGCTAGCGGCAATGCACAATGCCCTGGCGAGGTGGGCCGACACAAGCACCGTAGATTTCCACCGCTTCCAGGCAGTGAAGTCGATTAACGAGCGGCTGAACCTGGAGGGTAAGGACAGCAATAAGCCGATCTCGGATGGTCTTGTCGTCGCCGTTTCTCTCCTGGTCAATATAGAAGTGAGTGGTAGCCAACGGACGGGAGGCCCAAGAAGCGCAAATCTAATGCCTGGCAGACGTTTATCGGCTCACTTCAGGCTGCGGCGGCGCATATGAGTGGCCTGAAGAGGATGGTGGACCTTAGGGGCGGTATCGTGGAAGGATTCAAACATAGTAGCATTCTTCAACGGTCAATATCATGGTTAGTGTGGAATATCTATCATTGGCTAGCTCAACTTGTCTGCCTGCCTTTAGGCATTCTAGGATATCTACACGAAACGACTCATTAACCATTATATTTATATGCAGGGCCGACTACTCATACTCCACCGCGGCACACCAGCCGTTAGTGTTCCCCTTTATACCGCAACTAGCGTCTTCGCTCCCTTTACACGACCGCTTCATGAGCCGATCTATGTTGGCAAATATGGAACCACTAGGTTTAAGGGATCTGACAGTCCAGAACCGCGAAGCGCTCGAGCTTTTCGAACTGCTGTATTCGATCACCGACTGCATAAACACCTTCGATTACAGGACCCTCAAGAGCGCGTACAGCCAAAAAGTCCAAGTAAGCAACTCGATATATCTGGTAGAGTGGCGGCTCTGCCAGCTGGAGCAGTTATCGCGGTCGCGACAATCATCAAGGAGATCCGGATCCGTTCCGCTACTTCCATCGATCGAGGGCGGCAGGCCGCCACGGCAGCCTGCGCCGACGGATTTGTCCGACGTTCTTATCTATGCATCGCATCTGTTTCTGCATCTTGCTATCCGGGGCTTACCTCCCTCGGCGCCACGACATCGAGTCTTGGTGGAATCGCTCATGTCAGCTCTCTGCGACCCTATCCTAACCCTAGATCTCCTCTCCCCTCCGAAGCCGAACGAGAGCACCACCGAAGGGTCGCTCAGCCGAAGCGACGACCCCGACCCAGAGCAAAGCGCATTTCAAGCCAGCACGCCGAGAGACGAGCTACACGCCAACATTCTCCTCTGGGCCCTCTTCCTCGGGGCCTGTGTCCGCGTGCCCATCTCGCTGGATGCTTCGGTCTTACTTGGCGACTACCACGGCTTCTTCATCACCGCCCTGAAGAACTATTGCAAGATGAGGGGCATCGTGAGGAGAGAGGAGTTCTCAGCAAAGCTGAAAGACATTGTGTGGATATTTAGCTGGAGCGAGCATCAGCTGACGCTGGCGTGGCAGGAGATTAACGATGGCCGCGATCCAGAGATGGCGATAGGTGTCCCAGTTGATCTGAACGTGATTGCTCAGCCACAATTACAATAACAGTGACAAGAAGCTTCTATGGCAGCCAAGTTAGTAATGTATAATCATAATCACATAACGACCAAGGGGTGATAAATGTTCCGCTAAGCATTAGCCTAGGTTAGGTAAGTCCCAATAACAATAACCTAGCCCAGCCCATATTCCAGACCTTTCTACCTTTATTTACGACTATCTTGTCATCCATTGTCTGTTGTTCCATCCATAGCTGCACAAGAAGTGGTGATAACAAAGGTGATTTCCTTCACCACGAACCAGGTTCAGTTTCTTAGTCTAACCCAAGTAAACAAAAAGACGACTCCAGAACGGCGCTGCTCTGGAAATACGTAGATTACCTACCTAGCTAAGCTTTTCCAAATTAAAAATGGCAAACACAAAACCGCACTCCCATGGAAAATCCTATCATGAGTTCGAACGAGGCCGACGATCTGGGGCGCCGTCCCCGGAACCTCGTCCGCCTCCATCCCCGCCTACTGCAAGGTTTGAAGCGATGGGGCCTACCTCCGGACAGAGGCATGTTCGCCGTTTTAGACAAGGTAAGGTTTATCATAGATGATAAGATACATACTTATATGTGATATCCATCTCATGCCCCTTGTTGTTTTCAATGCACCTACTAAGAGACAGCAGATATCCCCAACTTCTCAAGAAAGCGACGCGGCCAAGCGCGATATATAATTATTAATATCCCTCACGGAAAGTCGTTGACCATGTGTGCGAAACTTAGCGGGAAGCCCATTAGAATAAGATTGAAGATTGATAGAGCGGCAGGGCGACGGGTGTTGTGAGCGCTTCTTCTTAGCTTAGCTTGATGAGTAAACGGTACACGCTTGGTGATTATTGCCGACGCTATGCAAGTGAGAAGATAAAGTAGTTACCTAGTACCTACCTGAAAGACAAATACATAGACCAATCAACTACCTACTGGTGAAATAAAAATCCCTGAATGAGAAATAGCAAATCCCTAGAAAGGCAAATGCCAGACATTGCTGACAATATGGAGGCCAGGCGTTACGTTGGCCCGTTTGTATCCAAACAAAGGTGTCCCTTTCGAGGATGATGATCGGTGTAACTATTAGCCCTTTGCTGTTCAATATTGGCTAGCGGGCTGATTTTGGTCCGGTCGATAACCCGAGATATCATACTAACGCCGTGTACGACCAACTTCACATCTAACAGAGGATCGGAATTGTCGACAATCCCCGCTTGCGAACCCAAAAAGGGACATGTAGTCTTTAACTGCCCTTTGTGATTCACGCAATTGCCCATTCTTCGTCACAAATCTATAGGTAAGTAACCCATGATCCGGCCGTTCCTTATTAACCCATGACAGGTAATGATAATGCATCGCCGGATAGCATAGGTATCCGACACAGCATGACAGAATTTCCGCCGTTAATACCCGATCGGGGTGAAGACTCGGATTGGGACTCAACACTTGTTGTACACAATCACTTCGTGAATGTAAGCATAGTACCGGAAAGACGACACAGTGGGTGGGAGACAGTAGAGAGAGGGTGGGTGGAAAGCAAGCAGCAACAAGCTCAAGCAAAGGGCTTAAAATCGCAGGGTCGAGCATCAGATGGCCCATTCTCCACTGATGCATCTAACGATGTCTTGAGCAGTATCGCGACAGATGCCAGTAAGGCTACGGCCTTTTTTGCTTACCCTCAGATGTCCATTCCCACCCCTCAGTTAGAATTCGATTTCCGGATGAGAGTCCTTCTAAACCCACAGTCTGCTTCAATTTCCGTAGGCGATGGATTCAAGAAGATGTCCACATTTTCGGAGGGTACGTGGTCGGGTCATTTTGGACACGGCCTTGTTGTCGTAAGTAGTACTTATCCTGCCTAGGTATCTAGGGTAATTATTCATCGATGGCGGAAAGGGTTAACCTCGAATAGAACGGAGGCCAAGACAGTCAAGATATGGTGTGTGGGGATACGATAGCAACACAAGTGGAAGCAACTCTGCGCTTACAGACTGCAGACGAGCCGCCAGCATGGTGAGTTAATGTTCCGAATAGAAGGGACACTAAAAACTAATCTCCGTAATAGCATCGAGTGCAAACTGAGGGGAAATAGAATTGGACCTTCGGATCTCATGAAGGAGCTTCAAGGCCCTGGAAAATGCAGGCAGGCGGATCCAAGGTTGTGTCCGTACAGAATATTCGTCTCCATGAAAACATCAGATCCACGATATAAAGACAAGCTAAATACCGGCATGTGGATTGGAAGCTGTGTCTGGAAAGACTTGGAAGTTGTGTTTGAGTATGTTCCCCAGCCTAGCCAGTCCTGGGTCCCTTTGTAAGCTGATTCATTAACGATCGTCAACGTGTAGCGCATACAGAATAAGTTGATTCAGCCTCTTCGAAGACGAGGGAGGAGGAATATGATTGAGGTAACGGAATGAGCTGAACACGAAACCGGATCCTGACAAGATTGCCAACCAGTTAAGAGTATTGGATATACCAAGGTTCCCTTGATGAGATAACGAAGCGATAAAAGTAACCAGGGCCCCTTATATGCATGATGAGGTAAACATTTGGGCGTTTTGCCACCATAAGCATGAAGGCTTGGAGCCATGTGTGCTATTGCTATTGTGCAAGGACAGGCAAGCAAATAGACCAAACAAGGCTTGCAGGGTTAAGGTTGGTGAAACTGGAGGGAAAAGAAAGAAGCTTAAAAGCTGAAAAGCCAAAGCCAATGATGGCATTTGGAATAACGTCAAGAATTTCCCCAGATAACCTTGATTTGGTTAGTTTTCGATTTACATACCTCCGATGTCTGTAGTTAGGCAACTGGGGTACCTAGCTTATTTTAAACATTTCAAGGGTCTTTCTTGACCCCACCCTCGTCATATGTTGATTGTCATTGGTTGATGCTACTATGAATTGGCACGCTACATCTGATTGCTGACCTCTAGTAGGTAATACTAGGTATAATAGGGCTATCACATCTTTACGTCATTGCAATGATCTGCATAATATCATTTTCAACATCATCGTCGTCAGTAGTAAGAAACAGGTTTGCGTCACAGATCATCGAGATGGATTACACAGGATTGCAGGGCATTCAGACATAGAAATAGAGATGGAATTCGCCCGTGGATAATTAAAATTCCCAACTCCCCAAATCTACTACGTATCTTACATTAGCTCATACTCAAATCAACATCAAAACCTATCAAAATGCCTCTATTTTCCAGTCGTCGACCCGAAGAGGAAGTCGTAGAGGAGCCCGTCCCGGAGAAGGGACACTCCCATAGCCTCTTCAGCTCCCACCATCGTTCTCCATCACCACCAGTTTCTGCTCGCACTAGCACCACCAACAGTTCGCTTCGCTCAGGTACGTTCCTCCATATGCACATAGAACATACTAGAGAGAGAGAGGCCTGACTTACCTTCTTCAAATAGACCAGAGCACTCCATCGCGCAGCCGCAGCATGCTGCAGCGCACATTCGGCCATGGTAACTCCAACTCAGATGTAGACCCGTCCATCATCCAGGCCCGCGAGCACGTCATGCAAGCCGAAACTGCGGAACGGGATGCCGATCGTGCTCTAGAATCTGCACGTATCCGCGTCCGTGAGGCAAGGGCCGAGGTCAAGAGACTCGAGCTCGAGGCTGCCGAGGACGCCCGTCGCGCCAAGATTAAGCAGTACCACGCCCGCGAGGTGTCCAAGCGAGGCAAGCATCTTGGACGTAAGTAAACTGTTTGGTCTTTAAGACCTCTGTATAAGATGATAACGATGTCGCTAATATTGGAAATAGGACATGACCTTTAAAAGCATATCTATCCATATAAGCGCGATGTTTTTTTTTAGAAGCGAACAAACTTGATATGATTGGGTTTGGGGGGGATGTTTGTTGCTTGTACAATATTGGATATGAAAGCCACGTATACCACGCCATAAAGACGATACCTGTTTCCTTTTTTTTTTTTTTTGTATTACCATCTGTGTGTACTCGGCACCTATGGTCCTATGTATTGAGTCATTGAATATTACATACTTTACCTCCTACCTGTCATGAAATCATATAAAATAATAGTTGCATTCAATCATTCCTCACCTACTTACTTCTAATATGCAATCTGTAACATGCTATTCACTATTATCCGTCAAAGCTCTCTATCGCGATATGTAGAATGCGGCAACATAACAAGTCCATAACGTAGGTACCTAATTATTTATTGATCTGTGTTGGTACGCAGATGATGTTGAACGGTTCCACCGTCCTCATCCTCGCTGACTACCGACCAACATACAGTGCACCGTGCACTTTTCTTTCGACGGAGCATACCTCCCCTGAAGCCACCTTCATAACTTTCCAAAATTTTCCTTGTAGTCTCAGCAGTCAATCCTCTTAGTTCTGTCGTCAATTCTGCAATACACATATCTCGCTTTGGCAATAACACTAATATCGCATCGCTGGAAATGTAATATATATGATCGTAGGTCCTATCGGCTGTTACCCTGGGGATCACCACCAGACAAAAAAGGAAATTTGATACGAGAATCTATGTGATTAACTGTCGCTGGGAGACACAAGAGATTCTATAGCTTATTTATAGCTTCTTTGTGGGTTTATAACTTTGGAGGGCTTAGGAATTGAGTAGAAACGTGCCACCCCCTATTCACCCCCTATTAGCTAATCCTCACATGCATGTACGTTTGGAAAACCTTGGAATAACTAATTCCACCAATCTGGCTCCGCATCCTTCGAAATATGAATAGAAGCGTTGCTGCCGACCTAGGTAGGCTATATAATGATAAGAAATATATTGAGGATTCACCTACCTTACGGTAACCTTAGCCTTTGATCAAATGTTAGATGTAGTACGGCTTCCCGGATCTCGTACCTGCACTAGGTACAGTCGTATGATAACAGCATCTTTTCAGTATAACCAATTTCATTAAGCTGATTCTGCTGTTGTGATTCTCGTATTATAATTATTTTCATTATCTTTTCTAACTGTATTTAGTTGGGCTACAGGTAGGTACCTATCTAGTGTGAAATGTTTCCGCGTATAATAGGAGGTGTACGGCATAGTAAGGTTGAAAAGACAAGCGACCTGCGATACAGTAATATGCCTTTACAAGGATGTCAAGCTATTCCACCAACTCACAATGCACCCTGGTCAAAGCTTTGGCCAAGAGATGATGAATCTACAGAAATCCAGCAGTTCCAGTTATTAAAGGAACTATGAAACACAAGATCCATGGATGCCAAGGCAACAATCACAGGTCAAGACCGGGGGTCATGGACTCTAATCTTTTCTCTTCTTTTTTTTTTTTAGCCAGTTACGAAACCTTTTGTAACGTCTTTCCAAGGTTGGATTTTGAGGCCATAGCTCTCTGTTCATTTCATCAACCTAACTAACTACAACCTACAACTTATAATCAACTTTTCACTCAAAATCCTAGAGGTCACAGGTACGAGATACGAGGAACTAGAAACTCATGCGACAGCTCACCTAACTGCATACATTCATTTGTCCTATTTTCCCCATTTTTCCTCCCTCAAGCCCTAATCTAGTACTTTACCGTGAGACTTTTCTGTGAGACTTTCCCTCCAGGGCTGTGATACTATTGACCATTGACCTACATACATACGTATGTAGTATATGCCAATTTCGTATCCCAAGTTTCCCGCATGCCTCTCCCATTTAATTGACGCTTCATTTTGCTTGGGTTCTTGCAGTTAACTTGCTACCACAACCCTATTTCATGAGCTGCAAGATGTTGTCCTTCAAGAGAGCTGTTGTTTTTGCGGTATTCTTCCTTGTTGCATTTATCCTCCTCCGTCGATCGCATACCTCGAACGACCCCGAACCCTTTCGTAAACTTCCACCGAAGCCAGCAGATCCCAATGATCAACATGTCGGGGCGTCAAATAACCCTTCTACAACCACGTATACCACCGAAGTAGATGCTGCTGCAAAGGATAAGGCAGTTCCCGCACAAAAGGCAATTCAAGACATGTCCAAGATGTCCTTGTATGACAAACTGGCTTATCAATACCCGTATGACGTCGAGACCAAGTTCCCGGCTTATATCTGGCAGACTTGGAAATGGACACCTGCAAGTGGAGAATTTGGGTTTCGGGACCAAGAAGCTTCTTGGACAATGCAGCACCCGGGATTTGTTCACGAAGTTATTACCGATCAGGTTGCAGTCCACCTATTAAGAGTACTCTACTCCGCCGTCCCCGAAGTTCTTGAGGCATATGATGCTATGCCTCAGCCAGTCCTAAAAGCCGACTTCTTTCGCTACCTCATTCTGCTTGCCCGTGGTGGTATTTATTCCGATATCGATACGTTCGCTATTAAAAGCGCCTTGGACTGGATCCCAGAATCCGTGCCCAAGGAAAGCATCGGATTAGTGATCGGCATTGAAGCGGACCCCGATAGACCCGATTGGAGTGAGTGGTATAGCCGGCGTATCCAGTTCTGCCAGTGGACTATCCAGGCAAAGCCGGGCCATCCCGTTCTGCGAGATGTCGTCTCTCGTATCACGCAAGAGACCCTGAACCGAAAGCGCGAAGGTCTTTTCGTGTCGAAAGAAAAGAGTGTCATGGAATTCACCGGACCGGCTGTATGGACAGATACTATATTCGACTACTTCAATGACCCCCGGTATTTTGACATGAGCCATAGCCAGGGCAACGTTTCGTACCTAAATTTCACAGGAATCGAGGCTGCTAAAAAGGTTGGAGATGTTGTTGTACTCCCGATTACTAGCTTCTCGCCCGGCGTTCAACAAATGAACGCGAAAGACTATGACGATCCCATGGCGTTTGTCAAACATGATTTCGAAGGCAAGTCTTTCCATTCACATAAGCCCCAGATCAATGCAGCTAACTGATCTTAGGCACTTGGAAGCCCGAAAGCGAACGACATATAGGCGAGACTAATAATTAGAGGCTATTGATTGCCCCCCCCATACCTTAAGTTGCCTTGAGGCTATCGTCATGTCATATTACGATGCCCGATTTTATGCGAAAGATGCTTCGACCGGCTACTACGAAGGCTTGTATCATTACTCTATACTTACGACGTTCACGACCCCTTTTCATGTGGTACTATATATTGGATTTTGATGAGGATGTGCACGGAACTGATTGTCAAGGCTACCCTCTCACCCCCTCTCACCCACGCGAGAGCAGTCTTTACAGCATTGACCTGAAAAGAAATATCGGTTTGCCGCGCTTGCTCATCTACTATTTTGTACCAACATTTTCACAATTCTGCTTACGAAGACAGCAACAAGGTGCTTGGACCTGGTGCAGGTATTCTACAGGGCAACAGAAGAGATAGAATACGAGACAAGGTTGTATTTGGCGTAATAAAACGAAACGGCATCCTGAACGCGACGCGCTGGGCGAAGGGACAATTGTATATACCCGCGGTAAAGAGAAAGGTTCTGGCGTTTGATGGATATTTGATTAGCCTGCTTCAACAAATTTTATGCCAAGACTTGGAATATGCGATGCGGTGATGGTGATGGTGACGATGATGGTGGAGCTGTATGCAAGTGTTTCCATGCGCGACGGACGGTAGATAGGCACGACAGAAGCTCGAGACGCAGCCCCAGTTCCCAATCCTCTATATACATAGTATATAACTACCTACATAAGTTATGTAGTAGACCACTAAGGCAGGTATGTATCAAGTGGCGTAATATGTTGAAGCAAGAACCTTGGATGGAACCCATGAAAAAGCAAAAGAAAAAGCCAAAAGCCCCCCTCCCCCCCCAAAAAACAGTAATGAGTGAATCGATGATGGATCCCAAGGTTCCACTGGCGTTCAAAATGATTCCCCCTGACCTTGGCAGTCCACATCCCCGGTCCATATTCCATGTACGGGTCCAGACTTCAAATTCCTCCCCGCATTCTCCTCTTCAGCAACCCGAGGAGAACCCCCACAAGTATATATAAAATATAACCTGCATCGTTACCACAATGGCGGGACTCGTATATCTAGGTCTCTTACTTTGGTTGAAGTCCTCTTCCGGGGCAACGTATCACATCACACATCCAATCGCAACTGGGTAGAAACATCCAAAACGTGGGATACCTTCAATAGCTATATAGTGGGTACCCAGCGAACGAGACAGACTACACAGGCCCGAGAAGCTTCACATATTCAAGATGTGGACGTCGTCGTCGTCGCTTCGACCGATGGCTCTCGATAACCTACGTGGATGGAGATTGAGTCATCGGTCTATGCAGCGTTACACGCTATCGGTACCGATATATTCTATGCGAATGCGAAATCCGCGACAAGGCGTTGCTAGTTCGTCTAGATCGAGATCGAGTTTAAGTTATGCAGAGGGCCCAAAAGAAGTAAGTCTTTATTCCCTCTCTTATTCCTGTTGAATATCTCGGTAGCTATTCAATTGTCCTTTCCCATACTATATACATGATAGGAGATTGTGTAGGTTGTACTGCCAAGTACGTATGCATATAGAGACTCTCGTTTCACTTAGGGGTACCGATATTCATAAACATTGGCGTGTACATCCTAGATTTGGGTCTTGTGGGCATGAAGATTACAACTATGATTTTATATCATTCTCAATTATTTATATTTTCAAGAGTGCAAGATATCAATTCATAATAACTAATTTTGTAGCCACCGTTGCTCACCCATACTATACCAGAGCACTTTGCTCAAGTAGTCTCACAAAATGGAGATAGGCCCGCAGCGATATTCTGGTCTCCTACAACAGCAGACACAACTATATCATCGAAATCAACTACATTGAATTATGAAGAACTCGACGCTCAGTCGAATAGGATGGCGCATTCGCTAAGGTCTATGGGTGTGAAAAAGGGGGACCGAGTCGCTGTTAGTTTAAGCAATATTGCTGAACATGTCGTCTTAACCTACGCAATCTTCAAATTGGGTGCCATCATGGTTCCGCTCAACCCGACCTTCGACGCCTTTCAACTCAGCTCCGCGCTATCTCAGCTAGGAGTGGAAGTCCTGGTCATCGGCGCCATCACAGACCTAGCCTACAAGCCCGGTCGCGGTCAAAGTAATCTAAAACTGCTATCTAAGCTCATCCCCAATCTCACCGGAAGTAGCGTCGAGTCGCCGACTGTTCCTACGCTGAAGTCTGTGGTCCTGGTAGATAACACGCCATCGCACCCGAAAGTCGCCATCCCCCCTCTGCAGGACCTACGCTCACTAACACCCTATGTGGAACTCTTTTACTCCTCTGGCCCTCGTTCCATAACTCCTGAATCCCCTCTAGAGCCCTCGGAAACGATCAATATACAGTTCACATCTGGCACGACATCATTCCCAAAAGCTGCCATGCTGACCCACACTAACATCCTGAATAACGGCTACCTGATCGCTGCGCGCATGGGCCTCAAGCCCCAGGACCGCATCGTCTGCCCGCCTCCGCTCTTCCACTGCTTCGGCTGCGTTCTTGGGCTCCAGGCAACCGCCACAACCGGTGCCTCTATTCTCTTTCCCTCTCCGGCCTTTGACCCCGCTGCTACCCTCCGCATGGCCGCTGCTCTCGACGCTACCGGCTTATACGGAGTCCCTACCATGTTCAACGACGAGCTAGAGCTTCTCTTTAACCCGGCATTCGTCTCCACCATACCAAAACCACCAGCAACCCAAGGCAACAATTCGACGGGGCTCTTCCGAAACTTGACGAAGGGAATCGCGGCAGGCTCCACGGTGCCAAGGCCGCTAATGCGGAGGCTCCGCGAGAATCTCGGGTTACAGGAACTGGTCATTGGCTATGGCATGACGGAGACCAGCCCTATAAGTTGCATGACGTCCCCGCTCGACCCGGAGGACAAGCGCACAGGGACCGTCGGGAAGGTAATGCCGCACACGGCCGTGAAGATTGTCGACCGTAACGACCGGTCAAAGATTGTTGCGCGCGGGGAAAGGGGCGAGTTGGCCTCGTCAGGGTATCTGCTTATGCGAGGGTATTACTCGTCGTCGTCAGCGAAAGATTTGGTGTGGGAGGAAGGGGAACATGGCGAGGGAAAGAGACAGTGGATGTACTCAGGCGACGAGGCGCGCATGGACGAGGAGGGGTTCGTGGAGATCACGGGCCGCATCAAGGATCTGATCATCCGTGGCGGCGAAAACATTCACCCCCTCGAGATAGAATCCGTGCTTATGACGCACCCACTCATTCGCGAGGTCAGCGTCGTCGCCGTTCCCGACGAAAGGTACGGCGAGGCTGTCGGCGCGGTTATTGCGGTGCATGATGGTGTGCGGACTACGGGTGGCCACTACATAGGCACAACAGACATAAAAGGGGTTGAGAAAGGAGGAGGTGGGAAAGAAAAGGGGGTGTTGGAGGAAGAAGGAGTGAGGGCTTGGGTTAGGGAATCCCTCTCTAACCATCTCGCCCCCAAACACATCTTCTGGACCGATGACTTCCCTAAGACGGCGAGTGGCAAGATAAAAAAGGATACGTTGAGGCAGTTGGTGAAGGGGCCGTTAAATATTGATACTTAGGTAGGTGGCCAGATATCCGGAGCGTCGTCCTTGAGTGTGCGTGTTCATATTCGTTAATAAGTGGACGGTTGATATATCATCAAATAGGAACCAGCATAATTCAAGTATTCAGGTATTTATGTATCTTAAGGAAGCAATACGATGGATGTATCTGATATGCTGTAGTGAGGAGAAGAGACCAAGCGGGTATTCCAGCCAAAATAAAAAAGTCAACCACCGACCCAACGCCTTTTGAACGAAAGGGTATCTATCAAAGGCTCCTATCCAACCACTCCATAATGCAACGATTAGGTAGCCACGAGAACCTACAATGATTGCTACCAACACAGAAAAAGCAAAGATGAAATCAAGACTTCAAAAGCCTTCGTTCCGTAAACACCTTCTAAGTATCCTTCCCAACGTAACCGGGTCTATGAGGCTTCCACAGCTTCATTGCCGGGAAGTTCGTCCATTACCAAGGGGGGAAACTATGATGACGGTAGAGGCCGCGATGGAAGACAGGTTTGGACTGCATGTGAATTCGAGATTTTCACGCATCGACTCTTTCATGAAGCATATTCCATAGATATACTGTCGGCATTCTCTGCTTCCGGTCCCCCTTTCCATAGATAGCCGATCCATGCCTACGTAGTGACCTAGGTAGATAGGTAGGCGAATAGCGAAGCGGAGCCCTCACGGCCCCTGCGAGTTCGCCGCGCCCCCCATCCTTTCGGCCAGCGACGCCACACCCTCACCCAACGCATCACTGTTGCGCATCATGCCTGAAGAGATCGCACCACCAGTGATGCCGCCACCGCCACCGTTGCCACCGACATACCAGGCAGCGTAGTACCTGACCAGCAGCAGGACGTTCCGGCGAGTGAAAAGAAAGGCGGCGAAAGAGATGGCGGTGAAGAGCAGGCAGAAGACGGTCCAGAAGACGAACTTCTCAGCCGGCGTGAAGACGTACACGCCGTAGGTCACCTCGATGCGGTACTTCTTCAGGCGCGCCCAGCGGGCTAGGGACGCGAGTTTGGTGGTGGTGGTGGTGGTGGACATGGGTGGTGGTTCTTCCTTTTGGGGGAGGGATGTAGTGGGTGGAAGGGTAAAGATGAATGACGACGATGATACTGATGATGCTGATGGTAGGGCCGAGTCTCTAGGGCCGAGCCGTAGCTCTTAGGTAATCCCCGAGAGAAAGAGAGAGAGAGAGAAATAACTAAAGGGAGGCGAAATAATAGGAGTATTTTTTATTTGTTTTATTCTTTGAGGAGTAAGGAATAAACAAGACGGTTCAGTATTTCGACTTACATGCCCTTTCGATTTTGGAGTATTTTTAATTAATATCTTCTTCTAAGCAAACTAACAAGAGGAAGCACACTTGCTGCTTCCCTCTCAGGGGGGGGGCTCATCTAGATAGTTCACATAGAAAGAGCTAACCTACCTAGTCTGATGTGTGTAAGCACTGGCGGGCAGGCCATACACACATTAAATACCTACCTACTTTCTTACCTACATGGGCACCTATAAAGTAGGTCGGTAGGTAGTCAGAGAAGGCAGCGACCATCGGAAAGCTCGGAATGTGTATATATAATGTTACCCGAGGTGGTCATCAACGGATGGATGTTGGTGGGCCACATGGGGCCCGTTTCTTGAAAAGGCCCGCAGGATCCTCGCGATTGCCTCATGGGAGAAGCGCCCACTAGGCAGGTGGTCATGGCCGACACTTTCATGCTCTGTAAGCAGGGCAAAGCATAGGTAGGTTAGGTTGAGAAAAGGGTGGGTGAGGGCATTCCGGAGTTCCGGAAGCAACTTTTATACCATGTGCCCGGTACTATCGGGATGAGGCTCCATTTTCTTTTTTTTTTTTCTTGCATCACATGTCTCAATATTGACGGGGGGATTCGGCGATAGATAAAAAAAAAAAAAAAAAAAAAAAAAAAAAAAAAAAAATAAAGAAAAGCTGACAGGGCTTTGATAAGCAGGTAAGGTAAGCACTCTTTTGTCCGATTAACGCCGGCGAGGTATGAATCAGCGCCTTATGTACCCTTTCGAACATTATGCATAGAACATAGAGCGAGTAATACCATAGATATCAGTGCAGGGCTGACTATTGTTTACCAGAAATATATGTACTACCCTCCTAGTATGCATTCACCATCTATTGTACAACCATCGCGGGTAAAGGCCTGAGCCCTGGCGACGTGATCAGATTCTTACACAGCATTTCTGCATGCACGCACTTTTCTAATCGGTTAGCGCATGGCAAATCCTATATTAGTGATCGCTAATTGGTAACTCGAATGCGTTCTAGATCAACGACAACCACCAACCACCAACCACCATCGAAGTGAACTTTTCTAGCTTCCAAGGAAACATGGAGAATTCCCTTTTTCTTTGTCTTGAGTTAGGTAGCCCCTTTAGAAACATTAAGAAAGAGGTACATATCTGGTATGACCGACTGACCGACCTTGAAACACGTCGGGGAACTCGATCGATACTCCCTCTCTAGGCATCGAGCGGGAACCTGCTTATCTTGTTATAAGGAGAGGACAAGGAGGTAGACGCTAGCCGATGGATGTGGAACACCCAACGAGCGGTTTTATCTCGGTAGATGCCTACCAACTTGGTATACATATATCTGCCTTGCCTAAGGTAAGTATGGAAAGTAATATACCTGATGTACACACTACCCAGGGAATCCCCAAACACATGTACATCCGCAAGGCGACCTCAGAACAGGTACACGTTCTGGTTGCCTTTTCCCAATATGTGCGAGGACGGCAGCCGATCGCGATGGGCAAGGCGAGCCCGTGATCTGTCTAGCCCAGTGGTGCAACCTCTTTGTCATATGTGATCGTAAGATCGTAACCAGTTCTCACGGCCAGGCCACGATTATATCATACCTCTACCTAACTACCTAACCTAGGTGCCTAAGGTACTGTTACATACCTCCAAGGCTATATAGTATTACTACACCACTAGGCAGGTCACTGGTTTTGTTCGGGCAGCACACATCGCAGCCTTGAATAACCCAACCCGCCGCCGATATTATCTCGGCACCGGACGGCTATACGGCAGACTACAAAATGGGGGGGATAACGGAGTCGGGATATATTACCTGTGTATCGCGTGGGTGTGCCGATCTACACTTGATACGCAAAGTAAGGCAACAAGGCTAGATTATGGTAGATGTGGTAGGTAGGGTACGTATCTATCTGATTTTCCTTGCCTGTAAGGCAACGTTCATGATACTACATAGTAAGACACGTACAAGCTTGTGCTATGTCTTTGGAGGCGTCGGGTTACATATGGATACCTACCTAGGTAGGTAGGCACTAAACCGACACATTCACCCCATCTCACCGAGCTTGAGGTTGAACCGGTTCATAAACGTGTCAGCCCTTTCAGCACTTGGTGTATCCGAGTGAGTGTTGTAATATGTCCGGTCCTCGAGCTGAACCCGATTCAGGACCGATATTGAGCTAACCTAGGGAGATCCATGAATTAGGATATCCTAGGGGTCGCTGGTTATAAAGCTTTCGATTCATGGTCACAAGTTTGCGCTATGTTAGTAGATGTGATCATAGGTACTATTTGCTTATTCTATTTGTTTTGAGGAATGAATTAATCAGGAATTCATCTCCATTTCAAACTCTGGTCTTTCCACGCTGCTTCTCAACGTTCCTGGCAGTTTATCTCCATGTTTCATCGCCTTCGGCACACACTTCCACGAGCAGCCACGTCGGAGGAAGGGTATTGCGCACTCGTGGCTACCATTGCCTAGGGCTATCTTGGCCCATGCATTCCCGCCCCTGAACCTAATTGTACCTGCTAGCTGCCACCATTCAATCCATTGGGTCATGGGCATCATTACTCGCCGTCCACATATTGAGCAGGGTAGATCGCCGCAATTGGCATTTTCTTCACTTTGCTCAGCAATACGGTCGAGGACCTCGGAAAAGTGCGGGGGTGCGTTTGAGGGAAGATAGGATGGCAGCTCACGAAGCTGACCAGTCTTAGCACATGATTGGAGGGCCAGTTCAAACAACGACGGAACGCTACTTTGACAACTGTCTGCCGCGAACCGGCCCCGTAGATAGCGTGGAGGTGAGGGTGATGATTCCAAGTCTTCGGTTTGTATGACCAAATGGGTAGACCCTGGCTGCGGCAGCTGGAATTTGGAGACGATCACCCCTCGGCTATCGCTGTACTGAATCGGAGAGCGTGCAAGCGCATTTCCCGACCACCAGTGGCTGCCCGGCTCGGTGGATGTTGAACACGAGTCACTCGCAGAAGGCACATCATTTTTGTCGAGCCAAACTCGCAAGATAGAGCCCTCTGCGAACGTTCTCTCTTCCAGAAGCAAAACATCATCGCGCAACGACTCATCCCAAACATCCTGCTCGTCAAATTGCCCTGTGAAATGATCTGGACGGTAGAATGGGTTGGGGTGTATGCGTAAAGTCTGAAGCTTAGAGGGGAACCTCATCAAATCTAGGAGTTCACCCGGCAGGCATCGAAGACGAGTGAGAGACAAATTCAAAGTCTCGAGATTACGTAAATTTCGAATGCTGGGAGGAAGCTCGGTAATCTGAGTGTTTCGGAGACTAAGGTGGACCAAATTCTCAAGGTTGAATATAGCCCCAGGGGCACGCGAAAGTGGGTTGTTTGATAAATAAAGCTCCATGGACGCTGCCTTGGAGGCAAACGGAAAGGATTCATCTATTAAGGGCATGGTGTCAAATATGGAGAGTTGTGATATAGTTGCGTTAGATATACTTTCGAGGTTAGAGGTGCTGCAGTCGATCCATTAGTATACGTCTTTCCATGCGCTACAACTATTTAGTACTGGCTTTTGGATGAGGGTGATTACTTACGAGAAGTCAACGATGGGATTTTCATTGACTATGGCATTCTGTATGATCTCACGAGCTCTCTTTTCGCTAGGAGAGATGTTTGCCATGGGCCGAGCATGGCTGTGTGGTGGCAAGCTAGATTCAGCAGACATGTTGGTAGATAAGCCTGGATCATCTTCCATATCTATAGAATTGTCGCTCCCCATCCATACACCGCTGTCAAACTGACGTTGAAAGGTTCTATTTACTTTTTGTAAAGGCCGTGGTGGCTCAACAAATGTCGAGTCGGATGAAGTAGGGTGCTGTTGGAACCAAGAACCAACATAACGCTTCTTTCGATGTCTTCCTCCAGCATAGTTTTCTACATGAGGGTCATCATCACTAGAAAATACGGCTGGGTCACTAGAGTCAGATACTGCTGATATCGCAAATTCTCGATTGCGAACGCGTTTTCTGGTATTGGCAAAAGATTGAGTCCCGGAATCCCAAGCAATGGCGGGCAATGGAGGGAGTGTTGGTTCTTCACTCATTGTAGTTAGGGAGGCTGTGAGGGTAAATGATGTATACCGAATTTAGAAACCTCGGTAGGTATTGATTTAAAATTAGAACAAGAAAGAAATAATATAGATTGTCTGAGAATTGAATGAACTGATGGCTGAATGAAGAAATTGTTGCGAGAGACTGTAAATCAATATATAGGTTTATACATTGACTACCCTAACAATGAAGTAACTTTCGAATTGGGGTAAACACGAGAGGATCAATGGGGCATTTGAGTTTCGAATGAAGCTTTGCGAAGGCGCGTCACATTAGAGCCCACTTTCCACATGGGGAAAACGCGACTTGAGGCTAGATCCCTGTGGGTCCATAGATTTTGCCTTTATTGAACCCGATTCGCCAAAGCTATTATTCTGGGGTACCTAGTACTTACATATTCCCCAGCAGCCAGCTACTAGGTATTGTACCTATGTACCTAGTAGTACATTTCCTGGTACATATGCCTGACTACCTATGTACTACCTAGTAGGTAGTCATTGTAGTATGCATTCACATAGTTATGTCTAACCTAGGTAACCTAGTTAGTAGCTACGGATGCATATTATTATACTCTCCAAGAATTCTTCCATGCAGATGTTTGACTTGTCTGAGTTCTCGGTATCGAATCGAATTTGTTCTGACTATTATAGAATATTATACTTTGGTTACTTTTTTGAGACACTGAAAAACCTAGCCCACGCTGTATATGCCTTCAATTCCAGTCATCATCGTCATCATCGTCATCGTCCTTAGCGTTTGCGTGTCTCAAATTTCCACTCTTGATACCTTTGCTCATGTGCTCTTCTTCTTTGGCGTCTTCGGCATCTCTTTTCCTTTTCACAACCCTCATATCCTTCTCATTGACCGCCCCCACTTCAACAAGCAAGTCATCAATATTCATCATGTTCATTCGAACACCACCTACAGTCACAAGAGTGACTATTTGCTTTACGATATCGCCGTTCTTATACACAAGAATAGTTGGGCAATTTCGGTCTGGGTAGTTCTCAATTGCTTTGTCAGCTCTGATCTCACAGAACTTGACTTCGCCGTATTCCTTTGCTGCCTGCATCCAGAGCTCTGTTAGAACTCTAGACTCGACGTTGGTTCCTAAGGAAGCAGTAAGGTGGACGAAGACAGGCCCGTTGTTAGATGCTTCAGTAACTTCGCGCGAATATTCCGGTTTTGATATTGGGTAGACTGTGCCGTGTATCGCCTTCTTGGTTAAGCTGTTCAACTCTTGTATTCGCTTTTGTCGATATTGCTCCAAGAAAGCCTCATCTTCTTCATCTTCCAAGGCATCGAGCTCATCCAGCTCCTTCCCTTCCAATCTGTTCTCATATGCAATTCGGCGGCCTTCTAATATAGCCTCCTCGATCATAGGTGTAGGTGATGGAGGCTTTTCAGGGATGATTTTATGCTTGCGGAGTATTTCATTCCTATATAATTGTTAGGGACAAGCCGTAAGTTATAGAATGAATTGCTATCTGGGCTATACCATTCAGTATCTGCATTGGGGTCATCAACAGGAACAGCTACGCGCTGCTCTACCGGTGCAGACATCTTGTCTAAAGTTTTAGTATTCGTAAAAATATAAATGGAAAATAGAGAAAATAATGTTTGTTTATTGTATGTAGCTTGATAAAAGTCAGGAGTCAAGTTACATGCATGTACTTCTTACCGAGTCATTAACATTTAAGGTAGCAACTTAAAGTTCAACCCCTCCAAGAATTCCTAATCAGTAACGATAAGAACAGGGATATCTCCACTTATGCTGGCAGCTGGTTCTTTTTTTTGCCAAGACTGACAGGTGTTTTCAGGCTGTTCGGAATCCAGCCTTAGTCAGAACTGGTGGATTGCACAAAGCCCTAGCCCTCCTCAACGCTAACCTTGATTAGGGTCTCTGCCAGAAGGGTCCTAGTAAACGTTCGCACCAGTTGCAATTCTGCCCAACCAAAATCCGCCTCTCCCGAAATATGCTAAACGAACTTTTTTAATCTCCATTTTCCACAACAACCTCTTCCCCTCAATCTTCAACCATCGACTATCGCAAGCAACATACAAAAAGTCTGCCATCGTTCAGATCTTCAGATTTTGTTCAACCAAATTCACTGCTTGCCAATCTATCATTCAAGAAACTCTTCTTGACGACTAGACAAGATGGTAAGTCTCCCACCATTCTGTCTATTCCTTCACACACGATCAAATTATCGTAATCCGTCAGCCACCGCAACTTTTATCTTACCTTCGTCGACCATCGATACCTTCAATACCTCTCCCTATAACGACTTTAATCGAGAAACAACCCAACTTTATCTGCCACCGAAGATATATGCCAGTGCGGTTAAGGCGGACGACTTACGATAACTGATCGATTGCTATTTATATGCGCGTCTCTAAATTCGAATGTGATGCTGACAAAATTTTCGCTAGGTTCTCGCCGTTGATCTGCTCAACCCCAGCCCGGCTGCCGAGGCTAAGAAGCACAAGCTCAAGGTACGATACCCTCGCAGCCATCAAAACCCTCGATTAAAAATATTTCCGAACTAATATATTGAATGTGATAGACCTTGGTCCCCACTCCCCGATCCTTCTTCATGGATGTCAAGTGCCCTGGTTGCTTCACCATCACTACGGTGTTCTCCCACGCCCAGACCGTCGTCATCTGCCAAGGATGCACCACCGTCCTATGCCAGCCTACTGGTGGCAAGGCTAGATTAACTGAGGGCTGCTCTTTCCGAAGAAAGTAGAGGATTTCGCCTCGTGTTTTCTTCGTTCTTGGGCATTGGTCACGACTTCATGGTAGGGTTCGGATATCTGCAAGGCACTCTCACGGAATGGACGCATGAAAAAAACCTGGCATCATGTCTTTCGGACTTAAATCGACTTCCATTACGACCCTTTACGTCATTGCAGATAGGCGACGGATACCAAAAAGAACCTTAATATAAAAGGGGCGTTTGGGGTCCTGATATCTTGCATCAACTGTTTCTTCGCGATTGATTTTTCCGTTTTCTCGCCTTGTGTATTACGCAGTCGTCACCCTTCGGACATAGGCAGGCCGGTAGTTACTGCATGGGTGGATAGCTGGAAATGGTTTTCCATATGAGCATCGTCTGAGTTCTACCCTGCAAGGGGTTCCCTTGAGATGTGAGGACGTGGAACACTGATTGAGGATCGCTACATACCCAAATGCAGTGGTCGTTATTCTCACTGCATTAGGCGAATTCACAGAGTTCCACCAAAGTTGTTGATATGATATGCTCACCGTGACAGAGTAACCAGCGGTCTAAATATGTCTCCGAATTATTATGCATGCACCACTGAATTTTAAGCCTGGATTGTACTTTGAATCTGAACTATATGCATGTCCTTTTGATCTTGAATATTTGAAATAATCTATAAAAGTTTGGCTTGCGTGTTTGGAACATTGATATAAAAAGTGTATAGCATAAAGTCAATCAGACCCAACTTGAGAGTATGCAGTACAAGTAAGGGGAATTCGATATTTGCTTTTAAAACTCTCGAGTAGGTACATATTTGTTATGATGAAGACGTAAAGCTGTAGTATATGATTTATATATTATATCGAGTCAAGGCATTGAGGAAAAGGAAAAGAGAACACCGGCTAATAGCTGTGTCTAATGTATCATTGATGCATATAACTATACGGATACTAGCAACTACTATCGTACTATGCAGTATGTACCATGAATATTAAACCTTGCAATAACTAAATGTTTAAAGTTTTTTTAACGTTGAACATTATCGAGGGAGCTAAGGCTGCTAAGCATTACATATGTAACTATACATAACTTAGTACCCTAACCTAGGTACTTCTGTGCTGAACAGAAACTTCAAGGTTGGACCCTATTAAACGCGTAAAACACGGTCTTGGCAAGATCGAATTACGCGCATCGCGCATCCCCCACTTCCAAGGTTCTTTCTTGATCAGCCCCCAAATCGTCCCAACCTCGCCTGATAGCATCTTGCTTTATTATCCCCAACCCCAAACCCACAGTCTCCATCCCCCATCCCTCCTTTCCATCATTTAAATACATACGTGCGACATCAACGTCATCACTGGTTTGCGCAAGTCCTATCTCTCCAGTCCCAATCATCATTTTCCCTCCATCTCTTTTTCCTTCTTTTACACTTTACCAATCATTCGTTCACCCCCATTGGCAGTGCAGGTTTGCGGAGACCAAAATTCAGCAGCATCCTATTGCATCATCACGATATCCCAAATCGTCAAAGCTTAACCTATAAAGCTGCACGTTTCAATATTTGAATCTGAGGCAGCCCACCAACCGCCTAAGTGGGCCGTATCACAATCGAAACGTAATCCATACAGCATACGTCTGCTCAGCCATGTCGGCACCACGAACTAAGCGCCAATTCGCTGGCGCCGCAAGCGATCCTGCTCAGCGACAGATCACATCGTTCTTTGGCAACGGCGCATCGCCCCCCTCTCCTTCCATCAACAATCAAAACACAAGAACACTGGTCACATCCAGTCTCGGCCCTCAGCTACCCGCATCCGTGCAATCAAATCTTCTGTCCGTAGGAATGCGAGTGCGCAAGTCTGTCCCCGAGGGCTACAAAACAGGAAACTATAGCGCCTTCTCGCTTTGGGACGAGGGAAACTCTGGAGTACCAACTGCATCAACAACGATCATGGGCGAAGGCCGCTCACGAGCAAATGCTATCTCGACACCACGCGAGCTGATCCCCTTCTGCGGAATCCATAGAGTCGGCGGGCTAGACACTCAATCTGAGAACTTACCATCACTATCTATACCAAGCACTACGTATCAGCCAGTCCTTAGCGTAAACGGCCTACCACTCGACGACAGCATGAATGATGATGTTCCCGGCCTGACGAGCAGCCAAGAGACGGTCGAGAGTACCGATTCCGCCTTCTCGCCAGCGAAGACGCGCAAACGGTCCTACACCGAGGACGAAAATGAAACACCCGATACCCCAGGCCGCCTCAGCCTCAACGTCAACATTTGGCGTGACAACTTTGATGGCGAAATAAGCCCCCGAAGCCTTGCACCCGTCGGCTGGGGCCCCAGCAATGGCCGCATCATGGCGGTACCACGAAAGACGAAATTTCGACAGAGCAAACTTGGTGCCGGTTTCCGAGCGCAGATCCCTGACCAGGAAAATGTAATGGTAGTCGATGATGCCGAGCACGACTTCGAGGAAGCAGAATTCCTGGTCAAGGCGGCGGAACTAGGATATACGGATAGTCAGATGAGCGACGTCTGAACCGTGGGGGCGATGCGACTTTCGCATTGAACTCATGTAATATCCAGGAAAGAAGAGAAGGCTGAGGAATAGTTACGATAAGACTTCTAAGAAGTGTGTATTCTTTCAGATTTGACATTTTCAAGTTAGCAAGCAGGGAGTTTTACCGGTACTTGCATTTACTCGTCTGGCGCTACGGAGTTTCTATCGGTTGTGTTGCGCGGCTCGCAGCATGCAGTACGTTGCACACCAGGATAGGATAGGATAGGATAGGACCGGCTTCATGCTTGGATCCGGGGTTCACTTGAGGAACATTACACAATGAGGCCCACCAGCAGGAAGAATAAGTTGGTTAGAGGGTCATTGGGATTGATTTTTCGTTTTAAATGACTTTCCCGGCATGTATCATATCTTGGGACATGCATCATCATCATCATGAGAACAAATCGAGATTGACTTCTGTCTATTATGATTATGATTATTATTGTATTATTCTTGACTGAGACTACCTACTTTGTGAACTTGCGCATGCATATTCACTCAGCTTAGGTATTCTGCTACCCTACCTACCTACGGTATATACCACCTGTAGTAATGATGTTATCCTCAAGTACTGTGGCTGGCGGTGCCATTGAACGAGTCCAGCCTCGATAGAAGAGGAAAACAGAGCAGTCTGGCCCAGTCTATAGTCTTGTCTGTCTTTACCTACTAGGTACACATGGCATAGCAAAGGCATCTACCCACCCTAACTACCTACTACTCAACCTGCAGTCCTCCAAACGGGTCCCGGAACTCGAGAAGGTCCCTCTGTCCGTAGAACTCACCGGCAACCGTGAGGATCATGTTGAGCGTAGCGCGCTCATTGATCCTAGCTCGCAAGGTCTGTTCACGAAGCTCTTGTTGCTTCTCTTCTTCCTCGGCGTCGAGGGCTGCGAAGGCTTCTTGCTCTAGGGTGGTGAGGGGGGCGTCTTCTACTTCTGCGCCTGCGTCAGGGTCTGTGTCTGCAAGAGCGTCGGTATTGGGGTCCGTGTCTTGGGCCCTGAGCTGGGAGAGGAGGCGCTCCTTAGCCATCTCTATGTCAGCTAGCGGTTCTTGTGCTCGCGGGGGTTCTTCGAATACTTCCCCTTCCTCCCCTGAATCTGAGTCAATCTCCATCTCCACGTCTGCTGGTTCTAGGATTATATCGTCTGCAGCTGGGTTCTCAGCATCAGTCACGTGATTGGCTTTAGTACCCTCAGTATTTCCAGCCATGACCTCCTCGCCCTCGGCAGATGATTCAATATCCTTGGCTGTCTCACCGTTCGGGCCTTCTGAAAGTTGGGTATTCGGGTCGATGATATCATTCTCGATGGAATCGTACTCATAGCCATCGTCCGGGCTTAGCTCTTCGTCAATGCCTTCGTCATGATTGAATTCATCTCCCACCTGACTTCCGGCACTGCTGCCGCCAACCTCGTAGTGTTCTTTGAGAATTTCAATCTCGGAGAGACTAACCATCATCAGAACCGCCTTCTTCCCCAGTTCGCGAATCCAGCCAATCTCTTGGTAGTCGAGCTCGCCTCGGTCGGGAAGGCGTGCTAGTAGTGCCCATATCCATCTACTGGTACGCACCCAGAGCTGGTGGTTCTTGCGTAGAAACTTGCCGATTAGGATGACGCGCAATAGTCGAAAGACACTATCCTTGTGCATGCTCGCGATTTGAGCAGGTAGTGGATCCGTGCCCCTGAGGCGACCGCTCCACTTAACGAACGCATCGGTCGAGTGCCCAAACCCGCTTACTTCAGTCGGGTTCGAGATGGGGAGGGATTCGAGAAGGTGGCGCGGTGGATCGGTATGGAGGACTTTGCGCAATGCCACGTATCGGTTGACGAGGGATGTGAAGTAGGCTTCGCGGATCTCGTCTGAATTGCTATTATGTGGGCCATCTTCACTGGACTCGAGGCTTGATTCGTCTTCGTATTCTAGCTCTGGAGCGTCTCCCTTTTCTGCTTGCTCGCCTTCTTCGTCGCCGCAGTTCTCGTCTTGATAGTCTTCTTCTCCATACTCTTCTTCAACTTCATTCTCGTCCTGATCAAAGTAGCCTGGTGGATAGGCGATATACGCTCCGTCTTGGTAGTATCCTCTGAAATCGCCCGTCCCGTTCTGATAAATGCTCCGATCGAGAGGTTCTGTATCTCCGTCTTCGTTTTCGTCTTGGTCGCAAGAATCACCTAAAGGCTTCGGAAGAGGTTTGGGGGGTGGTTGTGGACCGGCTTTGCTAGCAGCAATCACATGTGGGATTGCTGATGCTTGTACTCTATACTCACCATATCAGTATTAGTCACCTGCTGCATAAAATCGGAGTTTTGGTTTAGCTACGCAAGTTCTAAGAAAGAGCGAGGTATCTAAAAATGGTGAGCTTACCTGACAGATTTGAGGTATGCCATTGCTTCAGCATCATCCTCACAGTCCAAGTCACTGTCACCTGTTGGTGCAGTGGTGAGGCATTCGAGGTCACCGAAAATAGACCGTTGGCCATAATTCGGATCGATGGTCGAGTGTGACTTGGAAGACTTTATGTGTCTCTGATTGCGACGTTTCCTGGGAGCCTCGTCCGCTTCAAATTCTGCTGCGCGTTTTGATGCCATGGTGGTTGACAGATTGACAAGTGCTTGTGTTTTTTGTTGGTAGCCTGATTAAAGTACAAGAATTCAAGTCGTAACATTGAATTAATTTATGAATTTATGAATTTATTAACTACCTAGGTAACTTATGTAACTACTAGGTAGTAGATACAAATGCTAGCAAAGAGATTACGTTATAATTTAGGCTGAATTACTGCATATATCTTTTTAAGGCCTACCCTAGATAGCTAAGTAGACATATATACCCATTTAATGCATACTAGATATGTATGTACCTGGCTTTGAACTCCAAAACTGAGCCTGTCAACTCACAAACTAACTGAATTACCATAAGCTCGTCTTATAATACATGTGTAGGTAGTCATTATTCATCGTGGTGTGTGTGAAATACTTCTCATAAGTACCATAATCGACTTGGCCTCGTTGCCATTTTCTTCATCTACTAATATAATACCGTAGTAATAAGCTCTTGGAGGCTTAGCTTGCTGATCACCACAACACGATTGGCTGAAAATTTAAAGACTGGCTGTGCCCCAAAATACAACCATGCCGGCTTGATACCAATGGTGGTTTTAATAGGCCTGACTTTGCTCCAACTATTCTAACCTAGCTGAAAAGACTTTTGCCTCAAATATGCTCACCTCTGGAGGATTTGGATGCCCCTGATATATCGGGCTGGACCACTAGAATCAAAAGTGTCACACAAGAGCACATATAGGCTGCCACTCGTTGCCACTTGCCTGAGATATATCTCCAGTCTATAATCAATGATCTACCGTCTTGTGTATGACAAACATCTAGATTAATCACATGGAGGGTTGGCTCGTAGGTATGAAAATGAATATATCAATGTGACTATCTGCTGGGGTAATTAATGGACCTGAAAAAAGGTCCTCCTCTGCTACCCCTAGATGGGTGCCACCGACAAGCGGTGTGCTAAGGTGGTAATATATCAATCCTTTTGACTTTCCAAATGACCTCCCTGGTATCTCTTCGCTAGTCAAATCCCAAATAACATCTGGTTTCCCTTTTCCAAACACATCTTACGCCATAATTATAGTTTCCATAGCCTAGACTCCAACGCCACTTGCTCAAAGTAATAGGATAGCCACCCATTTTAGAAAGGGGAGGGGGGGCGTCTGGCAAGACGGCTCAGGTATCCTACTCAGCATCTACCAGAAAGCTATCAAGTATTCCTTCTCCCGCCGTTGATATATCACTTTCATAACTCTAAATCATATTCATCTTCTGCATCAACGTGCGAGGGGGGCATGAAGAAGTGGCCATATGGACTGGAGATATTACTGCTCCCGTGGGGCGTTCCCAGAGCACACCACGGTTCTTCGTTGCTTCCGAGCCAGGCGATGTTGCGTTCCTCCGCGTGTTGGCTGTAGCGGATAGCTTGCGTTCTTTCAAGTTGTTTCGCCGTGTCTTGCAGCAGGTCCCTGTTCGAAACGTCAGCTAACTGGCTCTTTATCCTTCCCCTATCGGACACTTACGGCAGGGAACCGCGGTTGTTGAGGACGGACCACATGGACTCGATTGAACCTTTACGGTTCTTTTTGGTACGGACGACGGGGTAGCTTGCCTGTGTGGGCTGCTCGTTCGGGCCAGGTGCATCTACGCCATTATCATTGATATTGCCATCATCTTCGCCTTCGTCCATCGCAACATTCGGTTGCCAGGTCCTTGAGACGCGCTCAGATGACGATGCGAAGCTCGAGTAAAGGTCGCGGGGGCTGCTCCGTGCATAGCCGTCGTATCTACCAGTGGGCACATTCCATGCACCAACCAGTGTAAGATCATTTAGTTGTGGGTTATGTGTTGTTGCAGAAGCGCCCGCATATGGATGTATGGTGTTGGTCGAAGCCGGGTCGTAGCCCGCCGCCGCCGGGAAATCAGAACTAGCCCAGGATGTCGAAGTCCCGGTGACACTCCCGTAGGTGTTGGTGGGACTGGTATAGTCGGAGTATAGGTCGTCGTCCAAGGAGGAAGGGTAGGGACTATGACCTCCGAATGCATGAAAGTTCCTCGGTCCAGGGCTGGGTTGGCCTACTTGTAGGTAAGGATGAGTGCTTGCGTGGACATGAGTTGCGGTCCGGGAATGGGAATTTCCCCCCTGCCTCAATAGTCTGTCTGTCATGTTTGACTAATATCAAGCAGTAGTACGGTATTCGAGCACAGCTATGGTGTCTATTTTGTCCGCTGAAGATAGGGCCACAAGTAGGCTTGGTGTTGGGCGGGGTATTTAAGACTGATGTGTAAGAGAAGCTGGAAGGATCTGAACTTGGTATGAGGCGCGAACAGCACTTTCCGCCTTGAATAAGTGGTCAGGAGGCAGGGCGGGCAGTGTACGACCTGCACGATGAAGTGCTGGATTGGGCCGACCTTACCACAGATTGGCTGCAAGGATGTTGGGGATCAAGAGAGAGAGCAAATCATGTTTACGACCGTGGTATACGAGAAACCTTGCTGATATTGCGGCAGCTCGACTATGTCCTCGTTCGTGAGTCATCTACCTACTTAGGAAGGCAAATAGGCATGTTAAGGAATATCCCTTATTGAAGAGTGTATTTTGCCGTGCGACGGACGGCACACGGGTGAGTCCTTTCATGGCCCTTTAATAGACATTGGGGGTAAGCGGTAAACAGGGAGATTGCCTGCACGAGGAGCAGGAACAGAAAAAGGTTGTCGAGGCTGCCTACTGCATGAGGCTCTTAGTTTCTGGTTAGATACGTTGTATTCTAGTCGATCACAACGGCAGAACATGTTTACGACTTTGAATGAACGAATGGATGGGGCTTTTCTCTTTCTAGCCAACACGCATAAAATCGGTTGCCTACCAAGTACTTATGTACATAGTCAAGCAGTACCTAGATGCAGGTAATACGTCTCGCTATAGCTGTAGTAATACGCTTCTATGTCGGTTCATCATATTTCTGGGGTTGGATTGGAGATTATAAGAACAATGCACTCGATAGCTCCGCCAGTTTGAGAAATAGTGTGCTTGAGTTGTAAGCAGATCACATAGATGGCCGTCGTAGTGTCCTATGGGATCGAGCGGTTATATAACCTCAGCACAAAACAGTGATAGCTTAATGATCGACAAACTCGCGGGGAGTTCATCGGGGTTTTCTACTTAGATCTTCTACTTGATGCGCTACATCGACTGATAACAAGGAGCTGCCTTCAAGTTTAACCTACTAGGTTAGGTTAGATGATTCTTCTACCAACGCATGTACGAACGAACCACTAGGCTATTGGGTATCTAGCCTGAGACTCTGAGTACGTACTCACTTTAATCAACACGTGGCCGTAAAGTTATACTTCTTTGATTAACTTGGAAATAAATAGGAGGCCCATGAACTCTGAACGTACATACCAGGTAGGTATCTGGTACTATGGACATTCACCGCATCATAATTACTACATAACCTATGGTACCGCACACGCTTGTGCTTATGCTTGCATGTGGGGGTGCTATCCGATACAGCCATAACGGCTAATCGTTTGAACCTATACCTAGAAGAGCCCTAAAGGTTCTGCCGATGATATCCTGAGGCGTATCGTGGCGTCCTCAGTACGAGTCGGGTCCTTAGAGACGGGTCTACTTGATCCTGGCTGTAAATCACATCTACCAGACAAATCTGGTGTTTTCTGGATATGTACTAGAGAAGCAAGGCACTAGGATACCAATAACCCCCTTTCTGTATCCTCGGCCTTAGAAGGAACCACGACCGAGCTTAGGTACTATTATAAGAGTCGATATCTGTAACAATGCTCTTTTTACATGTCGACGTGCAACCTCAAGGCTGACATAAGCGAAGAAGCCCCTGAATACTTACTGCGACCGTAAGAGAGTCTGCTCAGGTCCTTATTTTACCATCCTATCACATATCAAATAGACTCGGAATAAGTTGATTTCTCGGCGTTACTCTTCAACATTCGGTATAAAGCAGAGACTGACCTAGAAAATGTTCAAAATTGCCTCACGGACGTTAGTCCTTGCCACTCTGCCTATGTATCTCTTACTTTCCTTGTATGCCAAGGCATTTTGTTGGATGTGAAACTAATATGGATCGTATTTGGTTGCTTTCCTATGGGATAGTGAGTATCTGTCAGCTTACAAGTGCATACGGGCCACCGGCTTGGTTGGTGGTGTGGACGAGAGTCCAACCACCGGGCCACGATGTTCGGCAGCTCTATGCCATGTCAGCGGCGGGTTATCCAAAATCCTTCCCCGGTACGCCCCGGGGACTGACCGGTGGAGTTTATGTATATTGATGGTGTCTGGAGTCTTACGCTTCGTGTAAGAGAAGAGGTACTATACCAGTAAAGCCAACAGTTGCGTTGCTTGCAAGGCAAGGAAAAGACAAAAGAGAATAAAGGGCACAAGAATGCACGTATGATATTGATTGAGCTCCATCAGCTGAGGTAGCCAAGAATTTCAGCGCCAACAGCGGCTGAAGAATCCGGGGTAAAAGTAACTCGCTTGATCATGGTGAGCATGGAGAAGAAGGTTGATAAAGGGGTAGTGTCACATGTATGGTAGGTAAAGATAATTCCTTCACCGCATATCGTAGAAGTGTGCCTAGTCTAATCTTTTTGTAACTTGGCAATATGGGATCGATATGTCGGTCTATCCGATGCTGAATTTCTGGTCCTCAGGGTATACAGTCAATTTAAAGTTTTGAAGACGTTTTTGTGAGCAGCATATTTATTCTTTTTGCCTATTATATGTCGTGAAACATATAAATTGGTATCACTTTGGATACAGATTACCTAGAACGGGCAACACTTGTTCATAGCAAGACCATGACGGTTATGATAGAGCTAGTTAAGTTAAAGAACTCAGTCAGTATCCTCCACCAGCTTGTAACCTACCTAGGTACCTAGGTATAAAGCTAGCTTCTAGAGGTTGAGAAAGGCATCTTGAAGTTCCTATCTAGGCTAATGACTACGAGCTGTCTAGAGAGCAACTCCATCTTAGGTGGCTAGCACTTAGTAGTGAATACGTATCGAGAGACAGATACCTTTCCAATGTTCTTATCGATGCATCCATATTAGGTATGAAAATGAGACCGGCGAGAATTAAGCAAATGCATGGAGGTCCAAGCGATGATCACACACAGATTCACAGAACAACATTGCTTGCAACACAACCATACTACGCACAGCTTACAGCTCCGAGCTCCTAATAAGACATTTTCATGCCATTTCTGCGGTCTCCCCGGGTCGTCCCGTCTTGGGCAGTTGAGGAATGCGGCTCATTGTGCTCACATGTCCATCTAATCGGTAGCTTTCAAGTTCTAGTTCTTGGTTTATCATTTCTTGTTTTGATATACTCATAGTTCCCTTTTCGTTGCCATCTCCTCTTCCAGCCACTTGACACCATCCGTTTTATAGAAACCCACATCCGATAGGTGGTATGTTCTTGTGGTCGGCGACCATGGTTACTCCAATATCGGCAATTTTTATGTCCCTGGCAAGGAAACCCCCCCCCTTCCCTCTCTCTCTATCATTTTCTGATAATCACGCCTTCTATAAATCACAACATGTATCCACATTGTAGGTATTTGCGCAGAAAGAGATATATGACCGGGGTTTGAGGATGTCCTCAAAAGGTTCCCCTCCCATATGTACCTAGTATGTCAGCTCACAGAAACTTGGATCAATTGAGACCAATTCGAGCCGAGCGCAGGTCGCTCCGTCAAGGATTATTATCCATGGATGATTCAAAAGAAGTGACATATCTAGTTTTCGATCGCAAATCTCGGCTTGGAAGCACATGAGTTATTATCCCCGGTTCAGTGGCGTCGAACCCATGCCACATGGGAGATCCAATCACTACCTACCTACTTAGTAACCTTGACGCAGTGAGCTGATATATCTACCAAGCTTATCTGGTGCATGGATCTATTTGGGAAGTCATCATAGCGTCTGTAGCCAGGTATGGTAATGAATCTAAATTTATCAGACGCTTTAGCCACTCGTTAGGGACTCATTGTGGGTTCTACCTGCACGCAGTTCCGCACGCAGTCAGTTCTCGAGGTGGGAAAAAGAGATATGATTTGTTATCATTGTATATATACCTAGTATTGTACCACAAGGACGGGTACCACAGCGTCACAGCTGTCAAACCCCCCTCCCATTATAGCAAATAGCATATAGGCTAAGGCGATGGCGTAGTGTGCCGAGACCAAAAGGTTGGCGTTTACAGACCGTTCGTGTAACCAACCTCCCGCTTGGAGACCTACTTTCTGGGTGCCCGAGTTTTCGAGGGTTACTGTACGGTTTTTTTCCCAAGGGGATTTGGATTACTAAGCAAACGCGCTAGGCTCAAATAGGAAACCTTTTCCACTTTAGGAAGGTGGGGATGTTGTTCACGTAAGTTTATGGATCTTTAGGGGAGGAATTTTGGATTTTATAAAAGAGGAAGGTTTGCCAAAACTTTAAATGGTTGTTTACGTAAGTTTGTGGGTTTTTAGGGGAGGAATTTTAGGCTTTGTAAAAGAGGAAGGTTTGTTAAGACTTTAAATGGTTGCTTACGTAAGTTTGTAGGTTTTTAGGGGAGGAATTTTAGGCTTTATAAAAAAGGAAGGTTTGTTAAGATTATTAAGTTATGTGGGGAGTTATAAATGTAGCCACACATATAGAAAAGTGTTTAAGTTTTAAGTTTTATTAAATGCTTAAGCTTTTAAATAAGGAATATTAAAGGTTTAATATTATTATAAACCCTAAAGATATTTAGATTTATTAATGGCTATTAAGATTTAATTAACTTATTATAACTATTATAAAAATGGAAAATATATATATTTAATTATTTTAATAACCCATATAAAAAAGTTAAAATTAGCTGGAATTACTGGAATTATGGGTCCTAGAGGCTACTTTTAAGCTAATGTTACGTAAAAGATTTTTAAGGTTTTAACACGATGATTTAATTAGGTGTAATATCCATTAAATCACATGACCTATTTTTTTAAGCTATAATTCTTTTTTTTAAACTATAGGAACTATTAACCCTTTTAATGCAACCTTTCCAATTAAATCCTTTTTATTTAATTCAACTAATTAAATTAATCGGATTAAATTAATCGAATTAAACTAATTAAATTAATTAATTAATGGATTAATTAA